CGTGCGAGCATGCCCCGCAGCCTTCACAGCAAGTCCTGTCAAAGCCACCACGCCTGTGATTAGTGTTCCTCGCACTCGCACTTTCTGGTCCTTCACTGCCAGCAGCAAGGTTTCCGGGGCATACTGCTCTGCATCATCTTTCTTCATGACGAGCAACGGCCATTCTAGATAAACCTTAGTCCATGCGCGCTGTCAAAACTTGATGCACCTATGTGGAGCATCACTTCAATCTTTCAGACATAGTTTCACTTGTTCAACACCTCACTTGAGTTGAGCATGGAACTCCCCAGCCGAATGCATGCCTCTGCCCGAAGAAAAGGCCTGCGCATTGTCCATTGCCCGCTGAGCCTCACTACATCAAGCTACAAACCACACTGTTGACAGTACTTGGATGCGGCAGGGGGTTCGTTGCATTCAAATAAATGCAAAATCGTTGAAAGTAAACGCCCATGCATTAAATCCAACACCTACTTGCACCTGCCTGCTCAAAATTAACAGAGCCCGGAGCAAGCAATCATACCTCAAGAGCACCTGGCAAAGGATAAAACCAATCCCCATTGACAAGTTAAGAGAATTACTTCTTGCAAAGGACCCCCTGTGTAACAGGGCTACACTTCCCCGGTTCAATTACACTGGATGAGCAGCTTACCACGGCGAGAACGAACTGAGACAAGGGGTCCGGGCGACTCATGGTTCTCCGTAGGGCCATGAGTTCAGTTGAACAAGACCTCCAGTGAATGCGGAGCCAGGGCACATGTCCGAAGGGGCCCCCGAAGCGGGTGGCGGCCGAAGGCACCCAGCCGCCGGCAGCCAAAGTGTCCAAGAGCCGCACTAGCCGACGGCCCAGTGGGAAGTAGGACTGCTTGGACACTGCCCTTGGGGGCAAAACACAGGCCTCTTCCCCCAACGCTACGCCGCTACGCTGTGCGAAGGGATCGAACTTCAAAGTAGGGCATAGCTGCTTGCTGGATGCCAGCTCGCAGTCGAAATGCAACAGTGCATGATGAGTAGGAAACTATGTTGCACAAGTCAACTGTACCACCAATAGTTTGGAGTTGTTATTTGACTAAATGACAAGCAGCAGACTTACAAGTGCCAATCGAACACCAGCGACTTGCCAGAGTCATGCGGGACAACATTGCGATGATGGTAATTCTTCTTCTGCGTGCAGGGCTCACCGAACAAAAACAACAAGAATCACAAAGCTCAAAGAACAAGGCGTCAGACAAAGGTCAATCAGAATTGCAGACACGTCCGTGGTTGCTCGACGGTAGGAAGGGTAGGCCTGAGCCGAGCTTCTGATGCCCGCAGGTGAGCCGCAAGCCAGTGAAGACAATGTCCCAAAGCAGCTCCTTGACCCAAGCGAAGGCTCACCAAAGGGAACCATATGGCCATGACTCTCCATTGGGAACTTTTTAAGATGGTACATCCCAACCGAAATGATGTCCGTCAGAGGGTTCTTCAATGCATACGGCTCTTCACAGCCCATCCATAAGGGACTCCTAAGCACAGGGGATCTTCCTCATGGGGAGCTCGATGTGTCCCCAAGCGAGCGCGTTCTAAACTGACCAGACATCCTCACTCTGAACCGGGAAAACCGTGGCTTGGCCTCCGTGCATTATTTCCCTGGTATCGCCAAATGTATGGCTTTGAAAAGGAGGGATATGCCCCCGCTCCACATGCCACATTGGCGGCAGAACCATCCTACCGACTTACCACACGGATGGAAATCAATCTCTAGCGCGACAGGATGATAGTGGCAAATCTCATGAGACTAGGCGCATATTCTACTGATTATTCAGGCGTGCGGAAACTGATGATAGCTGCAGTGAGTCAACGGTACAGGACACGTGTCCTGTGACAATCCCACACAATCCCACACGAGACAGGGCCCCCTCGCGCTTGCAATTCATGACAGGCTCCGCAAGACAGTGCAAGTTAAATTAAACGCTCCCATGCTCTCTGACGCTTCCTTCAGATTGAAGTTTGCCCCCAACCTGTTTCCCTTCTAAGCTCTTGGCTTGAGGGTTCCAAAAGCAGCTCTTGGGCAAAAACTTCGGCCCAAGCGCTCAAAAGCAGATTCCCCATACCCTATGCTTTTTTGGTTTCTCTTGCCGGGGGTCAAAACTCGGTTGCTTTCTGCTCCCCTGCATTTTTTTTTTAACTTTTAGTGGTTCAATGGAAAACCCATTAGTTGGCAAAAAGTTTTAAAAAAAGAACATCCCTTGGCAAAATGCAACAAAGAAAAGCAGGTACGAGAACCCCCCCCCCAAGCTCCTCCTCGTCGGTGCCAGCGGTTCGGGTGACCTCGCCCGTCTCTCGGAGCATCGCCTCCAAGGATGCGACCAGCACGGCATTGGCCGTGGCCGCACCGCTGAGGAACAGCTTGCCTGAGGCGCAAGAAGCCGATCCAACCACAATTCTAGGGGTACCTTCCATTTCCATTCTTTCCAGGGATCCTTCTTTGCAGGAAGCCACCAAAAACCCAGGGGGAAACAGCCAGTTTTTGAAAAGAACGATGGTTGAAAAGAATGGGGAATCAACCCCTAGAACAATGGCCTTGCTACTTATGGAAAACCACCAGTTCTCCTCACCTCACTCTTCAGAGTGGGTTGACTCCCCGTTCTTCTAAAGCATAGCTCTTTTCAAACTTGCCTGAATAGAAGGAGGAGTTGCCCCAACATTGCCCTGCACATATGGGCTCTGAAAATGGAGGAGCCGCAAAACGGGTGGTTTGCCAAGCAATCCCGATCGAGGCCTTGCCATTAAAAGCTCATTTTGTGCCAACTTCGCATCCCAGCAGTGTCCACTCGCACGCAATGCTTACAAGTTACTGCTTTGGGTGCACAGGGCAAACAAACTCAAACAAAAACATACCATCACAACATACACGCACACGAACACACGAACACACGAACACACACACACACACACACACACACACACACACACACACACACACACACACACACACACACACACACACACATGCATACACATGCATACACACGCACACGCACACGCACACACACACAGACACAGACACAGACACAGACACAGACACAAACACAGACACAGTCGTATACGCGTGCGACACGTAAGTGGTCATTGCGCAAGTTCACCGTTCCGTGCAGCTCAGCGAGGTATTGGGCTTGATTCTCTTCTGACAGGACCCAACCATACTGCGCATAAGAATGCGGCTGGGGCCCGAAGCTCCGCACCTCCCAAAAACAATGCAAACATGTATTTACGCTCCCCCCGCTCATGGGGGCGATGCCACGAACAATCAAATAAGACACCCACACTCACACTCACAACACAAACACACAAACAAGCAAACAAACAAACACTCACCAAAAACACAACGCAAAACAAAACACAACAAAGCAATCCAAAGCAAGCGAGCAAACCAATAAACAAACAATACAATGGAACATGACACAACGCAACACAAGCAGGCAGGCAGCAGGCAGGCAAACAAGCAAGCAGGCAAGCAGGCAAGCAAGCAAGCAAGCCAGAAACAAAAACACACTTCAACAAACAAACAGATGAACCAACAAACAAACACAAAACAAACACGCAACAAACACGCACAGACCGACAGACCGAAGGAACGACAGACCGAGAGACAGACAGAAAAAACAGACAAACAGGCAGTCAGACAGACCGGCAGGAAAACAGGCGGGCAGAAAACAAACAAAAGTCACACGACCAAACAATCAACACAAACAAACTGATCGACAAACAACCAACCCACAACCAAAAATATAACCAAAACACAACGCAACAACACAAAACCACACAAGCAATCACACAAACAAACCAAACAAACAAGCAAGCAAACAAAGAAACAAAGCAAGCAAAAACAACACAAGCAGGCAAGCAGGCAAGCAAGCAACAGAAACACAAGCAAACAAATAACAGGCAAACACACAAGCAGTCAAACAAAGATGCACGCAAGCAGACACTTGCCAACAAACAAAAACTTACACTGCCTGACTTTCTGAGTGGATGAGCCAAAGTAAAACTTTGTATTTACCAATGACGTGCTCTTCCCAAAACAAGCACACAGAAGAATGCACAAAGCAAGGAATCACTCCGAATACAAATTATGAGAGAGACCCCAAAAAACACATAGACAAACATGCATGACATTTTTTTCACAGAAAACGCGGAGAACACAAAACTTCGAGCAATACAAGCGCATTCTCTTCGTGCCTGTGTGGTCCTGCTCCTTGATGCCCAGCAGCAAGATGTTGTTGCCGATCCCGGCGCCTCGCCACCGCGACATGCACCTCGATGCAGATCTTGAGTCCACCGCTGGCACTGAGGAGGTGCATCCCATGGCAGGGCGAGAGCGGACAAATCCTACGGCTTGCGCGCGTCTCGGCAAACCTCGCCTTTGGCGTAGGAAGCCAGGACGGGAGGCAAACCTGTGATGCAAATATGAATTGGTGCTCACTGGTGCTCAATTTGTCCAGCTGTTGGAAAAACAACCGCATGTTGGCCTGCATGATCATGACAACCAATGGATTGAAGCCAGCCCTGTGTTCCAACCTTCCTTCTTCCACTGACTTGCTTCTTTGCAAACGTCTCTGGGCCCTTCTTTGGGGCTGCCTCTAACCTTCTGAAGGCGAAGGAAAACGGTCGATGCCATGGATGCAAGTTCCAAGGCCGGGCTCTATGCAGGCTCACCCCCGCAAAAAACGTGCTCCTTTTCAAGGGCCATACTCTCATCTCATGACCGGCGGTTTGGCAATGGCAAGTTCGACCTGCCGCTGAACAACTCTGTAGTTGCCAAGCAATCGAAGCAATTGCTGTGTGCTTAGTCGATGCTGTGCAACACAAAGCCAGCTTGGAGTTACATCCCTCGCAGTGAAGAGTCCTTCCTACAAGTGGGAATTGGGACCTGCTGCCTAAAATCATTCAAGCCTCTGCTCATATTCTTCCCATCGGCCATGTTCGGGGGCATGTCCCACTCCTCCCCACCCCCCGCGCACCCGGGCGGCGAGGTGTAGCGCTGTGTCTCCCCAAGGGTCTGGCAGGTCCAGTGGAACCCCAGCGGCCAGCAGGGAGCATACCTCCCTAAGGGAACACCTGGCAAGCAGTGACCGCTCATGGACCTCCGGCTCTCGAACAGATCAGACCGAAAACCCGTGGCCCCCTAGACACAAGGCCAAGCCTTGGAGCAGAACGCCATTTGCTTGCTTGGCCTGTATTGGCGGCATCCAGGTGCAGAGGCAACTGGTCTACAGGGCAACAGCGCCGAGAAAATCAACGCAGGTTGCCACCGCCTCTTTGTACCACCTAAGTTCGACCTTGAAGAAAGCTTTGAGCGCCTCTCCCTGATGCCAAATATCCAAGCTACATGGAATCTGAACAAGAAGAGGTGACTGCAGGCTTTCTGGGTTGAGGAAAACAGCTTGAACAAAAAACGCACATCCAACCTGCCACGGGTTCCACTCACAAGGCAGGAAATGTACAACAAGTTGAAGAACATTTTGCTGCTTCGCTCAAGAGTCTCTCAGAGTGGTCCCTACGTGGTTGTCAGGCTCAAGGCACTAGCTCCTGTGATCATGGCTTACAGCCTTGCTCGGCGGTTGCCAGAGCAAGGCATCGCAAGTCCCACATCGAAGATCTGCATTTCTCAAATGGCGAGGGTCGGTCTGGAGAGTCTGCATCAGTTTTGACTGGTTGAAACTTTGGGGCTCGACTTTTTTGAGCCATGCCATGCATAAATGAGCAATCGAACCTGCAAATTTAATGCACCCGTGCACGCACTGCGCAAAGACATTCCCCCGCATCATGCTCTTGCTGAAATCCACATTGAAGGACTTCAACCTCGCTTTGCATGCGTTTCGGATAGATCATGCTATACCAAAGTTCAACTCCATGCGGATCATTTTCTTTGTGGGAGCCCCCTCTTATCCCCTCTTGCTTTCCCCGCTAAGCACAAAGAGCTAGGCATGGACAAAGCAGCTTTACTAGGATGGTCTGTGATGACCTTGACGTTGACTATGCTGACTCACCTGTGAAGTCTGCGTAGCTGCACCCTTTTGTTTGACCTTTTCTTTTCAGAGGATCCAAGTACCTAAGGATAAACTTAGACCCCGCTCCAAAAGCCATCCTCAGAAGGTACCAAGGGACCCTCTGGGGTTGGAGGATATCTTTTTGCTTGAAAGCATTGGGCTGGTTTCAACCCCCCCCCCCACCCCCCAAATTAAAAAAAAAAAAAAAAAAAAAAAAACGGCCGATGGGCCACGCCTCAAAGCTGCCCAGTGCAGCTCGTTGCAACCGAAGTGTTCCAAGCCCTGCGCACAAGCTCGGGTTTACGGAAGGCCTCGAAGTTATCGGCACGCAGCCCGGGCTTGGCAAATTTGGCAGCGTTAAAGCCCAAACATGTCGCTCCCCAGGCCCTTTGAGAAAACACGATGTGTCCAAACTAAAGCTAGAACGCAATTGGCACCCCGTTCTTGTCTTTCCCTCTTTTCAGGTAGCTTTGGGAAGGTCCTTCTTTGGGAACGTTTATTCCAGTCCTCTTTTCAGGTAGCTTTGGGCAGGTCCTTCTTTTGGAACGTTTATTCCAGTCCCCTCAAATTCATCAACTCGGTTCATGTGTGTGTGTTTTTTTCTGCGCGGCAGCTTTTCCAGGTTGTTTTGCAGGGAACCGAAGGCATCCCCATATTGTCCTAGAAGACCATTTCCTCTACAAGTGACCCTCTAGTGGGTTGCGTGATACGGGACGGGAGGGTACTAACCACGCAAATCTGATTGAGCAGGCGCCTTCCCCGGCGCTTCTGTTGCCCCGCCCCAAAAGAGACGTCCCCAGTAAATCCGTCAAATGCCCGAGCCCATGGAACCCATGCCCCGGGACAACTTGCATTGTGATGACTACTCCGCCAGTCTTGGCCTAACTTCTTCTAGAAAACATTGTCCAAGAAAATGCCACTGTTTTTTTTCTTCTTTTTGCGTGCCTTTCCCCAGTTCGACGTAAGCTCTCCCAAAGCGTCACATCCTTTGCACCTTTCACCGTCATAGCTGTGGTTGCGCCTCGGGGCTGCGGCTCCAATCCTGGACGGAACGAGGGGTCCGGCGCCTTCCACCAGCTGGACAATTCTTGGGTCCCACGTTGGCTTGAAGCTGGAAACATGTATTTTCCCCATGGCCATTCACAAAGGCTCTGCAAATTCCAATGCTCGAGGATGCTTGAGGTGCCCGACATGCTGCACTTGAAGACTTGATATCCACTTGGGTCGGAAGGGAAACTCGAAAGGGGACTTGCTCTTGGACAACGCTTAGTTTTCCCACGCAAGAAAAAAAAAAAAAAACCTGCTGCCCGGCGTATGCGTTGCCTCTGTGGCCTTCTGTGGGTTCATCCTGTTGAATGTAATGGTTTCATGCAGGCTTCTCCGATTCTCCTGACCGCATGTGATCTATGTCAGGCTTAGTCTGCCCTTCCAGCTAAGCGGAATGTCACTAGACATCATCTCGGACCCTTCCAGCGCAGTCCTTGAGGTCAGACTCTACTGGCAAAGCCTGACATGGAAGCACTCTCTCCCTCTGCCCTCTGCCCTCTGCCCTCTGCCCTCTGCCCTCCCTTCCTCCTTTCTGGCCTTCCTACCCAACACACGACCCACCCCGGCCGCAGCCCACCCCAACTCACCCCCACCCAGTCACTGCCTCCCTCAACCCTCACATCTAGGGCATGATTTTGATCACATAGCGCTACTTCTCAGGAATTGGGAACACGCCTTACTGCTGCTGCAATAAGGCGCTTAGCAAGGGCATTGGTTGCTTGCTTTGCTGAGTGCAGGGCAGCCCTTTCTTGCAACATTCTTGTGCAAGATTGGTTCCACTTGAAAGCCTGTCCGGTTTGGTTCTGGAACCTGCTGCCCCGTCTCATTCCCTCCCGCCTTTGTCTGCAAGGTTCTCCTGGCGAGCCAACCCTTGTGGTCCGCCAAGCAACGGCAGCCAAATCACACTTTGAGTGCCCTGATATGTGCCAAGAAAACTGTGTCTTTCCAACAAAGGACGCAGGCCGACTTTCAGAAATGTCCGTCCAATAAGCGTTTTGAGACTGCGTTTCGACCCTGCATGTTCGGACAAATGCACACCTACGCACCCAAGCTCAGCAAAGACCACGCGGCGAGCCACAAACCGTGCTCGACAAAACATCCAGCGACGTTCATGAGCCAATTTCCCGCTAAAAGCATACGTACTCTTGACCCATGTCGTTGCAAAGCAAAGGGCATCCCGGATAAGCACTTGACACTGAATTGACCGTGTATGAGCCGCTGTGACGGCAACTGCTAAAATCTGCTTAAAATCAAGCACCATGCAAGAGGAACCTCCGTGACTTGGGGCAGAGAGTCCTTGTCAACTCGCCAGGGTTCAGCAGGCCGCAAAGCTCCGCGTGTCCAGAGAGCGCCGCGATCAAAGAGGGCGTCTTGTGATTCTTGTTCAAGGCCTATGCGTAAGCCCTCACTGCCCTTGTCCAAAAGCTCTAGTATGAAATGTACTCTGCACTGGAATCCTGGTCCGGGCCACCTGATGCCAATGCAACAATAGGGCGATGCACAAATCAATTGGGCTCATTGGCAAGCACTATATCGCGCCTGGGGTTTGGCACCATAGTCCAGCAGTAAACTGCAAATGTCCTGGCAGTAAGACCGAAAGTGGCCCTGGATTCATATTCTACACCTCGTTGCCACAAACACCACTTAGGGAAGGCTAAAACACATCAAACCAGGAGATATCAGGGCGAGCTTTATAAGTTTATGCTGTCCGGGGAGTTCACTACGTGCCTGCTGGGCAGGTGCCACTACTAGACATTGCCTTTTCAAGCAGGGGTATTCTGGAGCACGTGCTGATTTCCCTTGATTGAACCTGTCCGAGGAAGAACACATGTCAACCACCGCATCCCCGGGTCGGGTGACACATTGGAGGCCTGGATAGGTTGCAAGTTACCCACCACTGATCATGCTTGCCAAGCTAAAGAAGCCACGTACGAGTACATGCCTCTTTGCATGAATTTGGTTGCACAAGCCCAAGCTGCGTGAAACACCTAGGGCCAAGACAACCTATCAGAAAAATATATGCACGCATTCCAAAACAAAAGAAGGGATCCGCAGATAAAGGGCCACAGGCTCCTCATAGCCACCCCGGGCTGCCATGTGAAGGGGCGTCTCGTGGTAGTTGTCCATTGCATTGGCGTCAGCGCCTCACCGTGCAGATATATGCCAGGGTAGGCGGAAATACCATACATTCATACGAAGAGGCAATTCCCTAAGTCGTCTGCTTGTGTGTTTGTGCTGGAGTGCCGGGGCGCGCGCGTGCGCGTAAAAAGCAAGCAGGTAGACACAAACAAGTATAACGTACGAATGTGCATAATATACATTCGCAAATTCATTCGCATACATGCAAATGTGCCTACTCAGGAAGAAGTTTTCAAAAATCAAGGCCCAAAGTAATTATTTCAAGTGTGCGAAACAAGCAGAACACAACCCAAACATACCAAAACTACAAAAGCCGGGCCGTCTGACTGCAAAACGCGAGGTCGAAACCGATTCTGCACTGGCATGACCTATGCATGTTGCCTGAAGTGTTCTGCCTGTGACAAGTAAGTTGTAGTGACACTGGGGACACACCTTTTTTGGATAGCTTCAAAGGGAAACCGGAATGTGCCCCAAAAACCAAGCAAGCAAGCTCCACAGTGCAGTCGGGCAGGCAGCCTTCTTACACTAAGGCACTGAACATGTAAACATGTAATTGACGTGCTGTCAACACCAAGTGCGGCTTCTGCCATAGTTGCAGTGCTCATTCTGAACAAGCCAAGCATGGTACACAGTGATTTAACCAATAGTGCTGCAACCCTATTTTATTATTGTAAAGCACTGACAGGCTGCCGTGGGACTAACAAATCAAGCATCCGGCGAAACCCATGGAGAGATGGTACCTCAAGAGCAAGCGTTGCGTTTTGCACCAACGCAGGAAAGCACAGGGAACTGCATGATGACACCGCCGCTCCCGCCTGCATGCAAAAGATTCTCCACTTCTCGGAGAAGGCCGTTGTGCGCTGCCCAGTGCAATGATGTGCACCCCGAGATCTCCGGAATCTGGCCAGTGCGTAGCGGAATCGAACGAGCTCGAAGCCTTACTTCACAAGCAGCAACTTCTCTCAAAATCAGACAGCGGAAGATTGGATGTGCTGCCAGGCGATCTGGATCAAGTCGCCAGGCCACAGTGAGAAGCAAAGGAACCTATTGAAATCAGCGCGAGGGATCAAATGATGCGAAAGAGCCGGCCTTCGTTGGCATTTACAGCCAGGCTTGCAAAATTCAGCAAGTATTATGCACACACATTGGGTAAGAATATTTTTCCGATTTCATACCGGACACCACGGCATGGGCGCAACTGCATATCATCTTCCGCGCAATCAATCAAAGTTGGCCACCTATGACAAATTTGCAAACTGGGCCGCGGCTAGAGGAAGCCACCACTCTCTCTGGATGATCATGAGGATATATGAGGATCCAAGGTGAACTTTGCAGGGCGCCTGGCATGGTCTGAATCAAGGCTACATGAGCCCCTGTAACGGGATAGCCTTTCTTGCTGCCACCGCATACTCGTGGGTTCCCTTCGCGCGCAACCAAACATAGGCGAACATGTTGCAGAATAGCCCCTCCCGATGATTTCACATTGTCTCGGGCATTCTGGTCAGAAGATTTCCGAGTCCACGCACGGTGAGCCATCGCTGACACGGGGGACAACAGCCCATACACAAGATCACACAACAAATAAACCAAACACTCAAAGTTTTCAAAATACTAAACCCAAAAACCACAATCCCCAAAGCACTAAACCCAAAACTCAAAGCGCCAAAGCCAGAGCTCCGAATTCCAGCTGCCCAACTCTGGCCTGCGAGATCTCGCTACTCTCCTCCTCTGGCTCGCGAACTTTGCTGACGCGTTTGGGGACCTGAGGCACGGTGCTGCAAAATGGCTGGTGCTGCGCATCAAGCTTAAGAACCGGCAAAGCACAAAGGACATGGCCATGGGTCAAACAGTGAACATCCCAGTGGCCACTAAAATAGGTTCTAAAATGGGTGGTGCACCTACCCCAAAATGGTACCATTGGTTTTGACCCACAGCCACATGGCAACCACGGCCTCTCTTTCCCCGTGTTGCATCGAACGCGCTGTCCAACAGTAGCTGGTATGCATCACTAATTGCCCTAGGGATGGTGATCCCGTTCTCTCAGAGACCAATGGTTTGAGTGTTGGCTCCGTGTCGTCTCTGTGCACAACGAGCTGGTTCTCCGGAAGTTGCCCCTACTGCGACAGCGTGGCTCCCATGCCAATCTTGCATGCTGCACATCAAGTCGGTAAGGGGCAACGGACAGAAACAAATGCCCTCACCTGTTCACATACAATACACTTTCCTGGCATCAGTCATCACTTTGAAATCGATCATCTACCTGTCAACTTGCCAGTGCCGACCCTAGACATGATCTGTCTGCACGATCTGGCATGCCAATCATTCCCGAGTATTCCCGATCAAGCAGGGGATGGCTGTGGCACATTTACGCTGCGCGAACCCGTCTAGTTGGATTCAAAAGGGTCCATGAATGTCCATGGCCAACACCTCCTCCCAGTCCATTCTACGTTCCTTGTTCTCCCACCAAGGCCGCAGAAAACCACCGGCAAGCCCCGAACTCTCTCTCTCTCTCTCTTTCCATCTTTCCCCATCGAGCAGCCACCAGCGTGTAGCTGAGGAAATAGAAGAAGGCGCCAGCGCAAAGCAGGGCCACAAGATCCGGCACCGCTGCAGAGCTCACGGAGCGCAGGAGCTCCCAGGCCTCGGTGTGGTCCCTTTTGGAAATGAGACGGCCCTGGGGAGTTGATTGAACCAGGACAGGGCCCTCCATTGTTCAGCGAAACCAACCAAAATACACCTATGCTCCCAGCCCGAACCAATCACTGATTTGGCCCAGCCCTACCACACTTTTTAAGGAGCAGTTCAATGAAATGCCTTCTCTCTCGCTCTCTCTCTCTCTCTCTCTCTCTCTGCGATTGCCCGCATCTCTCAAACCAAGAGATCGGGAATTTCAGGGCCCATCTGAGCGAGGCTGCCCACCCATTCCAGCGTATCCCACAAATCCTGCCGGAGGACAGAGAGCTCTGAGCTGATTGTCTGCATTCTTGTCCGAAGGTGGACAAAAAGGTTATCAGCGACCTGGGCCACGCACACAGCACAATTGCAGCAGCACGTCGGATCGAGAGCCAGAAAGCACTGCGGCAACACGTCACATGAGGACTTGAAACAGAGCACGGCCTGAGCGCGGGGCTGACATAGAAAGTCCCTCTGTGAGACAAAGGGCCAGGACGGTGAGGCGAATGCAGGCCATGGTCGACAACTGCCTCAGGCCGTGCAATGATGATCTGCACTTGCTCGAGACCAAAGTCCCCGACCCAGCCCTCAGGAAGGCTTCTTAGAACCACCTTGAAAGGGGTTTAAGCTTTCTTGAATCATGACTCAGACTAAGACAACGAATCCCCAAACCTTCATCATGAGTAAGCTCGCTTTACCCCCAGGGCTACCCATGACCAGCTGTCCAATCGTGGAAGTGCAGAGGCAATGCTGTGGGCCAGGGTTCACTTACAATCCATCACGGGCAGCGCTCCTGGACTGACCAAACCTTGCCTAAGCAAGGCAACGCATGCACGCGAGCGCGCGCGCGCGTCATGCAACCTGTCTGGGAAATACAGCAGCACGTTGATCTTGGGCGCCGTCTGGCGGTCTCCGTCTATCCTACTGAACAAACTCGTCCTTTAGATGCGCCCGTTGCAGCTTTCCCAAAACGCCCCGTGCCCTCTACGGTGTGGCACGGCCTGGCTGGCAATTCTCCAAGCGCTTGCAGTCCTAGCCGGTCCTAGCCACTGATTGTTCAGGACGAGTGGCCAGGGGAAGGGGTCAACAAACAAGGTATGCTCACAGCTGCACATGAGGGCTGTGCAGTCAGCCTCTGTCTGGATCCAAAGCATTGTCGCTCTATGCAGCTGAGGGGCAGTCAAGTGGTAATGACCTCATAGCTGAGATTCGAGGTTGACCAAATCCAAAGCTGGGAAGGTACCCCCCTTCCAGACCCTTTGGACTGTGAGCCTTTTGTCTATGGGAGCCCCAGAAGGACATGGGAAAATTGGGGCAGAGTAAAAGAAGTGCGTGTGAGGGCACTTCTCTGATGCGTACATTAAGTAAACGTCATGGCAAGCCTGACGAGTAGATAGGTTCTTACCCAACTCAAGGCCAGTAAGGCCGCTGCTTTTGAGAAACGACTGTCTCCTGAAAGACTTGGTAAACTCCCTACACCTGTTCGGTATGATGCTCCGCAACCAACCAAGATTTGGGTGCGTCGTGGCCCCCCACTGCGTCCTCAGCGGCATCAAGAATTGCTGACAGTTGCTCCAAGAAGAATCGCATGAAGGTCGAAGGGGGGATCCCTTCACAGAGGAAACGACCGGCAGGCTGCCAGGCAATTCTGCCAAATCATGCCCAGGTTTTCCTGTTCGCCTTGCTGGAGGCCGGATCTTAGGGCAAAGTCCACTTCTGGCAAACAGCCTGAGGCTATTAACACAAAAGACATTGAAGTCAAGCATCCGCTCACATCAAATGACGATGCCCATCCCCAACTCCATCTTACATGCTAATTAGTGGAAGACCACCAACAAGCTCAGTAAGGGTGACACAAGTGCAAAGCAAGACCTTGCCAAGACCTATGAAAGCTTGAGAAAAATAGCCTCTGCATCGTTTTCAAGGCTGTCACATCTTCTCCCCTGCCCCGGCCAGGTGGCAATAGGCGTTCAAGAATAGCGGTAAGTGCGTAAACCTGCCGAGGCGAGTGCACACGTACCAGCCCAGGATTGTTCCAAACGGAACAGCTGCTCGAGAAGCCGGGTTTATATACCTCAGGGGCAATGAAGACTCCTAGGGACCTGACAGGCCAGTAAGTCAGTCTGCGGTCTTCGAAGGGATGCGTGTTTTGTTCAAGTGAACGTACGGTGCTTGCAAGAAACCGCGTTTCCCTGTAGTCCCTCCATGAAACGCACGTGGAAACCAGAAGGTAGAAAGGAAACATCGTGTTTGCAAGAGTAACTGCATTTGTTCTGTTCATGGCTCTTTTTTAGAGACTGTCAGGCAAGCGGTTCCTGACTCATTCTACCAAACAAATACTAGATGAATTGCACATCGCTAGTCCATTGATCAGTTTTCTTCGTGTGCCCAGTGGGCTACTGGATGGTTTTCAACTTGAGCATGCTTCCACGATTTGACGTGCGCAAACGTTGGGCGCTTACCAACTTGAAAGGGTCACTGCTGCTCATTTCAACCCATAAGTTACGCAAGTTCATGGGAAATGCTTTGCACATGCGACATAGGCAGCTTTGGCACCCTGTACTCTACGGGTTCCCTTCAAACATCACTCGCCCGAAAGGAACATCGAACTTGGCGTGTCCAAAAGAGATCGCTCAAAACCATCAAACATGATAAATCTAAGAACGCCTAACTAAGGCAAAAGCAAAAGCTGGACATTCCTGCCACGGTGCTCCTTTTTGTTTGTTTGTTGTCTGGAGGGCATTGACATGCATTGACAAATCACCGAAACGGGAAACCCGAGCGAAGGCCACGCCTTGTGCTGGGACCTCGACCCCGAGGGGCAGATGGCGCCAGTTGCTAGCGGATGGAGCGAGCCAATGGCGAGGCACGTCTTCACGCCAGCAAAACAGAAAAGGAGACCCTCCCGCAGGGTGGTACTGCGGCATTGGAAGGAGAGAGAAACACATGAACACGTAGAAATGGGGCTGCCCCCAAAGAGCTTCCCCCACATGGAATGTTGGATGTCCTGGGAGGCCATTATGAGATTCTCAACGCACTTAGGCTTTAACTTCCAGCCCTGGGCACCCCGGCTCCGTAGGCCACTCATGGGTTGATTGGTGGGACCCCTTCGGCCGGGTGTCCCGCAGGGCTGGTTGCTTCAAGTGCCAACGTATACTGCAAGTCCAACTTGGCTAGATGCCGAGAAAGGACTCCTAGTGTTCGTGAAACAATACTCTAGCAAAGAAGGCAAGACGGCAACATGACTGAAACCCCGCCAGCAATCACAAACAAATCACCGCGCCAAGCGGACTCACGAACAACTGACAACAGCAATTTCTTCTAGACAGCATACATCTCATGTATCTATGCACCGCACACCTGAATGCCAGTCCGGCAGCGCAAGCCCAGCATCCCATTTGGCAATGCAAGCCGCCGGAGCCGGGGCTTCCTGCTTTCTCCCCGCGTGCATTCACGAGCGTCTCAGTAATTCAACAGCTGGCGCACACCCCAACTGGCCAGATATCGGTGAAACCGTCTCAAAGGCCAGCGCAATCTGTGGGCGTGCCTATGTCTTGAGTCACCAGCAGCCAATCAGGAACCCCCCAGTAGATATCGTCCGCGCAGCCGCACTTCTTCGCCTTCTGCGGCGAGGCCGCTACCTGTACATGTGCTTGCGAGGCGTGCTGGCACTGCGCCATCTTCCTGAGCCATACGCCCGCAAATGGGGGAAAACACACACACACACACACAAGAAACTCACTCAGGACGGCGGCATTTCGATTGCAACTCTGTGCACCAGAACCAAAGGACAAATGGTGGACCTGTGCAGGAACAAACTACACTCAAGGAACAATCCACACATATCCATGTGAATACCCCCAATTAATCCACTCCCCATAGATTGAGAGTGAGTTGACTCCTTTTGCAACTGGCTGCCCTCCCTGCCATTCGAGGATATTCCCTCCCGGGTGACATGAAGTACTAACAGCAATGGAACTCAACGTGATCATAAACAGCCTGTCCATGCTTGTGAACATAGTATATAAAGTCGGTCAAGTGTATTTGCCTACGCTTACCAATTTAATGCGCACATTGCACAGCCTTCTTTGCCACGGTCTCACCTGGAACAACATGAATCTGCCAAACAGCCATACAAATGATTCATGTTGATTCATGTTGATTCACCCGGGCACCCTTCTGGCTGAATTCTCATCCACCAGCCCGGATACCAGAAACACAACTGCTTGGCGAGGTTGCAACTTCGTCCTGGAGAAGGCCCAAGTGAGTGGAAGCAAGCCACTAGCTCGCGGCACAACACATGTCCGAAAAGTTGAAGGCCCGCCATGAAACCAACTTGGCCTGGGGCTGGTTGAGGAGGTGATAAACCCCGCACATGGCGTCACAGGGCTGGAGGTGGGCAAGGAGCAGCCGGGGTCTAACTGCTGCCGAGCATCCGGACCTTGCGCCGCTGGGTCTGGGACAGCGACATTCGCATGCTCCTCCGAAGCCCCTGCGCCAAAGCGGAGGCGCCGGAGCCGGCATCCTGGGAGCTGGATACCCAGACCCTCTTGTTCTCCCCTCCATCGATGCAGCACTCCCATGATATGAAGTGTGAAGGGCACACGGCAAGGCTCCTTGCTCAAAGGACCTGGAAAAACAAACCCACCAATCATCAAAAGGATGGCTTTGGGCAACCTTCTAACGCAGTCTCGCCGGGAACGGCGGCGTGTTTCCTAGCCATGCGCAAGGCTCAACATATTCCTGCTTCCCATCAGCAATGGGCTGGGAGTCGTCAAGGTCAATGATCTCTGCAGCATCCTGAGCCAAAGCAAGCATGAGCCTGTCAACGCAGGACACCAACAAGAGTGGGTCTCACACACGGGGCCTCCCTGTCATAATCATAAGAACAACCAGAACGCACGCCCTGTATGTAGCCCAAAGCTCGGACTTGCCAATTTGCAGCATACATAGCGGAATTGAGGGAAAGGAGATTGTAAGGCTTCCCCATTGAAGGAACCTTCATCTTCAGTGAGCTTGTTTTCCTCACAGGTGGCCTCATCAGAGTGACCCAGTTGCTCTGTGACTATAAAGATGCCTCTTGGGGGTACTTTCATTCACTTCCTGAGTGGGTTGGCCCGCGAAAGTCCAAACTTGTTGGTTGCCACTAGCTTGGGCAAGTCCCGGAATTCAGGGAGTGAATAAGTTTGGCCGGAAACGAAACAAAACCCACTGAACCGGAGGCAAATTTTGGGGAGCCAACTGTGGGTTCGCCGTCTGCTTTTGCCTTTCGGATTCCCCATCTGCGCCTTTGCTTTCGCCGGGGACCGCAGCTTCAGCGACGCCCGCTTTGCTGGCTTGGCCTTCAGGCGCCGACGCCAGCGGTTCCTAGGCGAGCGAAAATTGAAACTCGTCTAGGGGACCCCCGCCCACCCTTTGGATGGGCTCAGTGCTGGACCCGACTTGAGCCGGGCAGGGAAACGCCGAGCCATCTGAGCTCTCCTGAACCCGATTCAATTTTGAAGCCCTGAGCCCTTTGGGCCTCGGAACCGAGGTGCTGCATGGACTGCCAGGTGTGCAACGTCACGTTGGCGCGCTGGGCGCGCTCCCAGAGCTCCCGGCCCTGTGAGCGAAGGCCCGAGTTCGCCTTCACCCATCGCACCTCAGCTCGAGTGGATCGGCCAACAGTCCGAAGTTGCTGTTTGCCAGCAAAACGGCCTTACCAAAAAGAAACAAGTCCAGGCAAGTCCAGGAATCCTGGCAGTGAGGAGCCGCCGTCTGAACTCGATGTACCGTTTGGAAATCAAGGGACCTCGCAAAAGAAAGGGGCGTGTGCACATACAGGGAGTTAAAAAAAACAGTTCTGGTGAGCTGGTCACTTGGCCACTGCTTCATTTACGTTTTGACGTGGTCCGCATGGACGTCCCTTTGGCACCAAATAGCAAGGATTAAGATTGAGCATTCCTCACACAAAAATGGAGGTGTGGCGTGTGGCGGGATGAGGGTCCCAAATCGGATAGAAGGTCAAGGTGATTGAACGAAGTTTCGTCCATTCAGCAAGCAAAAGGGGCCTTGCCCAACAGAGCCGCTTGCTGGACCTATGACGTTCCCATTGTCTCAAAGTCACCCATGTAGCTTAAGGGGCGGGACCCCAGCTTGTGTTGTTGACAATGTTGGAAAGACTTGCCATATGCTGCGGCCAGGTTGAAGAACCCTAACAGTAGAATTATAATGTTTTGGCCCAAATTCTGATTTTGAGACGACCCCCACGTGCACACATGACAAACAATCACAAATTGCAGCCAGCAAAATTCACAGGTTCCGGCCGATCAGCACACGCAAGGAATCCTCAATGCAATAAGAGAAGCAACATACTTTATGTGGGGACCCTTTTGGGTTTACATGTTTAGGGCTCGGATGGGGAAAGCTGCCGTGTATATTTCCGAGACACGCCAAAAACCAATGTTGCCGGGAAACGGCAACATCATTTTTGCTTACGTGGGTTCTGGATTGCGTCCGGTGCTCAAGCCAACTAGACTCCCTCTTGTTCACTTGCCATCCTTACTGGATTCTGCATGCTTCCGCGGGGGTCCCTTGAAGAAATACAAGCATCGACGCGCCAGCTGGGCACACGCCAAGCCGGGCGAAATTTGCTGGGAGACCTCCCTAACGCTTGTCTGCAACTCCAACTGTCGAAGGGACTTGGGGTGTTTCATCTGGAGGCTGGGGCCCCGAGCTCAAACATCTATGAAACATCTTGTGGCTGTGGCTCAAAAAACCGGTATCAAGATGGAGCCCTGGTAAGTGGAAACATGGCCAAGGCGCCAAGGCGGCATCCTCCTCTGCGGTAAACTTCTTCCGGGCCTTCCAGGCTCTTTGAAGTGACACGATGCCTGGAAATAATCCCCCATGTGACATCGTACTGGGGTAGGCCGTTACAGGACCCCCCAAAAGAGTTTCTCTGAGACTTGAGGGTCCGAGGGGCCCCAAGGACCCCCCCATACTTCCCATGTGGTTGGATTGACCAAGGCCTTCCCAGCGCCGTGTCCGGGCGGCGGCGGCAAGGGACCGGTGCGGTAGAGTGCCAGGTCTTGCAACTGCTGCAGTTCCTGAGCAAGCACCTTCTGCCCGAGCCGGGAGGGGGGGTTCACCGGTCACCCTGCAACCCCTTTCAAATTGAAAAAAACCCAAGCTGAGGTGGGGCTTGTACTATCCTCGGATCCCCCCTTAATTACCAACACCAAGCACTCTAGAAGGTCCTTAATTTGCTGGGATCGGGGTTCCCTGGTGGGCGTCTGAAGCACTTGCAAGCTGGAGTCCCCCTATTGCCAAGCACGTTTTGTCAATGCCCCAAACATGTGGTTCTCAAAATTGCCGTGGTATCCCCCAAAGGGTCCAAGAACGAGCTCCGGGAGCCGTGATCAGTGAAGTGCAATCTCTCAGGCGAACATTGCCCCCTAAGCCTCTAAGCCATATTACCCAACTTTAGGTGAGAAGCCAATCTTCCATCCCCTCTGCATCATTCCAATGCGCTCATCGTACAATCACAGTAGAACGCTCGTTGCGGCTGTCAAGGTCCTTGCCTTTGACGGTTGATGACGGCTTCCAAGCACTGTGTGCAGATCCATGATACGCAAAAACGGGAGGATGACCAACATGACTTTTGCTTCCTGCTCATCATGCACAAAGGGATCTAAGTTGGGGCCGTCAAGGGCGATTGACCAGCACTACCCAATGCGATTAACCAGAACTACCCACCAGTTGTTTAAAAGCAAGCAAAGGTCTGCCGCCAATGATGACAATGGTTCCCTGGCTCTTCACCAAACAGCCAGCACAGTCAACTGGAACGTGAAGGAACATGAAGGAACTATGAGGGTTCCCTTTATTTCCCCTTTGATATTGGACGTAGATGAAACTCACCTCGAGTTAAGCCCAAAAGGCGATGTCTACAACTGGAAAGGGAAAGACAGACACTTGGCCAGACGGCCCGCCACTAACCTTTCACTAAACCAGTCTGACCAGCGCCCCATCTAGTCTCGCTGAGCCACCATGGTGTCGGTGATGAACCTGGACGAGATGCCCTTCTGCTCCTGTCGGTGATGACCGAAGGCAGTGCGTAAAGATTGGGCCAGGCAAATTCCTCAACAGCCGGGCCTTGGATTGCACTGACAGGGAAGGCAGACAGAAGGCCCAAAACGGCTGAATTCGGTATCTGGCAAGCATGAAACGATGGTTGCGTGTGACAGTTGAGCTCAGTTGAAATGAGGGGACTGGTGGCAAAGTCCGCATCCAGCACCCAAACATATACCCAAAGGTGGTAAATCGGCCAAATCTTCGCGGTCAGGTGTCAACAAGTCCTGCCAGGCCTAAACCAGTGTGCTGTGAGAAAACCTGTGGGCAGGCCGCGTCCAAAAGCTCGGGCTGGAAACGCAAGCTGCTTCGAGGCACTCGACTTGAGCCGCTAAGGGACCTTTGGCGGTTTAGCCAGTGGATGATGCAAAATTGGAGGGCCAACTGCTACTGTGGTACGCTGCCAGCATGGCAGCTTGCAAACATGCTTTGGCATACCTCTAATGCATATATCAGCTGCCTGTGGTGTGTTTGTCCTTTGCTGCCGCTAGCCAACACATGTTGTGGAAAGGTCTTGCCATATTCGGCACTGGGACAGGACGCTCCCAATTCCTGCCGACGTGCACCAGGATTTTGGAGTTTTGTTGGATGGTTCTGAATGAGCTTCAAGCGAAAGAATCACAGAATGAAAAAATCCAATGATGCCCAATACTTTCCCAGAGAAGAGGAAGATGCCTCGTCAGGAAACCAACAGCTGGCTGGCAGCTTTGTATTCTCTGCTCTGTACGCTTCTTTCTTCTGCCCAAAGGCAAACGCGAAAGTGTCACCGGAAACTAATGAATATGCCAACCTCTGAGTTTGCTATGCTTTAAGCCTGCTGCACCTTCTTGAGGCAGTTCACCTACAAGTAGCTGAAGTGAAGGATCGGCATTCATATGGCAAGCGTTGGAAAGCCTTGTTTTTTGCGATGTTGCAAGGCGCGTCGAAATCCCAACAGGTACTGGTCCTGCAGCTTCTTGCAAGCTGCACCACTCGGCACGATGTTGATCACCTGCCAAGCCGCGCAGTCGCCCTGATTCACATGTGATAGCAATTGGTATGGCTAGCCATGCAGACGTTTTGGTGGAGTGCAATTGGCGCAATCCGGCTTGACCGAGCGTGAGAGTTCGCATGAATCATTCTCTGGACTTGACTGACTGCCAACGAAAAAATAGGATCCTTCGCAAATCCATCTGCCACGAAGGACTGAAACGCGCACATTCTATCGGAATCAATGCTGATACCAAATCGAGTGCCTTCAAGTAGGCTCACAAGTTAAGCTTATATCAATTGTCAATCCCTTTGCTGCATGCATTGGTCATGGTGATCTGCTGGGGATTAAAACAAAAATATCCGGAAGGTCATAGCAAATAATTTGGCGTCGACCAAAGCAAGCTGCAAGCTTCCCAAAGGCCCTGGCCTGAGCTTGAGCGTGTTTCCCAATGTCAAAAGGACTTGCACTTACCCACTTCGCTTGTCTTCCTTGCTTGCTTGTTTGGCCATGCCAAAAGGTGCAACTTATGCCTGCTTCGGTTCTTGGGTTGTTCGATTCTGATTTTTATTTGGACATGGGACCATCTAGGGCTTTCGGCCCTCCCTGCCTCGCCCTCGCCGGGCCGCGTCGCGATGCGGCCGCCCCCCGCTTTCACCAAACCCCGCAAGCGCCCACCGTCCAGGCAAGGCGGCACATAGAAGGCCATGGGACCCTCCTGGCAAGAAACCGCCATGATGTCTTTTGGGATGGAGCCACCCAGATCTGCCGAACTTCTTTCAACGCCCGTCGAAAGGACCAGACCTGACCTCAATGACCCCTGCAGTTCATCAGAATGCAGCTTTCCTCGAAATTTGCACATCGCCGGTACGCTTTGTCTGTGCCTTAGTGCGATGGCCAGGCGTGCTGCGGCTGGGAAGCGGATACGAGCTGCCGATGGATTTGCAATCGCGCTAAAATGCCACTTCCTGTTGGCCCAGCACCAAGGTGAAGTCCCTGATTGAGGCCTCAAAGAGGACCAAACCAAAGCCCTCTAGCTTTTGACGCACGCACGACCGTCACGACTTCCGACGTCTAACGTCCTCCGTGACGAAGAGCCGCGAGCGCTGCAGCAGGTCCGGCGACGTCTTCTGCATGATCCGCCGCTGCGGCCGCGCCATGGGCACGGCACGCGGAAGCGGCGCTGTCGGGAAGCCTGGGCACCTTTGCACTGCATGCGGAACCGCCTAGTTCTTCCACGAAAAACACCAACATCCTTCGAAGTTCTTCATGTTCTGGTCAGCTGATGCTCATGTTTGTCCTGCGAGACCACCAATTCACAAATCCCTTACCCTGCAAGCACGGGCCAGGTCGGGCATAACGAATCCATCCAGCACATCAGAATTCGCCCCGTGGGCGAGCGCCGTTTGGAGTGAGCAAGGGCACCCATTTGCGGTATGATGCGCCACACACACACACACACGCCCGTCTATACTTGTGGCATTGAAGGAATCCCTTTTCGAAATTGGGCTCCATTTTGGTCGGCGAACCAAACAAAACGGAACATCAAGAATCTTCAGGGCGCCACTGAACAACTCGGGCCTTACAGAACACGGGAAGAGAAAAGCGCGCGATTCCCTCCAAAGGTGGCAGCTTTTGCAGTGGCATCTGTTTGGTCCTGCCAAAGGGCTTCCCCTGCTCTTTGGGCAGGTTATGGTCAAAATATATAGTCGCCTCTGATCAGTATGGAGCTCAAAATGCAACCACACAAGCGGTCAGCAAGTCAGCAGCGGCTACATTCTAGAAAGTCTAAAACCTCAAAATTGCCGTTTGTGCCAAAGCCACAGCTCAGCTGATGGCAGTCACGCGCAGCCAAGGCAGGAAATGGCAGCAAATGGCAGCAAATGGCAGCGAGGTGCCCCAGGAGACTGCCTCTTAAGGTTGGGCCATTGGTCATCCGCGAAGCTCTTGCAAAGGGTAAGTGGGTGTTTATCCCGAGTACTCCTATGATTGACAGGGCCTCCCTTGCCGAATAATCTCAAAAGCGTTCCAATATTGATGAAGCATTATGAGGACTGGTTGAGGCGCTATTGCCCTGAGAGTTTCATTTCTGGGAGCACCTAAAGTGTAGAATGAAGGGGGCTGGTCTCTGATGACTGCACAACATGCTGGCACCAATGGTTCTACATGCTGCCGAGATCGCGCCCCACGCGCTAAATATTCTCCTTAAGTGCATGTCACATGAGCTTTCACAATGTTGAACACGTTGTGTCGGGCTCTTGCTTCCTCAGAAATATGAAGCTGCTGGGACCAGCGGTGTGACGTCAGTGATTGATATCACATCTCAAAGGGTTGAGCGGAATGCTATAAAACAAGGCTGACAACTTGACAGAGTGTCAGGCCAACTTGCATCTCCTTGCCTCATCACATTGCAGAAAGCCGTCATCCTCTGCGACATCGTTTACGCGTTGCGCAATAGCCCATCCGCAGCATCGAGGCAAACAACGGCAAAACGGCCAAGCACCCATTCGCCAGACAGTGGAACCTGGAACCCTCTCGCAACACTGGCTTGCCCTGAAAAAAGTTCAAGCACAAATGTACAAGTCAGTAGTGGAATCACGGAGGGTTCCACAGTCGGGGGGCGCTGGAGCCAAGGAGCTATCATGTGCCAACATGGCTCATATGTGGCACTTCCGCCTACATAATTCCTGCCAAAGGGTTCCCCTGTTCTTTGGGCGGCCATGGTCAAAATACTCAGTCGCCTCTGATCAACATGGAGAACCGGACCCTCTAAATTGCAACCAGACAAGCAGGCAAACCGACCAGTAACTTTTCCATGTCCGTTGCAGCCACCAACTTAGCGCTGACTGTATTCTGACCGTGCCAGTAACCTTGACTCGTCATCTGTGCCAAAGCCACAGCTCAGCTGATGGCAGTCACGCGCAGCCAAGGCAGGAAATGGCAGCAAATGGCAACAAATGGCAGCGGGGTGCCCCAGGAGACTGCCTCTTAAGGTTGGGCCATTGGTCATCCGCGAAGCTCTTGCAAAAGGGTAAGTGGGTGTTTATCCCTAGTACTCCTATGATTGACAGGGCCTCCCTTGCGGAATAATCTCAAAAGCGTTCCAATATTGATGAAGCATTATGAGGACTGGTTGAGGCGCTATTGCCCTGAGAGTTTCATTTCTGGGAGCACCTAAAGTGTAGAATGAAGGGGGCTGGTCTCTGATGACTGCACAACATGCTGGCACCAATGGTTCTACATGCTGCCGAGATCGCGCCCCACGCGCTAAATGTTCTCCTTAAGTGCATGTCACATGAGCTTTCACAATGTTGAACACGTTGTGTCGGGCTCTTGCTTCCTCAGAAATATGGAAGCTGCTGGGACCTGCGGTGTGACGTCAGTGATTGATATCACATCTCAAAGGGTTGAGCGGAATGCTATAAAACAAGGCTGACAACTTGACAGAGTGTCAGGCCAACTTGCATCTCCTTGCCTCATCACATTGCAGAAAGCCGTCATCCTCTGCGACATCGTTTACGCGTTGCGCAATAGCCCATCCGCAGCATCGAGGCAAACAACGGCAAAACGGCCAAGCACTCATTGTGGAACCTGGAACCCTGCCGCAACACTGGTTTGCTCAAAAAAAGTCAAGCATCAATGTACAATTCTGTAGTGGAATCACGGAAGGTTCCACAGCCTGGGCGGCTGGAGCTGTGCTTCTATGTGCAAGCAAACTGACCTAAACGGACATTTTTGGATGTCCCAGCGGCGTGTCACTTACGCTGCTCGCATATCACGTGCAAACATAGGTTGATTCCCATGCCATACACGCCATGGCTTGAATAGCCCGTTTCAATGCGCTCATGCGGGCAAATCGGTGGCTAGCCTTTGGCAAGGCACATTTATACGTGTGGCGGTCTGCAACTATTCGGTTCGGCGCGGCTCTCGTGCGTTGGCCACGCAACTCATGGCCCCAAGAAGCAGCCATGACACGTTGAATCCCCACGCGTACCGAGGAAAAAAGGCCGCCATTGCGTGCACTGCTTTGAAGGGCGGCTAGGTACAGGGGGCCGGAATCCTACTCAGTAAACCTTCAAAGACACTCTGGCGCAAGCCTGACCTAGGACTCATTCATGAAAACTAAGAGCCCGAACCAGGGGCTCACAAATTGCACCTTGGAACTTGAACCTTCCCCGGCACGACCGTTGGTTTACAGTCAGCAACCTCTGTCCACTTCATGTTCGACTTGCGGCGACATGGTACATAGAGGTCTCGAAGCCTAGCAACGACGCATCCGAGGTGCGGCTGCACAAGGCCGCAGAACCAGTCTGAAAGCCCACTGGTTTCTGCGCTGTTGTGGCTTCCCAAGGTCAGGTAGAGATTTCGTAGGCGCAGAAACTTGCGACAGGCCCGGCGCGCAGCACATTCGCAAGGTCGGGCACAGATTTCATGACAGGCACAGCGCTTTCAGAGAGATTGATAGTCTGATAGATAGACATGTAGATAGGTCGAGAGGATAGAGAGACAAACAGAGAGGCAAATAGAGCGACAGACAGATAGCTAGATAAAATCGATAAGTTGATAACATAGGTGAAATAGATAATGAAACAAGATAGAAAAGGGGACAAGATTGCTAATGCTCTTTATATCCATATATACAGAGAAGACCGATTCATTTTTAAAAACCTACGAGGGGTGACATAAGATAAGACAAGGTTCAGACATTAAGAATTACAAATAATATAGACAAGATAACAACATTGCATAGGTAGATAGATAGATAGACAGACAGACAGATAGAGAGGTAGGTAAATAGATAGATAAGTAGATAGCTAGACATATACATCAATAGATTGGTTAGCTTAGCTTAGGACAAGTTGTAGAAAGGGGATAGATAGAATGATAAGATAAGACACAACAAGTAACTGGCTAGACAGACAGGTAGACAGATTAGATCGATGGGTTGGTAAGTAGCTAGGTCGACAAATAGATAGGCATAGAGAGAGAGAGAGGGATAGTAAAGAGACAGAGATATTCATAACGGTAGGTAGATATATCGAAAGAAAGGCAAAGAGTTTGATTGTACATAGATCAGCTCATATCAGATCAAATAAAACAATGAATAGATTACATGGGTAGAATAAGTAGATAGATCAGGTTAAATTAGAATAGATAGATAGGTAAACAGATAGACTTATTGATAATCAGTTGCCTGGCACCGGTTCAGTGCTTGCTGTGCGGTCAGCATTGGGGCTACAGGGCCGTATACCCTTGCAAGCGCAAACATTTGCTTTTGTGCAATGAGCTCCGTGTTGTTTTAGGGTGTGAACCGTATGGTACAACGTGCCTGTAGCTTGCACCTGAACTACCGATTCTGAGCTGGGATGAGGGCCGCACTCCGCGATTATTAGACGTAACCGGGCGAGCCTCGGTATGGGTATTCAAAATAGGGCTGATATGAAGGCCCCGCAAGTTTCCCCCTCGCTCACATCGAGAGCTCGCGTCTTTCGGCTTTAAATCGAAGCTGAGGTCACAATGCCGGAGGCGCGGTTGGCGAGAATATTGGTCACAAATTGCAGCTCCTGCGAACAGCCCTATAGCCCAAAGTCCAAGAAAACATCGTGAAGCCGTCGCCGAGTGCCGATCTAACATTTGCTTGCGTGTGTGCCTGTGGGACCGTGTGTGCGCAGCCTGCGTGCGTGCGTGGGCAAGTGTGCGAGGGTGTGTGTGTGTGTGTGGGTGTTTGTGTGTGTCCGCTGCGCGTTTGTTTGCGTGACTGTGTGTTTGTCTTGGTGTTTGTCGCGCGTGTGTGTGGTGTTTAGTTGATGTGTGTGATATAATACGCTACCCCCGTCCCTGGGACCGACCAGCTTGAAGATGCAAAGGAAATTCTTTTGAAACAGTGGTGAATATGTCCCTTGGAAGTCCTGACATCAAATTCGATTTAACATGTAACTCGGAGTAATCATTCTATCTAATTTGGATTAACTAGAAGAAACATCCAGCGTGTCTTTCCTCACTAGGTTTTAATAATTTGGGCCTAGGTTGCAAAAAAGAATCAGACTTGGAAAGGAAATCCTATTTAAATCTTCTTCAACGCAACATGTCCAATTGAATTCTATGGAAATTATGCTTGGAAGAGAAGGTCTTATGTAAATTCTGATTTGAAATAACATTCCCGGTTGAATTATTGCAGTATATTGAAGATCCTACATGGAGAAGAGATCCTATCTAGAAGCTATTTCAATCAAATAGTTCCATGCATTTTAAAAATTAAACCTTACTTGGAAAGGAATTCCCTACTGGCATTGAGGATCTGATTTCAGAGCATAGTTCCAATTCAACTCAATGAACGTCCGACTTAAGCTTAAAGTCCTGCAGTTTCAAAATTGCAAACCAATATGCTGAGATCGCGGTCTCCTTATGTTTGTTTCGGTTGTTTTATTCCTTGAGGGGCAGGCAAGTTTGAAGAAATACCCAGCTTGCCATTCCTCACTAGGTCTTGTTGAATGCGAATTATATTCCTGCTTAGAAAGGACTTTCTATTGAACACGTACTACTTGAGGGGCAGGCAAGTTTGAAGAAATACCCAGCTTGCCATTCCTCACTAGGTCTTGTTGAATGCGAATTATATTCCTGCTTAGAAAGGACTTTCTATTGAACACGTACTACAAAAGACTTCGCATTGAATTCGAAAGGAAGGCACTCTGAATCTTGAAGCCATGCAACTAAACACTTGCAAGCCAATGGGCTGAAATTGCGATTTTATCTCTTCTCCCTCCTTTCGCGAGGCAGGCAAATTAGAAGAACCCCGCTGGTTTTCCTCATTAAATGCTACTTATGTCCTCAATTCCTGTTTATAATCCAATTTAAATCACACTTTCCAGTCAATTCAAATAAACGTCCGGCTTGAGCTTAAAGCTTTGCAGTTTGGAACTTGTAAAGCAATGCAAACGAATCCCAATCAAAGTTATATTCAAGTCAATCAAAAAACAACCAGCGGCGTGTGTGCCCTCACTACCAAACAAAGCCGAAGGCATTTTCCATGGTTTTTATTGACATTGCACCCCTTCCAAGAGGCTGGTAAATTTCTGGAAGACGGGGGGTGAAAAAATGCTTGTAGTTTCTGGCCTTCTCCCGGAAGCCAGAAACAAAACAGGCAAAACAGAAAAACCAAACTAATCAGGAAGATTTCCAGAAAAGCGGCCTGAACTTCAATCTTCAAGCCAGGATGTGCTAGCACATCCTGGGTTGCCCAAAGTACATATTTGAAAGAAAAATCCCATCAAGAGTTATCGAAGAACCTTGAATCCTCAATCATCAGTCCAGGATGTGAACAGATCCTGGGTTGCCCAAGTATGGACTTTGACAGGGCGGACAAGCAGAGCACGTTCCAAGAGTCAAACTGTGGATGTGCACCGCCTACGTTTTGCCAATAAGGGAAGCATGTGTTTTGAAAACTTTGCAGCTTTTGTCGGGCTTGAGGGCTGGCCAGGATGGACGATTCTCAAAAAAAACATCTGGATATCTTCAATCTCCAATACAGGTGGTAAAGAGTCTAGTTAAGCTTTTTTGGGGCCAGGATTGGGGATGTTCTAAAACGATGTCTGTGGAATTCCCTTAGTTGGCCTTCGATCCAGGCAGATCTGAGCGAAGGCTGAAAACACCGAGTGTTACAGCATTTCTTGCCAAGAATAAGATCCATGGTTGAAAACACTTCTCAGTTGTTGGTTTGGCTCAGTTCTTGCATGGTCAAAACCACATGGAGTTTGATAAGGACAATCACCCTTTTGATTTTTTCTCTTTCTTGCAGTTTTAATTGGCAATGACAATAGCTGCGCTCTCCAATTGACTGTTGAAACGCGCAAAAAACTGAATTTGGCTTGAACTCGGAATCATTTTACTTTTGGTATTCTTAATGCACTACAGTGGTTGGATCGTACTAGACAAGCAACGCAAAACTGAAATAGCTGCTTAGCAGCCTTGATTTATATATGCTTAGATAGAATGCATATGGAATGATGTACCAAAAAAGCACGAGTAAATGCAACTGCGTAAGGACATGAAGGATTGAGCTCCTTTCCCCCAAGTGGATGATTTGCCGAGATTCCTTGTAAACAAAAAAACAAAAAACCAAACATCTGTTGCATGCACGATGAGGCTGCCACAGCATGCTTCGTGTACTACTCTTGCGCTGAAAGTTGTGCTTTTGAGCTGGGGCTGCCAAAGTGCACTTCGCAGACTCCAGCAAGACTTTAAGCGCACTTCGTGTTCGAGCTGTTTAACTATAGGAGTTCCTTTTGAACGTTTAGCTCAGCTTCTGCTTGGTTTGACTTTGCGTGAAGTTGCACGTCCTGTCAGCTCGGTTCAGAGTCCCACCAGTCTGGCCAAAGCTTTAGCTCTGGACGAAAACCTGAGTATTTCAAGGGGGGGGGGGGTGGCATATATATATATATATGTGTGTGTGTCTCTTCGTCTGCGTGCACGTGCGTGTGCGAGCGCGCCCGGGGCGCGCACGAGTGGGTGCGCGCGCGGGGTGCGTGGGGGCGTGGGGGCATGGGGCCGTGGGCGCTTGGGTGCGTGGGTGCGTGGTTGTGTGTCGGTAGGTGCGTGGGTGCGTGCTTGCGTGGGTGTATATGGGTCCGTGGGTGCGTAGGTGCGTAGGTGCGTAGGTGCGTAGGTGCGTAGGTGCGTGGGTGCGTGGATTTGCGCGTGCGGCGTGCGTGCGTGCGTGCGGGCGGGGGCACGTGCGCTGGCGGGCGGACGGGTGTGTGGGTGGGTAGGTGGGTGGGGTGGGTGCGCGCATGGATGCGTGCGCGCGTGCGTGCGTGTGCGCGTGCGTCCGTCCGTGCGTGCGCTCCCCCTGTGCGTGCCTGGGTACATATGTAAGTTAGCCAAGAAATACATAAAGAGACAAATAAAACAATATATATATATATATATATATTTGTGCTGTGCGTGTGTGTGTGTGTGTGTGCGGTGTGTGTGTGTGTGTGTGTGTTTTGTCTGTTTTTGTTGTTTTTTGGTTTTTGTGTGCTTTGTGTGTTTTGTGTGTTTTGTGTGTATTGTGTCTGTGCGTTGTCTGTCTGTTGTGTGTTTGTGATGTGCGTTGCGTGTTGCGTGTGACGTGTTGCGTGTTGCGTGTTGCGTGTAGCGTGTAGCGTGTAGCGTGTAGCGTGTAGCGTGTAGCGTGTAGCGTGTAGCGTGTAGCGTGTAGCGTGTAGCGTGTTGCGTGTTGCGTGTTGCGTGTTGCGTGTTGCGTGTTGCGTGTTGCGTGCTGCGTGCTGCGTGCTGCGTGTTGCGTGTTGCGTGTTGCGTGTTGCGTGTTGCGTGTTGCGTGTTGCGTGTTGCGTGTTGCGTGTTGCGTGTTGCGTGTGTGCGTGTGTGCGTGTGTGCGTGTGTGCGTGTGTGCGTGTGTGTGCGTGTGTGCGTGTGTGCGTGTGTGCGTGTGTGTGTGTGTGTGTGTGTGTGTGTGTGTGTGTGTGTGTGTGTCTGTGTGTGTGTGTTTGTGCGTTGTGTTGTGGGTGGTGTGTGTGTGTTGTGTGTGATATGTTGTGTGTGTGTGTGTGAGATGTCTGTGTGTGTGTGTGACATGTTGTGTGTGACATGTTCTGCGTGTTGCGTGTGTGTGTGTGTGTGTGTTTTGTGTGTGCTGTGTGTGCATTGTGTGCGTGTGTGTGTGTGTGTTGTGTGTGTGTTGTGTGTTGTGTGTGTGTTGTGTGTATTGTGTGTGTGTATTGTTTGTGTGTGTTCGTGTGTGTGTGTGTGATGATGATGATGATGATGATGATGATGATGATGATGATGATGATGATGATGATGATGATGATGATGATGATGATGATGATGATGTTGTGTTGTGTGTTTTGTGTGTGTGTGTGTGTGTGTTGTGTCTGTGTGTTGTCTTGTGAGTGGTGTGCGTGTGTGTGTGTGTGTGTGCGTTGTGAGTGTGTGTGACATGTTGTGTGTAACATGCTCTCTGTGTGTGTGTGACATGTTGTGTGTGCGTGACATGTTGTGTGTGTGTGTGTGTGCGTGAGATGTTGGGTGTTTTGTGTGTGTGCGTTGTGTGTGTGTGTGTTGTGTGCGTCTGTGTGTGTGTGTGCGTCTCTGTGTCTCTGCGTCTCTGTGTCTTTGTCTGTCTGTGTGTTTGTCTGTGTGTGTGTGTGTCTGTTTGTGTATACGTGTCTCCGCGTCGTTGTGTCTCTGTGCCTTTGCGTCCTCTGTGCCTGTGTCTCTGTGTGTGCGAAGGAGATGTCCTGAACCTGCTGCGAGCGCGGAAAAATTAATGAGCGCCAATCTATCTAGCAATTGGCTAAGTTTCAGAAGAACTGTTGGATTGGTGCAAGGAGCAAAACAGACAGGCACCTTGTGGATGTGCGTTATCCTGTTGTCTACCCCTGTGTGGGCACGGAGCGCGGGAACTCTGTTCGTCAAAGAGGCCCCTAAAAACACAAAACAATACTGTATTCTTCGGCCGCTGCTTGCAACACATATCTATGCGCTTGTCAACATGCGGTGGTCGAAGTTGTCAATATGCCATCATTCACACATCCTAAATGGACCCAATCAAAACTCAAACTCATTGGTTCCGACTGAAGATAATTGCTGAAGCACTGTTCCCACAAAGCCTGCCACTCATCACTCCACAAGAGACTCATACCCATGTCCTCACGGAACTTGCGAAGCTCCAGCTCCACAAAGCCCTGGAATCCTTGCATCTGAAACCACCAGCTCTGATTGTGTTAGTCCTTTTGCCTGGGTCTCTGGAGCATGCTGGAAGCCACACCACACCATAAGATCATTAGTGCACCACCGCTGACAGGCAAAAGAAGTCGCTCTCTCTCTCTCTCTCTCTCTATCGCTCTCTGTTTCCAGTGGTTCGGGCTTGTGATTCCATGCCTCTTCCAGGAAACAAAAGCAATTGGTCTCACGCATCCCACAACTTTTGCCCACTTGACATCCGATTCCTGCTGTGCAGCACCACTCTCTGTGAACTTGATGCAGGGTTCCTTTCTGGTTCAAGCATCTGTTCGCATGACCACCTTGCTAGGCCAGGATGGCCATCAGGACATCAAGTGCGGCCTGTCTCACTTTGAGAGCATTCTAGACGATAGACTATCCGATAGATCGAGAAACACACAATCAAGGTTTCAAAGTACCCCGCAACCCACTTCCAAACACAGGCCCACTGCAAGTGTTGGCCGCGCGTGCGGACAGGCCACTGCCCTGGCTCTTGATGATCCAGTTCTGATCCTGCGCCGAACACGGCTCAAAAGGGTCGCAAACGCACGCATTGCAAACACACGCGCGTAGCCTGCCTACAGCCACAGGCTGGGAGTGTGGGGCTTTTATTCATATGAGCGAGGCATCCGAAGGCATAAGCACATTTCTTGTCGAAGTTTTTCTCCCAAGCACAGCTCCAAAGTTGTTTACCCATGGTCTCACATGGCACATGCATGTCGGAACGCGTCGCAGCATGTAAGCATGCGGGGCTTGGCAAAGACAAACTCAGCCATACGTTTGATTTTCTGGTCATGCTGAGTGTCCAAGGCGAGCCTCAGCTCCATTCCCCTCAGAGTCCCGATCAGCCGAACAATCCAGGCTGGTATTTGCAATCAGTTGGGGAGCAAAGGCAGCAACAAGGTTGAAGTTGTGGATTTAGACGCATTCTCCGAACCTTCCTGCCACATGGAATCTGATGTACTGCAAGCCTTCTTGCGGAGCCCCCGTATGCAGAATCAATTGAAGCACAAGGTCTCGGGCGAAACTTTGGCTTCAAAACAAATGCAACATGAAAGTGGGGCATCGGCATGCGCTGTAACAACCTAAACATATCAGATTGTTCCTAACATCAAGGCCCCCCCCATAGTTTCCTCTCCAACACATTTCAGAAAGGGCTCCACACGGGCACATGATCGACTGCCTGGATGATCTTCCCCACGTCCATGGCTCGCGCATGCCCACTGAAGCGGATGCATCCCAGAAAGAACTCTTCGATCTCCACGTAGCCTCCTCGAGACAGGGCTCCTAAATCCGCCGGGCCGTGGCATTGGCTGCCAAAACACGCCGGATGCAAGCCAGTCCAGAAGGCACCGTGGCAAACCAGTGCAAGCCACGGGGAACCTTCCACACACCAAACACGCGCCAAACGCACTTACCTTCCCCCCCTCCCATACAAACCTCAAGCAAAGCCTCTTTGAGGCCAGCTTCCGGGACAAGCAGCGGGTATTACTGCATGTGTGTTACGCAAATATCAATATGCAGGATACTACTTTCTCAACATACAAGCTTGATAATTTACATGGTTTCAGAAGATAGAACATGTTTTCTGTCTAGATACGATATGGATTCAATCTGGACATAAGCATACTGGACATTCGAACACTCTATCCGATTGCTTGTTTCAAAGGGCGGAAATCTCAACATTCTGCCTTTTTCGTTTCAACAATTCTCAACACACACATTCTATATCTGATTCTCCTGGACTTTGTCCATCCCAAAAACTTGTAGACCCCACGGTCCCCCATCCATGGCATCCATTTCGCCAGGATACTTGAGACTATCTTGAAGACGTACCTGTGTTTGACGCAGGTTGGGGCTGCAGAAACCCCACTGTTAAGCAGCAAGTGTTGGAGGCTTGCAGGGGTCTTAAGGAGTTCCTATTAGCGACAGTTAGCGGCAATTAGCGGTGAATAGCGGCTTAGCTTGGCGCAAACAACAAACCGCCACAAGATTTGTTTGCCGACATCAACAAGCGTTCACTACCTGCGTGGGAACATTTCAAGCTATGTAGGGCGCGATTGCTTTCGGTTGCTTCAACTCTTCCGTTAGCTACGTTTGTCAAGCTTGGGAAAGCTCAGGCCCAGCTCCCATGCAAGAAAACTCTTTGCCTTGGTCAAAGCCTCCGAGTCCCCAAGTTGGGCCGCGCCTGCGTCAGTGTCCAAGAGCTTAAAAAAGGACCAAGGGTCCCAAACGTCGAGGCCTGTTGTTGTTGTTGTAGTTGATCAGGACGGCACCCTGACACGGGGTAGCCGCCCGCCACCATGAAAAGAAAACACGTGAACCAAGTCAGCGTCCTCACAAGCGCGTCCTCACAAGCTGTGTCTGCGGTCAGACATCCGCTCGCGAATGGCCTTCTGGAAAGGTTCTGTGACCCTAGCTTGCTTTCTCACCACATCAGCCGCCCATTGGTTGGCAGCATCAACACGCCCCCTCAAGCTGCTGATCCAAATACGATAGTGATCCAGAACAGCGGAAGCCCCCTTGTCCGCCCAATCGTTCATTTGACGGCATATCGAAGCATCCGGCCAATCGACCGGGGGACACCATTTCTGCTTCTTGCCATGAGAAGGAACCCAATAAGCAAGAAGCCAAGGAATCGCTGTAGCGATGTCATCCCAAAAAGTCCACAACTCACGGTGTCGCAGCACCCGGCTGGCTTTCCAGCGACTCAGCTTGACCACCAAAGCCAAGTTGTCCTGGAGTACCCGCACCTCTCGGCCAACCCTCGCAACCGCGAGGGCGGCAATGCGTAGGGCCCAGCGTTCACCAGCGGCAGCAGACTGCTCGAAAGTGGGGACCTCGCCAGACGCCAGAAGACCCCCCGGGCCCGCAACGGCCCATGAGGCACGTTGCCACTCAGCCCCGTGGAAACCGGAGATGGCCCCACCGTCCAATGCCAAGATCGGGATCTCGTCGTCAGGGCAAGCCATGAGAGCTTGCACGACAGCCGAAATGGCAAGGTCCTCATTGGCCGAGACGCTCGGAGGCGCTTGGTCGGGGTGAACCAAAGGTGTGAGCATGCGCCTCTCTACCTCTGTACGCCTGTCCAACGTCCAGGCATCGGCGATGCAGTCGAAGGTCAGATGATGGCGGGACGGAGTCAAAACGCCACATCTGCAAGGGAGAGAACCTCCAAGCCGTTGAAGGTCTCGGCCATCCTGAGCGGCTCCGCATGCAACACGAAGGGATGCAAAGGTGCCAGCCTCGGTGTGTCGCCCCAGTTCTGACCAGACCGGGAACGAACCCGCTGAGATCGGGCCGCCGGTCTTGGTGTCCACGGCCCACAAATGGTCCCGCCAAGCCCGCCGCAGCTCACCACGAAATCCACGTTCAGAAATGTGGCCCGTAGAAAACGCTCCAGAGGAGGTAGCCCAGGAGTTGCCCTCCAGCTGCCATCCAAGGGCTTGCAAAGCGGCTCCAACACGGGGACCAGGGGTCCCGCCGGCTCCACTGCCAAGACGCCGCCATTCGTGGGTCAAAGCAGCGCTGTGGAGAGCAAAACGTGGATGCTGCTCCAGGCCGGCCACGACGTTCCAAAATAGGCACGCCGATCTCCCACTAGGCGTCTTTCTGCCCCAAATAGTCATCTCCACCTGAGAAGTCCAGCCGTCGATGGTCGCAGCCAGGAATCGCACCCAAGGGGCGCAAAATCTGAACTTAGAGATCATCAGGATCGCGACCAACCGAGCACGGAGCTTGCTGGACAGGGCGACCATGCGAATGCGCCGGCCCCGCTCCTTCAAATCGGAGGTGATGTCCTCCGCCGCGTACACCGCCTGCCCCTGGGTGCGATAGCGCACCCCGAGCAGCTTGAAGTCCACCTGCGGGATGCCCACAGTGTCCGCAAGTTCCATCAGTCCTTCACGGACGCTGTCGGAGGTCCCAAATGACTCCAGCTTGTTGGGGTGGAGCTCAAAGCCGCAAAGCCGGTCAATGCGGGCGCCCACCTCGACACCCCGACTGAGTAGAGGGATCGGATCTCGGTCACATGCCCAAAGGGTTCTGTCGTCAAGGAAGACGCCGAAGGACAGGCCGGGCACCTCGCGTTCAACCACCCGACTCCAGTACGCCATGAGGCAGTTGAGGAGGAAGGGAGAGAAAGGACAACCCTGCAACAAGGAGCAGCTCCCGGAAGTAGGAAAGGCCGCGAAATGCTCCTGGACGCACACGAACCGCTCCTGGCCGGAGTAGAAGTCCCGAAGAAAGTTCGTGGTTGCCGAAGGTGCGCCCCACCACTCCATGGCCCGGAGAGCGATTTCCGGGTGTACACGGTCAAAACACTTCCGAACATCCGCCTTGCAGCCGGCCACCGGGCGTTGAGCACTCCGTTGGTGAACGGCGGCATGAAGACGCGCATGAAGCTGGTCGGCTGACCTGTTGGGGACGCCACCGTAAAGCTGCAGAGGGAGCCAGGACTCCGTCCAATCTGCCAGGCCAGCCAGGACTTCGGATGCCCCCAAGCGCCAGGCGAAGGAGGCGATGGCCAGGGGCCGATTGCCTCCATCCGGCTTGGGAAGCAGAACAACCTTGATCTGCTTCCAGACGCGGGGAATTGAGGCCCCCTGCAGGATTGCGTTCCAAATGTCCGCCATCGCCTGGAAGAACTCCAAGGGGAGGTGTCGCAACAGACTGCCAGTCCAGCCGTCAAGACCGCCAGCTTTCTTGGCGGCAGCCCGTGCCCGTCGAAAAAGAGCAGGTCCCTCGACCCGAAGGTCCCCTGCAAAAGGCCTCTGCACGGCTTCGGTCGCAAGGGCGGCAGACAGCTGCGCCGGATCAGGGCGGTCAGCCGGGCTCCACAAAGAGCTGAGTTCAGCAGCAGCGCGCTCGGCCTTGGCCTGAGGATCCGGATCAGCATCGAAAGTGGCGAAGTCACTGATGACTTGGTCCGACTTGGCAGCAACCCATCGGGCCAGGCGAGGGAGGTCCGTCTGGATGGAGTCCTTCCATTGGGCGACGCGCGCCTTCTTGGCGCGCTGCGCCTCAGCGTCCGCATACTCCAGAAGGCGATGGCCCATCTGTTCAGGTGGCATACCCATCAACTCAGGGTCATCGAGACGGCCAGCCAGCTCTCGCAAGTCACGACTCAAGTTGTCGGCCAGCCCGGGGTCCCCAGGGCGGCGCCCCAGCTCGGCCGCCCTTCGCGCAGCCCTCCGCAGGCGGCGCTCAAGCAGTGTCTGGAAGTGCTTCAGGTTCTGCTTGTGGTGTTCGGGAGCCCGAGGTCGCCCAGGTACACCACGAGGAGGGGCTCTGTCGTTCGGGGAGCAAGCCAGGGCCGTTTCTGCTGCTTCGGAGAGCAGCCTCCACGCCTCACTGGTGTCCAGGACCTGCACCGCTTCCGAAAAAGACTGACGGTATAGGTCCCACACATCATCCCACTGAGCAGGCTCTTCACATCGGAGCGCCCTGGTGGGCTGCCATCGAAGGGGACGGGTGAGGTTCCCAACCTCCAACCCATAGGTGACCAGATCATGGTCAGCCACGGCAACACACTGAGTCCTGTCTTTGACGGCAACCCTTGAAGAAGAGAGGCCGAAGTCGATGCACCGCCCCGTGAGCTTGCCTTTCGGGTCACGGTGGGTTCCGCCTGGTTTCACATAGGCCGGGTCCATGGATCGAATCCGGCCCGTAGACAAAAGACCACCCAAGGGGAAGCTCTCCTCCAACCGGTTCCAGTCCCCGACCAAGATGAAGTCCTCACCAGAGCCAGCAGCCCATTCGAAAAGCCGGTCGATCATGACATGGCCCAGCGCGTCATCGTTGGCAGGAAGGTACAAGTTCAGCAGAAGAAGAGGCCGGGCGCCCGGACGAGAGACCTTGGCCGCCATAGCCCTATGCTCGAACTGGAGCTCTTCCGGCAACGCCAGCATTTCTACGGGCCACGTGGTCACAAAGGCCACGCCACCACGCGGGTGACCCTGATTGTCCCACCCCTGGGGGCCCACCAACAGATCCCATCCAAGTGCATGGAGAGCTGACCTGGTTGCTTTGACGCCCTCCTGCGTGATCCTGACCTCCTGCATGCAAAGCACCTGCACGCCTTCCCGGACCGCCAGGTCTGCCACCGCTTGGGCACGTCCGCTGAGGGTGCGGACGTTCACCGTCCCGATTCTCAAAGTGGACGCCATCATGGCGCCACCTTGGCCCCCAACCCACGCGCCAGGGACTGGCGCTCCTCCGACCACTTCACCTCGCTCATCTGGGCTGGCACCCCAAGCGCCGTCAAGGCGGTGCGGGCAGCCTTTGCCTTGACACCCTCCGTGTCGAGGAAGGACCGCAGCATGGCGATCTGCTTCTTGGGGCGCCTCACCGTGACCCCGGAGCACGCGCTCTTGAGCTGCTGCCCCTGGCTCCACATGCCCTTGCACTCCTCGCAAATGAACTTCACAGAGAGGTCCTCGGGCCAGACCACGGCAATCAGGTCATGCTCCTTATTGGCCCTTTTGCGGTCCTGCTGGACGGCATCCTGGGCTGCCCGGAGCACCTGCATGGCGTGCTCCGTGGCCGCTCGAACCTCATCCTCGAGCTCGTCTTTGAGGGCACTCTCCAACCGCTTGAGCAGCATTGTGCGCCGACCACCGGCCGCAGAAATGACACAGTCCCGCTTGGCCAAGGCCTTGGCGGCCACATCGAGCTGGCGGCACTGGGTGCAGTATATGCGGCGTATCAGCCTTTCGACTTTCTTTCGGACCCCCTGGCCCGGAGGCGGGGGAAACGACAACCACAAAGGGTCGTGTCCAGCTTCCTTGGCGATGCCAAGTTGCGCAAGGCGGTCAGCAACCCCCTTGTTGCGCTTGGCGATTGTCGCCTTGGTCGCATTTCCCTTGCTGTTTTCCTTGACATGGAAGAGCTTGGGGTCGGCCGTGGGGTGGGCCTCGCGATGGTGGCGCATGCGCACCATGTGGCGGAGCTGGTAACGCGACTCCCGCGTCGCCATGCCCAGGCCGCATCCAGGAATGGGGCACTTCCAGATGCAGCTTGAACTCCAGGGGACCAACAAAGCTCGAACCTTGCGCTCTCGCAGTTGCACAGCCAACTCGGGGTGGAAGGTCTTAATGTGCGCATGCTTTCGCCTTGACCAACCCGCACCCTTGCCCGTTTTGAAGCCGCACTCAGTGCACTTCCACAGATTCTGGGCCCCTCTGCTGCCGGCCAACTGGCGGACTCTGCTCCTACCCCTTTCATTCCCAACCAGCACCGGAGCAGGAAGCTGCTCATCATCAAGATTGGGGAGTCCTTCGCTCTCCACGTCCGTCCCAATCCACTGTGATTTGCCCAGGTCGCTCTTGAAGAAAGAGCGGAGGTCCCGTGCGTCCCGCGCACTAGCGTCCTGGCCCTGATCGCTCCGACTGCTGGTCGCAGTCCCGCCTGGCAGGGCGGGCCGCGCTGAGGAAGAAGAGCGCAGTGAGGGCGTCGGGTTGGCGCGCTTTGCACTCTGGGCCTTAGCGCGCCCTGGGCCTTTGCCAGAGGGTGACGCTGGTCGCTTTCTGTCACTTGTGTCCCGCCCGCCCCTCCCGCGATTCGCAGTCCCGTCCAGTCGGACAGGCCGCGCCGAGGAAGAAGAACGCAGTGAGGGCGGGGGGTCCACGCGCTCGGCTTTCCGGTCCCGAGCCTTCTGAGGCACAGCCTCACCCGCAGAGTTGGTGGTGTAGACGGTAAGGGCGTAGTGAGACTCCTCCTCGGGAATATCACCCCCTCCGCCGCGCCCTCCTTCTTTGCTCCCAAACGCGGAAATCGAAGTGATTGCCGCGGGATAACCAGCAGCCTCGGGCTTTAGGTAGTCGTAGTGCCGCTGGTTGTAGACCATGGCAATGGGGAAGGCGCCAGTACCGTGTCTCGAGGGAGGAGCATCCGGAGCCAAGGGGACCACATATACCGTGAGGTTGTACATGGCAGCCGCAGCATCCAACTCGAGATGTCCCAAATATTTCCCATCTTGCTTGATCTCATTCAAGTAGTCATCGAAGCTGGCCAGCACATCCTTATCATCGTTGGAATCACGCCCATCCCAAAAACCTGCATAAAGGTCAGCCTTCTTGCCCATGTTGGCCACCAGCTCGGCTCGAAGCTGTCTTACCCCGGGTCGCTTCGCCGTGCCCTTGTTGTGGGCGATGCCCATGCCCAAGGCGTGAAGTAGGCAGTTGCCATCCTTCTCGCATGGCACAAGCACCACTCCTTTTGGCAATGCACGCTGCTCGATGGTGCGCCTCTTATTGGGGCCCTCCCCTTGCTTGTCGACCGAGGTCGCATCAGCCTTCTTCTCATCCTGGGGCTCCGGAGCTTGGCGCATGCCAAACTTTTCCCTGGTGAAGTTCTGAGCCGGGGGGACAGGCAAAGTCTTGCGCTTGACCTGGCCCCTGACAGACATAGCCGGAGTCACCCAAAATCTGGCGACTGCCTGCCCTTCCTGAGTGCAGAGGCATGCGTAGTCCTCTGCGGACGCTGCCCGCAGAAGCCACGTAGCTCGTCCCTTGCGGACAACCCGCGAAGTCACCTCCACATTGACCAGGGCGGATTGTTCAGCAAGGAGTTCCTTGACAAGCTCCTGAGTCCAAGTGACCGGTGTGCCAACGATCCGCCAGGCTTTGATGGCGGCAGCATCAGAGACCTTCTTTCGAATGCCCAGCTGGCGGTGTCCGAGGACAAGGCCCCACCTGGGCTTGGTCGCCACCAGTTTTTGCAGCTGCTGCTGCCGCGTAGTGCCATCTTCTCCATCTTGCCAGTCCACCGTGAAGGTTTCGCCGCCCTCTTTCTTGGCGAGGGGTTCAACGAAGAGCCCATCAACGCCGCTCTTTTGCAGAGCGCCCTCAAAGTGCTGGGCGCCGACCCGAGCCAGGGCCACAATGGCCGTGCCGTGGCGCTGCTCTTCAGCTGCTCCCCAAACGTCTCTGACACCCTGGAGTCTGCCAGTGACGAAGCGCCGGAGATTGGCCCTGGCAGCCGAGAAGTCTGCCGGCTGCGTGTGCAGCTGTGCCACCACCACCCTAACCACCGAAGTGGTCTCGACCTGGACCGTCTTGGGCTTCACCTTGGCCGCCTGAATGAGGGACGGCAGCGGGACGGTGGGGTGTTTCCAGTCCTTGCAGGTAACCCGCCGTGGCAAAACCACACCGGAGGGCAGGCGTAACGGGACCGATGTGCTCGCAGCAGGATCCTCCCACATCAACGTAACTGCGCAATGCCCCTCCAGGTTGTTGGCCATCAAGGTGGCCGGCTCCACCTGGTGCTCCGACTCCAAGAAGACCAAGAGGGAGGCACCATCCCCCGTGAACTCGCCAAAGCCTTCGTAGGAAAGAACAATGCCCTGCCAGTCTTGCGCCGCTGGCTTGGCTCTTTCCACCGGGGCAGGTCTGGCTAGGCTGCCAGCCGTGCCAGACTGGGCATTCCCAGCGCCCGGGCCCTTGCCTTTGCCACTGCCAGGTGGGGCGTCAGGAGCGCCTTTGCTAGCCTTGTGAGGAGGACCACCACCCGCAGCGCCACCAGGGGGTCGACCATCAGACCCCTTCCCAGCTTTTGCAGTAGCACCAACCGGTGAGGCCCGCGAAAGCGAAGAAGAGGATGGGGGGAGGTCCTTGTCGGCCGTCCGCACCACCCTCTTCGTCTTCTTCTTTTTCTTCGGCTTCGGTGAGTCTCCACCAGCTCCCTTACCGCCAGCATCATCATCCGCGGACTTACCAATGCCGAGGACGCCTTTCAGCAGGCTAATAAGGGGGTTCACATTGCTGCGAGGTAGCAGCAACCTGATTGCCGCGGCAATCAGGTCTGTTAGCTCAGCTTCTTGCCTTTTCCTCTGTGTGACTTTGGATCCGGGCCCCGGGTGGGAGGCCTCCCCCACCCTTTGGCCCCGGTATCCCCAAACACTCCTCTGATATGCCCATGGCCAAAACTTTGGCTCTGTCTGTGCCCTTTGCAAAGGGAGAAGTTCACATGCGGCTTTGCCAGAAGCCGTGCAAACATACCATGTGGAAAATAATGCGGAAATCCATCCAAGCCAGCAAATACTTCCAAAGCAAATGCAAAGCTGAGGTGCGGACCAATGCACAGGTAGGGCCCTCGCGGATTCATTCGTAGAGGGACTGGCCTCCCTCGCCGCCATCTCGACGGGGACGATAATCCGAAGATGGCAAACGTCGAAGTAGTCGCCTGGCATTGAGCAACAAGCATGGAGGTGGCCTGCATTTACAAGACGACGGTCTTCTAAAGTAGCCCCCGTCAAAACGAAAGCCATGTGGCTGAGTTACAATCGTTTTCCCACCTGAAAACACCATTTGTGAGGTTTCTATCATGTGCCCAAAGCCGTTGGCGTGTTGGGGCAACAAGGTTGCATTTTTCCAATAGCACTCTTATTTCCAGAGTTATCCGAACACGCGACACGCAAGCACGAGCAACTACTGCTTCTGACGTAGCTGATTGCTGATCGCAGATTCAGTAGTGATTCTTTAAAATATTGTTCCTGATTTGGGCCAGGATCCTCTGGAGGGGGGTGGGGGGGGGCATGCATTTGGCCCGAGAGCATCCAATTACGGGTCGCGTATGAACAACAAACCGGCATTCCAAGCGGTTTTCTGCTGCACATTGATCAGACCTATCTGCAGGACAGTTGCGCACTTGTGGGGAGCTCATCTTCTCCTCGAACATGCCGAAAGTGATGGCTCCAGTGCTCCTCGGATGTTGGCTCGGAGCGACGCCTGATATAATACATTGTCGCTGCCAGCATCATTCCGCCCTGGTCTGTGCAGATTCGACCGGTTGCACCTCCAGTCACCTCCCAAAGGTGTTTCAACTTGCACGACTTGAAAGAGGTTCATTTCAGGAAACATGAATCTTAACCCTTTACCGGACAGCACACTTGGATGATGGTGGCAGGTCCAACCTTCAAGAGACGTACATAGACCCTTTGGAGATGTCCTTTCTTCAACTGAGCCCGGCAGAGATTAGCTTGATGACGTCCAAAGCCAAGACTAACATGGGAATTCAGCAAAGAGACAAAATCAAAAGAGCGAATACGCAAATGGTGGCAAGCAAGCCACACAAACGAAAGCCAGCAGAGGGGAAAACACAAAGAACAAACAAGGAGCACCAAATGAGCAAACAGAACAAACAACCAACAACAAAGCACGGGAAAGTAGGGTGGGAGGGGGAGGGTGGAAAAGCTTGAAGGGCCGAGGGCAAAACAAGAACAACAAATTGCACAGGAATAACGACCACAAGGTGAGCAACACACACATAGACTAAAGCATCAGCCAAATGCAGAGGTTGTTTCGTGTGGTTCTGCCTGTTTGTTCCTTCTTGCACCGCAGTGCTGCGTGTCCTGTTTGTGCGCTGCTTTATGTTCTGTTCGGTTGTTTGGTTATATGTTTGCAAAACGCTGTGCATCTTAGTAGATGCTCTGCTTAGAGGAGTCTCACCCACGCTGTATGGGCATACCGCGACACAGTCACAGATTGCGCTATGTCAAAGCCACCCACAGGCGTCTGGAACCTGTCCAACCGCCCCGGGAAGCCCTGTGCCACGGACGAGGTGCGGAGGTTGGATTGCTGAACCTTCTGCAAATGAGTATGAAGCCAAAAAGTGAGCATCCCAAAAGGAGCTTCCGCAAGAATGGTAGCTCCTGTTGGTTCCATCTCTATCAGGAGAATAGCCTCTGAAGTATGGGTCGAGTCGGGCTTTCTGATTGCGTGTGCCACAGTTACAGGACGCTGTTTGCAGTGTTGCTTGGTTGTACCTAGTCACGGTGGTCATTCCCTACAAGAGGGTCCGTGTACAAAGCTTGTGGGAACAGTCTGAACATGTCTCAGAACGCAGGGCTGCAATGTCTCACGCGCTGTGGACAGGCATTCCGAAGGCCTCTGGTGTGAACGCTGGTTCTTGCTACTCCGACCTCACATTGCAAACTGTGGCAGCTTCAGCAACCAGCCAACACGAGCGCAGGAACGACACCACCCCTGCAAGCCACCAGCGTCACAGTCGCACGAAAGCGCTGATGCACAACAACGCACAACACCGAGAAACGTCCGCAGCCAAAGTCACTCCCGGAGCTGTGGCAAGACAGTCTTTTGGGTGGGCGCTCTTCGCTCAGGAACAACCTGCCTTGGATCACAGATTTGGGAGGAGACTGGCACGTAACCACAAACATCACAAGAACACATGGTATTCTGCAAGAGAGTCCAATACGTCAAGTCAAACCGCGCCAGACTGGGACCAGCCTGGACAGGGTCCCAAGTCCCGGTCCCTGCCGGCGACCGGTCCAGGGCAACTTCGGGAGGGCCAGTTTCAGGGCGACCCCGGGAGAGGCGACTGCTCCCGGCCAACTCGAAGTGACTTGGGCGCAAGCCGGCCCAAGCGGTAATTAACGGACTAGCTGCCCTATTTCTGACTTTTCCGTTAATCCTTGTTTGTGGTCAACTTCGGGAGGGCCAGTTTCAGGGCGACCCCGGGAGAGGCGACTGCTCCCGGGCCAACTCGAAGTGACTTGGGCGCAAGCCGGCCCAAGCGGTAATTAACGGACTAGCTGCCCTATTTCTGACTTTTCCGTTAATCCTTGTTTGTGGTCGTAGAGGATCTTATAAGTGGTCCCTGGGTTTGCGGACGTGTTTCAGGACCGGTCCTTGTGACTTTTCCCTTAATGCGCCGAGGGTCGGCGGCAGCAGGCGGGAGCCTGGTTAATAAACTTGCATGTGTCCAGTTCAAAGCATGTTCTGTTAATGCTTTGAACCCCTAGGACAAGGCCATCATATAGGCTTGTTGTTCGCTCGCGCAAGCTTGGACAAACAGTTCGTTGAATTCCGTGCGCGCGCCCGCCCACCACCCAGAGTGATGCGGGGAGCAGCCTACGTGCTGTTCTCGTCCAGGCCTTGTTGTCCAACATGTTCTGCACTACTGTGGTGTGGTCTTTCTGCGCAGCCTCAATGGCACCTTGGTGGCAACTGTGAGAAGTTTACCTGCTTGCTCCCGCATGCATTCTCGGTAGCACGATTGGCAGAATATGCCTGTCTTGCTGGCTGACTGATCGCAACTACCCATTGCTCAAAAAGGAAGTTAAATGTCCAAGAGCCGACCAACCAGCAGCCAAGGCACTCTGACAGAACACTGCAGTCAGCACCTGGTGCGGCGGGTGTATTCGGAGCCAAGCGGCAGCTGACAGAAATCACAGAACTCATTGACTCCTGCCCCTTGGCAAGCATGCCGGGTGCCCCGACCACCAAGAACCCACTCACCATCATAATTGCGGGCTGCGTGCGTGGCAGCACCCCAAGACAAACCATCTTTGACGTTACAAGTCAATGAGACACTCGTGTGCCATGAGGCGGCAATGTGTTTCGCCAATGGGGCGGGACCCCAGGCCAAACCTAATTTTGTTCAAGAACAGAAATGTAACAGCTTTGAGCTCGGAAGTGAAAGTGTGTTACCATGACTTGCGGCCAAAGTTCATTGAGGACCGCAAAAGTTGTGAACGCTATGAAGAAAACGAAGAGCAATGTCCTGAGGCCGGCCGCACGTACGAAGCCCATCACGTTTGCAAACGGAGCAGCTGACCGCCCAAAAACGCGCAACCCAAAGCCTAAGCTTGACCAAAAACAGTGGGCGGAAACTGAGTTAATTTGGGCGCCGAACGAAGATCTCCCCTGCGCCCCGCTACCTCAAACGGCAAAACACATACTTCAATCAGGATAGGACAAGAGCTTCACGTACCCTATATATATATATATGTATATTTATGCTTATATGTATACATGAAACAATCAGGACCACCCAGACATACCAGGAACTATTAATACTTCTTCGTTTTGATTTATTCATGCATCTATCTATTCACTCGCGTCTCTTGCATGCCAAAAGTAAACCCGATAGTGATGGTAAACAAGTACAATTTATCCAACACCATTTCCTTGCAGCTGGCACATGTTGTAGTGAACTTTGACCAACCTAGATAACGACGTAGGCTTATTGAATATAAGGGAGGGGCGCAGCTTACTGACCGACTATACATTGCATGTTTGATTAGGACATCCGGGGCCGTGCGAGTCCCAGGCGCCCGACTGAATTTGCACACAGTTCAATTTCGCGCGCAATTGCGTGCAAACCGGCCTGCGGGTGGTCAAACAGAGCTGGGGCTTAATTTGCATTTGTGCCAGCCCGGCTCTACAAAACAGAAAAAGCGTTCTTCCTTTGAAGGGGATCTTATAGATTTTGAAACCAGAATGGACACAACAACTTGGGAAGCTCGCCTGTGTTGAGGCAATATGTTGTGCAATCCAAGCGGCCAATAAGTTGAGATCAGCTTCAAGCAGGAGATGGGCTCTTCCCAGCTCACCCCGCCGGCGATGCTCATAAACAAAGCCCTCGGCTCGGCTTGGACAGCGGCAAGCTATCACCCTTTGACGCTGAGTGCAACCTCGGCACTAGTGCAAGCAAGAATGGGCCGCAGTATGGCTGGAGGGGATTGTTAATTTTATTCGCCATGCCCTGAAGTCAAGCCACAAGTAGCAGTTGTTCAGGCTCGAGGGGGGCAACATGGGTTAGCTAGAGTCTTGCAGCTGGATGCCCGCTCCACTCCTACGTCCGGCGGCTGCGCAGGACTTGCTGTACACTTCCTACTTTCCGCATCACCCACAGCGAGTGGAATTGTGACCCCCTCGAAGTGCAGTGCTTCATGAGACGACACATCCGGTCGTTCAGCTGCTTGCAAGGACAATGCGCAGCCAAAGGCGCTGGGGGCGCCACTATGAGCGAACCAGGGCAACGCATGCTGTTTGCAAAACCACGTGCACGAGCAAACTGAACAACGTGATGCCGTCCAACAATGTAATTAAGGCTCAAACCTTCTGCAAGTGCATGCCAAAGGTGAATCTCTGTCCATCATGGAGCTGGTCATGATTCCCTTGACAGTAGGACACGTGTCACTCATGCAGCTGCCCAAGTATGGATATAGGCCATATATAAATATATATATATATATATGTATATATATATATATATCAGGCCCTGTAAAATGATATCTGTGTCGCACCTCAAGGTCGCAACCGTCTTCACAAGCGATGAGCCATGATACATAGGGACATTTGACATTTCGGCGAACCAAGCACTCCGCCGTTGCCACTTGCCTGCCACACGCAATCTCAAAGCCACTGTCAGCTTGGGCAAGGCAAGTCCAAATCAGGTGCACACTGAACCGCAACAAAACCGCTAAACATGGCAATGCAAGGACAAAGTTGCATATGCCCTGGCCAAGTTGGAGAAATCAGCTCCTTCATGTGGCACATGCACCCACAGAAACATGTTTCCCCCAGAAGAACAGCTATCAGACGGGACACATGCTCGTTGTTGGGGGCAGGGCTTCAAAGTATTGGGGCTGCTGTTAGTTAAAACCTATAGCCATGTCCAAGGCACAGCATCGTCTCGGGCAACGACCCGAAATATCGGTGAGCCACATCCGACTCTCCTCGTGCGCCGGCCGGGCTGTGCAAGTGCTCGCGTATTCGTATGCCAAATGGTCAACAGTGTAATCTTGTGCGTTACGTCAGGGTCTGGCCGTAGCTCCCTCTGCAGTCAAGGCCCTCTTCGCTTTCTCTTGCAATCATAGGAGTGTCCGGACCCCTCCCCAGCAGTCATGTGAACGGCTTCCCTGAATGACCAGCTGCGCACATCGCACACGCCCTTCAGTAGATCCGAGCCACCTGTTGGAGTTGGACCCTTTGTTCCCGCCCTGTGGATGCCTGCTGTGATGCGCCGAGGGCTTGGCTCTGTGAAGACGCAGCCCGGACAGCTGCAGGGAGCCACGTGAAAATGGCTTTCACATGTATTACTAACAGGGCCTTGCTTCAGCCAGACCAGAGCAGAATGGCAAAACTTGGCAAACACTATGCTGCTTGGTTCCGTGGGCCCTAGAGATACTTGACAGCCAAAGAATGCTGGATGGAAGCTGGCCAAAAGTTTGTCAGCAAAGATTGGTAATCCAAGTCTCTCCCTTTTACTGGCCCCAGGGACCCACTTCCCCCACAAAAAGCTTTCTGAAGCCGTACTGAAGGCTTCATGAGGCCCAAGGCAATCCATGGGGCCTGTGCGACCGATGGGGGTCAAGGGGGAAGCCCTATTTCAATGGGAAAGCAAAGAAAACAGAACAACTGAACCACCCTTCAGGGCAACCAACTGTTGTGCGAAGGCGGGTTCTGCCCTCAGTCTTCTGCAAGCTTCGACATTTGGCCCTGTAAAAGCATGAGAATCCGAGGGTGCCAGCCCCATATGCAGCTTTAGGCATGTGCCAAAACAACCGGGATATTGCTCCAACCACATCCTCCCAGTCCACCTGCTTTTGCGCCCAGGGCGCTTTCAGGCAAGGGGGGGTTATTGGAGTCGAGCTGGTAGTCATGCACCGTCTGAGCGAAGAGAACAGCGAACCTTCAGCGGGCCAGGAAGCATGCGGCAAACCTTCCATGCAAGCAAAGCTCGAGCCGGAAACCTGGGAAGCGGGAGTGCACTTGGGAACTATTTCGCCATTTGCGGTTGGAGTTGAGACAGTGTGGCACAATTTGGGACCCCCTGTATGGAGCCGAGCTCTGAGGAGCGTGGCAGCTAACAGTATGGATCGTGCTGACGGCTATATCCCTTTTCTAGCTCACAAGGTCAACATCCGTAGGGCTTGCTTTGTGCAAATCCTGACTTTGCACCCAGCTTTGATTGACTTGGAACAACAGATTTGCGCACGTTCTTCCACCAAGAGCAGACGTCCAAGTGCAACGCAAATACCGTGTGGGACGCAGCGCGTCCAAGTAGTCAGAGTGATCAGGGCAAAACATGCAACACTCCATTGGACTTAACATGCCCGAAATCATGGCTTGAACAATCATGCAGGCAATAAAGACCCCACGGGGCGCGACAGGGTGAAGCTCACACCTCAAATTGCGCAAGCCAAGTGAAGGATTCACAAAGAGTCCTCCATGCTTTTCTCACAAACAATCATGGGGATGAGAGAAAGCGTGGTATGGTGGTAAGTTTGCAACCTGCAGCTCGTATCACGCAACCCGGCACCACCCCAATCTTCAAAGGCTTACCCGCGACACAACCCCTCTGCAAACAGCCATCCTTCTGGCGGCCTCTAGGTCGACAATAAAACAAAAAAATGGTGCGGCGAGACTTGCAAGGAGACACCATGTTGCTGTCCTGCATAGACACCGCGCACCGATGCGGAAAACAAAAAACAAACAAACAAAATGACGAGTGAACTTCCCCCTAATGAACAGATTGAACGTCCTTCTCGGCATAGAGGCCGCAAAGAGATGCAACAAACATATGGAATGCATGGACTTTCCATGCACAATGCTCAAGCTTGAATCGCCAGTAAATCTGCCCTGCAGCCCGACATAAGCCAGCTGCCTTGGACAATTCACGGCCAGACTGCATGAACAAGCTTGCAAGAGCCAAGAGAGAGGGGAGGGATACGAGACACGCGGCGAACTCCCCTTTCGGGGAAGCAATCCTGAAGGAAGTTATGGAAGCCCAGGCCCTCCTCCCCCCCACCATGCCCATGTCCCCTCTCCGAACATTGCAAACAAGGCGGCACATACACGATGAGCAGCAGGAGAAGCATTGCCCACAAGAGGGCCTTCAAAGTGTGCACCACTGAGTGCACCAGAGTCCTGCGGATGTTGGAGTGACTGTCAAGGTAATATATGGAAGGCCTGAAATTTGCAAGCGCAACGGATAGGAACAAATTTGGCAACGAGGCAAGCATTGAAGTAACCCACCTGCAAATGCACATTAGCAAAGCAAGAGATAGCTAGCAAGCATGCAAGACCGAAACAGTAAACTGGCAGGTACGCTAAAACCGACGTGAGTTGACCTACTGCCAGGTCCAAACCGAGATGAAGTGTCTCCTGCAGGCCTTGTAAATCACAAAGCCAAGCTCGTGACTCTCAGGTCAATCATCGTTTAAACAAGCCATTGACACGGCAAACACCCCAAAGTATGGAAGGTACATGTGATGAAATATCGCTTTTGCCCCAAGAGAACCAACAGTAGGGTTAGTGGACGAACCGCCAAGAATGATCTTTCAACAGGGTTTTACTGTGAGTGAAGGGGGGGGACCCAGTGAGTTAAAATATGGAATATTCCTAAACAAATGGGATTTTGCTGGTTATTGGACATAGGGCTCCGCAGTCCTCAATGCTATTACATAGCGAAAGACTCGCACCAGTTGCACTGTCTTCAGCATGCGGGTGACGCGTATCAGGCGGAAGGCTTTCCTCGGCTCGGCGAGGGCCGCAGGTGCCCCTTTCCATGAGAGTGCTGCTACAACAAACGCCTCAAGGACCCCACGATGGCCCATGTGCTGTAGATGAAGGTGCTCAACACTTCCCGAATGACCAGACGGAAGTTGAAAACACGCAACGTACCTCACAAGTCACACGCCATCAACCCCTTGTGCAAGATAACTTAGAAAGAAACGCGCTCTTCCAACTTGTCTGTACGTGACTTTGCGCTCATGCAAACATGCCCGCGATGATTTCAGAGCCGGCCGGCTCTTACCAAAGCATTGACCCTTATGGCTCCAACCAACCACATCTGCAAAATCACCCACCTACTGCAAGGATGCTGAAACAACACTTAAATCTAGAACCTACCATCACTTCGGTCGTACCCACCAAAGCCCCAGTGACCACGGAAAAACCAGCAAGGGAAAACAAGGCTCAAGCTGGATGTGCCAGAGATGTTTTGCACGCTGTCGTTCGCCAGCGAGAAGCGAACCTGTACCCACGGGCTGCACCAAAAAATCGTTTCACGAGGGGACATGTTGGTTCATGAAGTGGGGGAAGTGGGGAGTAAAAGGAGCTACCAGAATTCTGGTAATTTCCTAACTTCCATAATGAATTGCGTTGGACATCCTTCGGGAAAAACGCGCAGAATATGAAACGCAACCGCTAACTTCGAGATACTTCGAGGCTCTATCTTCGTTAGTCCTGCTGATCTGATCAGTTTGAAGCAAAAGCCTTTGCAAGCGGCTGGTACGCTGCAATGATTCATCATGCCTCATCGTTCTGCCAAACGACTTACTAAGGGCCCTGGAGCAATGCCGGGAAGATCATGGTTGCTGCTGCCATACAGCAAAGTCCACAGTGACAGCCTGCTACCAACATGTTGGGTATATAGGGAGCGGGGCGAGTGTAGCCACGTCCCGTGCCAAGCATGGCTTTCAGCAGGCACGCCTTTTCAAAAGCAGTCACGGCCAAGTAAGGAAGGCCTACACCTATGCAATCTGCCAGGGAATCCCGCTGGCGGGCAGAATTTGCAACAGGGCCTAAGCACGTTCACTAAAAGGGCGATTGTGTAGTGTAGTAAATGCAGGCCCATGTTCGTTCCAAGGTCAATTTCCAACCTCCGTTTCTCAACACAATGGCAAGTTTGCTCAGCAGCCGATCAGTGGATTGGAAAGCAAGCCTGTGCGGGCTTATCGCTTGGCAGGCGTGGATACGGCGCTGAGTGGATAATTTAGAAGGGGGGGCTACAGCGAAGAATTGCATTCGCCCAGGAAGAAGCGGGACATGACAACACGTGGAACAACATGTTGGATCCTGGAATCCCGGTGGCTGAAAAGTTCCCAATAATTGATCTCAAGAAGAAACAATTGGTAGCAAACATCAAGCCCATGAGTGATTCGCAACAAAGGTGAGGCAGCATCCTGTCAAAGGGAAGTGGTCAAGTGTATATTGTGTAAAGTTCCCAAAGAAAGGGGCTTCATCATGGTCAGCTTGTTGTGCCTCCGCCCGGGTGAGCTGGCCGTGAAATACGGATACTATAGCTTCACCTATGCGCAAAAAGCCCATAGTCAAGGCTGTTCAACCATGTGTCACTCCTTGGTGAACGTTTCAGGCCGCTATGTTTTCTTGCTTTGCCAAGTCAGGGTCTGAACAAATGGAATATCACCCCCTCCCCTTGGTTTCCCTTGCGGAGGACCCTCGAAGAAATATTTCACTTAACTCCAACATATGTTTGCACCGAGATCTGAAATGAAACCCCCGCCGATCTGCAGCCGTCAATGCCAGGCCGTGAACGAAACATGTGGAGCCTGGGGCAACCTCGCACATATGAAAGGCTAGGCACCTGAGCCCTGTTTACTTCAGCAAGAACTGGAAATCCCAAAAACCGGCGACAAGCGAAATGGTCGGAGTCCATGAGTTCATACGTGTGAGGCAACCATTTCTTCCAAGGCGCCATGGTCTCCCAAACGGAGCTCGCCACAATAGTCACATCCAACCACACCCACCTAGGCGTCTCTCGGGGTCCTTGTCCTCTTTGCTTAAACATGCCACGCGCCACTTTCTGATTGGTACGATTTTGGGTTGCTTTGGCGGCCTTTTGGAAGTGCGAAGTTGCACCCAGTTACCCAGTATCCCTGGCAGAAAAGACAACCGGTTTTGGGGTTGATTCTATGTCTAGTGCGCAAACTAACAAAGAAAAGGGGGGAAAGGGTGTCACGAAACCTCCGGGTCGAGGTGTTTGTAGGTGGCTTCCATTTTTGTGGGCCCTCTGAATGGGAAAGTGCACGAAATGCGTGGTTACCACCGAGATTAAACCCAAGCGCTAGACGCCGAATCACAAGGCTACAGGCTATAGGCGCTGAAGGAAGGAGGCTGGCCCGCCATCAAATGATTTCAGATCAGCATGCACCAGCTCCTTGCATCATTTGCATTGCTATACTCGTTGAAGATAGGTCTTCGGTCATTATCTCACTTTTCTTTTCCTCGTTTCTGCGCAAAACCCCGCCTTTTCCGCGGATGCTCCCATTGCCGTACCAAAGTGGGAAGCGAATCTCTGCGGTGCTTGCCCTTTCTTCTCCAGTGGCAAGGGAGCCCTTCACCCATCAGCCCCATAGCTGGATGTTCAGTATCAAATGGGCGGCAATTGGCAAAGGCCCGGGCAAGAGCCTTCAAAAGCTGTGGGAAGGCCTGATTTTTTGCTCGGGCAACGTAGTATGTTCCAATTCAGAAGAGGTTCCAGGAACTCAGCGTTTGCTTCACCCGCTTTGATTCTGCTCCATAGACTGTGAAGCTGAAATGTACCCTAGCCAAAATGTGTCACAGTTGTGAACCGCCAACCTTACCTGGTCAACGTTCAATCCTAAACCTGCTGGATCTAAATCTTCTCTTTTCATCATTTAAGTCAGGAGCAAAGATGTAAAACGGGCCTAAGTTCCAAATTCCCTGACCCTGCGCACAAAACACAAATCCGGCGAGGAGCATCCAATCCCCACTCCAGAGCTGCCGCACGCCCCCGGTGCCCAAGCGCAAAGCAAGCTCCACACCAAAGAGAATCGTGAAGCTTAGCTGCATCACCTGAAAATTGGACGCCCCAAACGGGGTGGGTGACCAGGTTGGTGGGTGGGTGGCTGGGTGGGCGGGTGGGTGGGTGAAAGCACGGAATCTATGTCCTGTGCTTTCTTTGCAAAGCAATTGGAGATGGGCCCTCTTTTGGTACTTAGACATTCAGGTTGGGTCCCTGAAGTACGCATTCTGTGGTGTGTGTTTCTTGCGTCGCTTTTAGTCAATCACAGTGGCGATTCAGGCGGGTTTGCTGTTCCATGCTGTTCCTGACAGTGCCTTTTGTGCGGGTGGCTTAAAAAGCAAACCAAAGGAAACCGTCCACTTCGCGGGTTCCACAATTCGGAACCTATTTAACCCAAGAATCCCGGACAAGGTGGATGGCAGCCGTATCTGCGGGTTTTAGCTTAGAGCCTTGTGACAAATTACCCCTATGTGGGCCCTTGTGGGGCCCAGCCTGACCGCAAGCCAACTAAGCATCAAGCACTTGTTCAACTCTAGCGGGGCCCTTTGCTCCCCAGCCTGCCAATATGCCAGTTTTTGGCAAAACATCCGCATCAGCAGGGGAAGACGAACCGTATCAGCTCCCATGGTCCACACCTCAAGGATTTGACGTTGTTCATTTGTTGGATTTTGTTCGCCATGCCTCAGCTTCCATCATCAAAAGAACACCGGTGAATTACTGCTAAAATCCAAGTGACCGGGAACCTTCACTGCTTGGCTGCTCCAATTGAGACCGACAATCTCAGCTTAACTCTTCACTACGACAGCGCCCGAACGCTACCTGACAGACGAAAAAGCTAGGGCCAATGAAAGCGCAGGCCATGGATACCTTGTGACCTGGATGGAGTCCATCTCCTACTTGACTCCTTGACCGCCAAAGAACAAGCCAAAGGCTTGAGATAGCGCTGGAAGGACACAAGCAGAACGCATGAAGCTGGGCTTGTGGGAGGGCCTCCGCTTCTCACTAGACGTTAATATGCTCAGTCCCGCGGTTTGGCAAATTTGAGCCACGCCATTGAGCGGTGTTTCCATAAATGTATATATATATATGTATACATATATACCATATATATATATACATATACATATTATGGATGATTGAACAACGCATGAAGACCGCCCAAGCCAGCAATGACCTCCAACTATTTTACTACTGGTAACAGGTGGGGGTCATTCTGCAATCCTTCAAATCAGATGATGCAAGTGCGTGTCAAACATCCAGTCGGTGTTTCATGGTGTTTCCTTCACGAGGATGGACAAACGGACATCCCTCAATGGTTTCTACCCGTGTCTCGGGAGTACCCCCAAGACCTCTCTAAGCACCGGCTCCGAAGGCAACACCTGCCCACGCACAAGCTTTTCCACATCTCCCATCGGCGCCTCCATCCAAGGTGAAGGACCATCCCTTGGGACAGGCGCAAAAATGCAGTGGAATGCAAATGAGGGCTGGATCAGCCACCTGCCCAATATGCTTCCACCACTGCTCAGGAGACCCATTTGGACCAGTCGGCCCCTGAAGCCCAAAATGCACTTGCTGTGTTCATCTCTGTCGCTGATGGTGTCTCAGGCTTGTGATTTTTAGGCTTGCTGTTGTCCAGCTGCTTATAGCGGAGACCAACCACTGGGAGCTATGTGGGACAGGCCTGGGAGAGGCTTTATGGCACTTGGCCCACGGTGACATCTGTAGGCCTCTGGTAAGGACCATCAGCTCATGGCCCACCCTTGTGGGCCTTCATCGCTGCAGGTCTACATCCACCGTGCTCAGTGCTCGCAAGTAGCCGTGCCTTCCAGTTCAGCATCCCTGATATGACCAGCCAGCCAGCCATGCTCGGGCTCCCTTAACAAAAAAGTGGCTCCAAAACTAATCCTTCGAATCAGCTTCAGCATCAGATCAAGCTTCCAAGTTCTCTGCTTAGGATTTGTCCACCCCCCCAATCAACACTCTAAGTGAAAGAACACGGAAGAAAACGTGATAGAAACTCCCCGGCTTGACAACGACACGTTCAAACACGAAACATGGCAGGGCAAAGGGGGTTGTTTTTGAATGAGGACCCCCTAGGCTGTTTAGCACTTCAAGCGGCTGGTCCCTCAGCCCCAGCTCCACGTCCACAGCCACCTAAGCATCAGTTCCGAGAAAAAAAGAAAGAAAACGCCGGCTGAAAGCATTGCTGCCTTCTGGAGTAATGCTCCATATAGGAACAAAATGCCAAAAAGTCAGCCAAGTAACTAAACATGTCAAATTAAGCAACAACCATGCATCAACATTATCAAGCCTCCAGTTTGCAAGTCAAGGCTGCTCATTGGAAACAAAGACGCTCAGTGCTTGCCCGCAAACAATATTCAAAGTCAATTGAAGGTGTCCCATGTGAAAGTATCAGAGTCAAGTACTATGCTTGGAAGGAGTCTGCGGCATCAAGAAGGTGCTTACAAATGAAATCCCTCTCTTCTCATGTCGATTTATTTGTTCCTGAGAGGCCGAGTTGGCCAAGGCCACCTTGAACGCTCGAACACGTCGATTCGCCAACCAAGAAAAACATGTCTTGGTAATGACTCACCGTGATAGTCAAAGTTGGCTGAGTGCTACCCATGTGTGAGGCGCATGTGACTTTGGAATGAAATCACACGGCGAAAGCTGTGGGGAGACAGCTTGCCATGGCCCTCAGCGCCCCCATTTCACTTACTGGCAGTCGAGGCGAAGGAATCAGCGGCGGGGTTCCGAAATTCCCCAATAGCCCCCCCCTCCCACAACCCGCAACAAGGCCCGGGCCCCCTTTCAAGGGACACCAAACGGAGGTTGCAAGCACACATCTGAGCAAGTGGCCCAATCCTGCGTTCCAAACCTGGTCCCACACATACAAGCCACGAAAATTGCGTTTGCCACTACCACGAAGGTGTAAAAGACATCAAAGCCCGGGTGATTCACGCAGTGCAGCAAGTGCTTCGAGCGCTGCGAGGTTGTGAGCTCTGCTGGCACGGCCTCTTGCAAATGGCCCGAGGGAAGCAAAAGAAGCAACAAAGGTAGGGGACAACCAGTCAAGCGTCAAACCCTCGCCAGGCGGAGAAAAACATTTGTGTATACGTTTAAATATACATGGATGTGCACATATATATATATAGTATATTGAGTATACAGGAAGCCTGGAACATATATTCCAAAACACTGGCAACTTATGTCCTCCTTTCCCTTCATCAACATCCCTGCCTGTTTGGAGACTACTTCCCGGCTGCGTGCTTCACGCTTCATCTTGTTGTCCTGGTATGTGTAACCTGGGCGAAAGCCATACCTACCCTCCCGTCGTCCATAAGAGGCCGCGTAGGCCATGTTCATCTTGAAAGCACCCGAGTCCGCTTCCATGGCGGTGAGAGGAAAGTATGTGTCTTTTTGGACTATCGATGGCACTGGTAAGCGATTGAAACCAAATCAGCGGAACCCATCTATGTCAACCAAAATGGCACAGCAGGACACTTATAGAGCCACACATTCACAACCCGAGCGGCCCCAAAATTGCGGATACAACAAGCCATGCGGGCGTTCGCCTTCCTTTGCTAGCTCTTGCCATTGCGAAGGAACACCGATCAGGAACAACGATCACGAACACCTTGCCACGCCATGACATCCTTGATTGGGCAACAAACGTCACCAGCAAACACCATCTGATGTCCTTCCCAATTGTTGCTGATGGCACCCTGTTTTCCAACAATCATGAAGCGGACAGAAGGCCTGTTCAAGAGATTGGTGGTCTTCCGAAACCCTAATCGTGGGAAAAAGGGCAATGAACAAAACACATCTCCCCGTCTTTTGTTCAAAGATAGGAGTCACAGTCAGTCATCATTGCGTCCCCCGACTTGTGTGCCAAATGTGTCAAGGGTCACAACCCCACATCCGCTCCATATACCTAGATCTTCTTTGAGAACAATTTCCCAACATTTTCCTTAAAATGCAAAAAACAACGCGCATTGTTGGAAAACACGCTCATTTACCAAAAAAAAAACACATTTCGGTTCGACCAGCCATGTTCAAAAAAAGTTGGTTTTGGGCTTTCCGCCGATTTCCGCGCATTTTCCGCCGATTTCCGCGCATTTCTGGTGGCCAAATTTGCAGGATTTTGCAACAAAATGGGTGCGGAACATGAAATTGGCCCGCGTAGATTTAGGAAATTCCGCTCAATTGGCAAAATGAGCAAAAAAAACGTAATGAGCAAAAACATGTTTCTTTTTGAGGGTCCAGGTATATGGAGGTTCTCACAATGTTGACTCCCTTCTTGTGGCTTCAAAGGGACACAAGAACAGAACGGTCCCCTATTTCGAGAAACGCCCAGATCCATGTCTGTCCGCGCCGCTTTTGAAGAGCTTGGCCTTGAACGGCCGGAGAAAGGCCGCGAGGCTCTCGCTCGGGCGCAGCTGCGAGCTGGCTGGCCGCGAGATAGACAGCTCTGGCCGCGAGAAAGGCCGGAGACATGCAAAAACATGAAAACCCTCGAAAGAAGGCAAATCACGTTTGCCACTCAACAAAGAGGTTTAACTGTTGGGACTTTGATTGACCCAAAACCGACCAAAACCGCCCAAAACCACCACGCACCCAAAGTTAGAAGCTTGGCCTTGAATGGGCAGAAGGACAGGGCACCTCGCGAACTGAACTCTGGCGCCCAGGGTGGCCGGCCATGCCCTTCATGTTCCGAATTTGGATAGCGACTGGGCTCCCCATGTCTTGGCCAGATGGCTATGTAAGCTCTTGGCAGGCCACAAGCTGCCGCTGAAAGACAAACAAAGCAAGCGAGCAAGGCAAACCAAGCAAGCCAAAGCCAGCAAGCATAAGGAGCAAACATACCCGCCCCCACCCCCGCAATGGGAAAAACAACAATGCCACACATGTTGCGCTTGCCTTTTGGCAACGGGTCTTCGGACAAACGTGCTGGCCCGCAAGTTCGACAAAAGGAGTTGGCACCAAACTGCGCAGTGAGAAGTATCAAGGGCCTGTGGTCCATCACGTGCCTGGAATCCAAGCCTCTTGCGTGAAAACATTGAAATCGCTGTGGGCCAAAAATAAGTGCCCAAAATGGAACCCTGGCAAATGGAGAAGTAGACTAAAACCTGCGGTCCCCTGGTGGTTTAACTTTGACCCATACCTAAATTGCTTGTTGCTTGTGCACTTGCAGACCTAGAAAGGGTTTCGCACAGGTCCCGGCCAAATGACAAACGCCGTGCGGCACGCCTCCTTCTTCCGCGATAGATTCAGGATATTCAGGAAAAGGCCTTATCATTTGACTGGAGTGCTCCAGGGGCTGGTGGCCATAGTGTCGCCTGCCATGTCCTGCCCCGCACAGAGCAGCACGATGGGCTGCACCCAACGAATACACGAAGAACATATCCGCTCAGTGATGATGGAAGCAAATCATGGCGAAGAACTGCGTTGACACTCCTCCAAGACCCCTCCCTTTGATCTACAAAAAGACGTTCTTGGCTGAACAAGTGCAAACAAGGCAGGGTGCCGGCTGGGTGGGAGGTCCACAAACTGAGAAAAAACTGCAAACTGCAACATGCACCTGAGTCCCACAGAATCAGTTGCAGCACCCCAGGAAGGAAGGGGGGGAGAGTTTGCAGCAATCTGAGCTCTCGTAATCAAAGCCCTTTCTAGTCTGAAGGCCTATCAAGTAGTAACATCTGCATGGATAGTTGCTGGACAAGGCAACTATCGAGCCTCATAGGCTGCTAAGCTAGCTGCACGTGTCCCATAACAAGGATGTAGCTGCCCATCCATCTGACTAGATTGGCAACTCTGCCACAGACTGAACTGCAGCAAATTTCCTGCTGCATGCACGCTCCATACATTAACTTCGTGATTGTTGGTGCGTGTTGCAAGGCCCCATTGCCATTCTAGGTCTCAATAGCAGGAATCCAAATCTAGGGAGTCAGCACTCAAACGTCGTTGGTTCCCGCCAACCGTTAACCTTCTCACAGCGCAAGCAAATCAACAACAAACAAGAAACTGCATGCCAAGAAGAGTGTCGTTCTATACTCTCCATCTGCTTCCCTCCCTCCCTCCCTCCCTCCCTCCCTCCCTCCCTCCCTTCCCTTCCTGCCTTTGCCCTGAATACCCCCGTGCTGCACAAGTATGCAACTAGGAGCACTTTTGAGATTGCGTCCCAGCAGCAAAGCCCAAGGATTCCTCTGTGTGGGGCATCCTTTTCACCTGACTTCATGTGCGAATTAGGCAAGCAAAGCATATTAGACGTATTGCCCCAAACAGTATCTATTCCTTGGAACTTGAGAGTTCACATTTTTGGCTAGCCTTTGAAACCGAGAGATGCCTTCATTGGGGTATTGATATTATATAACCTGCCCTGGATTAATACCCATTTCGGGCAGACCCAACAGTATTTCTAATAATTCTACGTGGGGGAATTGGGAACAAGAAGGAGGCTCATTGGAAAATGCAAGCCAGTGGCTACAACAATCCGTCACAGGGCTCGCTGCATGTCCCCTTCCAACGGTCGCTTCTCATTGCAGGCACTGTTCACACCATCCAAAGGGGGACCTCTGCCAGTGCCATACCTCGCGGAATAGCATGGCATGCAAAAGGCACATCCATATTAAAAAAAAAAAACACTGTTGTGCCCTGGACTCCCCCATTCTGAGTTGTTGGAGGGATCGGCTCTCCGACCCCAAATTTGGGGATCTCCTTTTGGCTTCCTTATGAACCTAAGTGGGTTCCCCATAATGGCATTTTGATACACATCCGTAGCTGTTGCAATACTTCAACAACCTGAAGCAAGGGATCAAAGTACAGCTACATCATCTCAGATGTGCAGTGGCCATTGGGAACAGAGGGCATCCTTTTTTGGCTGGTTGAGCACACAAAGGGAACCCTTCCCCAGAGAAAGGAAAAGAGGCCGCCACTCGGCAACCGGGTCATAATCCTAGGTCTCTGCTGGTTTGACCCGATTGGTGAGCTCGCCGCAAGGCCCATTTGTTGAGCCCTCCTCCTGCCAACTTGGTGAGCAAGTCGTCCTGGAAATCCAAGCGCTGCAGCAGGGCGTCGTGCTGCCGGTGGAGCGTCTGTAAACACCTGGGTGCTGGTGAGCGAAACTGCTTGCAACCCTAGTTACAATGGCTAAGAGACGCGTAATTAGTAAAGGATTCAGCTGGAGCAGCCCCTTAGAACCAAAACTCCAAGGGTTCACCCCCCATTCTTTCCATGGATCTTCTCAACACAGGCCAGCTTCCAAGGTTTTAGCCACTTGTCTGAAAAGTAGATCGGGCGTCACTGAATCGGTTGGCCCAACTCATTGTGACACGTTTTGGATGCGCGAAATCTTCCAGCGATTGCCTCCGACAGACTTGGCCTTCGTTGCGACCTGGCTGTTCGTAGTCACTGCTGTGTACTGCTATGCCACTACTCGGGTTCAAGCTGCTCTGGATTCCCGGGGATTGTGCAAGACAAGCTGTCATAACCTATCGGGAATCCTTGTCCCTCTCGCAATATTCCCTGCTGCGCAAACAGCTGTGCACAGCGTTTGGGATTGCCCGGAAGCTTTGCCCTGGCTCGGGCTGGTGTGGGCAGGACTTGCACATAGACCCACAAAAACAAGCACCATCCCATTGCTTCGAGTCAGGAAAGAAAGTGCTCAAAGGCAGCCCCAAAAAACCGCCCCTCGCAAAGAGGCGCATGACCCTCCCGCTTCGGGAAGTGGTTGCCTCTTTCTTCGGGCTCTCTGCAGATGGTTCGATGCTACTACTGGCAGGTCGTGTCCTTGTGGTTGGTGAGCCAGCATTAGTCATAGCTTGCTGCTGCCGCCGCTGCTTTTGCTGCTCTGCTCTCTGCTGTGATCGTGCACGATTGACAGTAGCACCTCTGTATTTAGGGCCGTGGCTTCCGGGAACACGACCTCATAAGCCCAGCAATTGCGGGCTCAATTGTCCAAGGTACAAGGAGAGCCCTGCCACATCCTCCTGGCGCAGGGTGATTAACATGGAAGTCCGGTTTTCCACCCTTGGCAACAGAAATGTGAGTTGGATGAAGTAGACAAGTCCTCATGAACATCAACCCGATGTCAGCAAAGGCCCCAGAAAGGAAACATTGACTAGCCTGAATACACCGGCTCAGCATGGCGGCCGACACCCAGTTGTGGATGCTCCTCAGAAATCTCGTCGACTTGGTCCGCTTCAGCCATGTCGGATCAAGACTATGGAAGCTTGGGCCAAGCCTGCTCACAGCCACCTTCAACATATTACACCCCTGCTGCCCCTGCTCCCCGTTGCCACTGTGCGAAGTTAATTAAACAAATATTGTCAAGCGCCAGGTGTGCATCTAATTGAGTGTCAAAGCCCAGTCAAACCAGTTCGGCTGACGAAACGAGACTGAAAAACCGCAAAAGCAAAAGATCTCTGCTAAGCAGGCACAGGAACTATGTTCTGACATGTCCCGGGCTTTGACCATAAAGCCTGCGTATTGCCCCATCCCTCGCCCACCTCATGCTGCAGGCTTTGGTATGCACTTCAAGCAAGGCCAACGCCTCTTGAAATCAGGAAGGGGAGGAATATTGACCCGACGCCTTCGAATGGTCATACGGTTGGGCAATGGCAGAAACTTAAAGTCAGCGTGCGGCCCAACGCCTGTTTGATTCCCAAGACGGCTGAGTCAGTTGGTGACTCATCGCATCATGTTGACAGGTCCCAAACAGAAAGTGGTAAACAGCAAGAGTCTGTCAGAACCACTCCACGTGCAGCCTCTAGAGGTGCCTCAAACGCGCGAGGCAAAGCTGCGCAAGCGCTCGCCAGCCTTCTCCCTTCGGTCCTGCGCTAGAGCAGCGGCATCAATAATACATAATTAAAATAATAATAATAATAATAATAATAATAATAATAATAATAATAATAATAATAATAATAATAATAATATATATATATATATATGCATGTATCCTTAAAATGTGCATATAAATGCACATGTGTTCACACATGAACCCATTCAAAAGCGAGAGGTTCCTTCAGAATGGTTGCAACAATGGCAAATCAATTCTGCCGCAAATGGAATTGCCCTTCGGATTTTGAGCGTTTCAGTTGTGTTATGCGGTGCTGTGCTTGACATCTGGGCACTGTAAGCTCCTTGTTTGGGGCTTGAGGCACAACTGTACTGCGGATAGGGATTTAAGGGCCGGGCGGACAACTGCGCCGATGGTGCTGCAATGTGCTGCTAGTGCTAGCATGACAGGCGAACTGACCCAGCAACCCCAACTCTGAGGGTTTTTGTATTCCACCCTGGGATTACACCCTTGGGAAATGACAATGCTGCACAATAAACAATGCCTGAAAAAGTAGTGACCAAGCAAGCATCAAACTAAACTCAGCCGAAGCACTCAAATCACACTCATGACGGCCTGTCCAGCACTATGCGAGTTGCAACTTCCCTGGTGCAAGGTTTTGTCAAGCAATGGAAGGCTCTGCCCGCGTGAGGGGACGACTTGGCTTGGGCAAAACGGTCCAAGGCTTCCTTTCGTCAATCCTTGTTTGCCATCAGGGTTGTGAACTCAAACATTCTCAGTGCTGAACTGCCGCAGTCGAAGGCATGGTCTGATGCAACAGGCTGGCAGTGCAAAAGCCTGACTTTGCAAACTCCTTCGAAGGTGTGGAACGTTATTCTGGTATTTCACGCATTTGCCCGGAGCTTCACCCCCCCCACTTTAATTGGTGTCTTTGCAGGAGGGATTGTCTCGCACCAAGGCCCGAAACATCTCTCCAAACAGAGCTGGGCCAACCCTCGCACAACTCAGCTCTTCACAAGCCGCCGCTTTTCCCACACTCATGTGCAGCAGGCCAGCGCCGCAAGCATGGCATTGACCTTCAGGATCATTCGAACGTGACTCTTTCGCCGGCCGCAGCATTTCAATTCGGGCATGAGCCTCCCCAAACCCACGTCGCGGATATTGTGACGGCATGCGAATACAGGAGCAGGCTCAGCCTGCTTCAGGGTGTTGCTTGTGCTTTTGAAAACCTTCACACTGTGGCCACCCATTAACCGCGTCTCCAGGCAGTTCTTGCCTCGGTCTGTAGGCTCGTGAAGGTGTTGTAAGAGGCAACTCCTTGGCTGCTGCGGCCGGTTGAAAGAATGCCGCGACGCAAAAAAAGCTCCAGACACAGTCAATTGTCCATAACAACAGCCCACCCTATATGGTGGACAGTTTGGTCTATGTGGGTCTTGCCTGTGGTCTACAGTACCGGTGGTCATACCACCGCCCAATCTATGAGGGTATGGCACCAACCCCTCGGATGCTAAAGCTCGGTGCGCCAGCCGCCGGCGGAAGCCAAGCAGGTCGCCACCTGGCCGACCCAACAGCAATGCAAAGGCCCCAAGCAAAGGCTCCATTCGAAGCAAACGCGCGTAAAGATACAGTCATGCAGACATTTAATATAAACACAACACGTGTATGTGAGCAGTTGCGAGGCTGCATGCCACAGAATCAAAGTTCCAAGCTTGGATTCTGGACTCTTACACCAGGGAAAGACCAGCATGTGCATAAATGGCTACGCACGTTGCGTACTATAATAAAAAAGGCCACCAAACACATGACCGAAACCAGCTGCCCTCCTTAACAGGTCAATCTTCTGCAACCATTGGCCTCACAACTGCGCAACAAGCGGTCAGTCTGCCAGCCTTGGCCAACGAACAACGACGACTATCAGAAGTCCTCGTGGCAAGCACCGTTTACGCTTGCATGCTCAAAGGTACCTTAAGGAAAGGGCTGCGTACCATGATGCCAACCAACAACCGCAGCACCACAAATCCGTCTGCCTAAAGCCAAGCAAAACAAGCCACCTAGCTCGCAAATAATCAAAACACAAACCCAACCGACAAACCAACACACTGTACAAACAAACAACCCCCCCCCCCCCCCCCCCCCCCAAAAAAAAAAAAAAACACGCAGAATCAACAAACAAACGAGCAAGCAAACAAACCAACCGGCAAGCAATAAAACAAACAGTCAAACAAGCAAGCACGCAAGCAAGCAAGCAAGCAAGCAAGCAAGCAAACACACCAACGACAAATTAAGCTAGCTAAAAAAAGCAAAAAATATAACACATCATTTAGTCAAACCATGAAGCCAAGAAACAGACCAGAAATGTGATAATACCAAGAAGCAAACTCACACCCTATGTAGGGAGTCAAGTCTCCTTGCGTGCGATGTTCACGTCAGTAGCGAACAAACCAAGACGCCATTGCAGGCGCCGTGCCCCATGCAGTCGCCCATTGGCGGCAGCAACAGGGTCGTCACAGCAAGATGGCACAATTGCACACACTGCGCAAGCAAACCAATTCAAACCAACACATAAGCACTCTATGGCAAACAACTATCACTACAAACCAAGAAACTAAGAGTGAAACTCAAACTGAGAAGCAAAGCTGAAAACACACACCAACACAAGGAAACATGCCTGGAAACACACTAACCTCAGCTCCAGCCTGAGTTCAACTGCTCAGCCGCCGCGCGCCGTGCTTGGCGCCGCAGCTCCAGAGTCTGTCGGGCGCCCAGCTGACCCCAGGCCAGCTGCGGGCAGCTGCGGAGGCCGCCTGAGGTCACCAAGAAAAGCGTGACACAGGAGGCAGGGAGAGCATGGGGAGGCTTCAATGCGTCAAAGTCCAATGGCCGAACAGGTATATGCTTCGGAGACGCTTGGGTCGGCTGGCGTTCAATTCTTGCTTGTCGCTTGTTTGAGCTATGCTGGGCTTTGGGATCGCCTCGGGCAAATTGCTCTCGTATTCGGATTCCTAAGGGTAGACACAAAATTGCCCGCGCCTTAATTTTGTTGAATTCATTGCCATGCTGTGTGCGCATGCATGTGGGGTGTGCGTGTGGGTGGGTATGCGTGTTTGCGCGTGTTTACGCGTCTGCGTCTCTATGTCTCTGCGTGTCTACATGTCTGCATGTCTGCGTCATCTTCTGTTTTTCTCTTCGGGTGTGTTTTGTGTGTTTGCGTGTTGCTCTATGCGCGTGTGTTGTGTTTGTGCAGCTGTGCTTTTGTTTGTTATGCTACAGTATCTTCTGCGACCCAGCCCCCAGTGACAGTCTCTGGTTAATGCCGCGCGTTCATTGAGGTTGGCTCGCGCGGGTGCTGTGATAGGCGCTCCTTTGGATTAGAACATCAGCGTTTCCCTTTTTTGCCCTTTTCTGTCACACGCGTCTGTTGATGTTGTCAGACAGACCCAAAGAAAGTGGCCTTTCCATGGAATGCGGATGATAATTAAGCGGTTGGTAAAGAAAGCTTGATCTTTGCGTTCAAGCAGTCAGCCGTTTGCGTGCGAGAGACATCGGTAGCGTGTTCGCGTTGCTTCGGTGGCTGACGCAGCGAGATCAATACATCCAGCTATGACCAACTCCCCAGGTGCAATGAACAAACAGTGACCTTCAGCAAATAGAATACTATCGGACACAAACCAACGCGGGGTGCAGAATCAATCAAGATAGAGTGTATCAAACAAATTGTTTACTCTGAGCTGAGTTTGCCTTGGTTGAGCAAAAGGGCTTACCCTAATAACGCAATATTGAAACACATTGCCATGGGCCCTCTTGCCTTTTGAGATGACCTCATGCAACCCAAGCTTGAACAATAGAGTGAACAATTGCCGCGTGTCACTGCAGAAACCTAAATGAACATGTGAGCAAGCACGGAAACATGAGCCACGTTCGAACCTTGTCCTGCGCAGGGTCTGATTTAGGACTTGGAACTGAAGAAGTCAGAATTTCAAAGGTCGCTTTGGACAATCAAGGGAGGTGGCCCTGCAAGGTGCGCGGCACTTCTGTGTGTGTGTGTGCCAGATATGTGTGAGGCGCAGCCTCCCTGTGGCAAGAAACTCTCTTGTTTTGGTTCTCCACCTTTGGACAAGAAAAGGTACGATCTGCCGAAACCGCCTGCCGAAACCGCCTGCCGAAACCGCCTGCCGTAACCGTATTTTAAGCTGCCTCTGATAGGACAGTAGTAAGCCAAGCCAATCTGAACACTGTTAATCTGTGGCGCCGGCATGCCACGCTGAGCGTCTTCCCCAAGGCCATCCCTCCACCATGCTGGTCAACAAAAAACACATGCTGAGTCCTGCAAGGAGGAGGTATATAGAGTAGAGAGACCACAACTATATGTATATATATATATATATATTTATTTATACACTTCTGACAGCGGTGTGTTGTTTGTGTGCGCGACTATGGGTAGGAAGGTCGTATGTCAATTGGGCCAAGCTGCGATTCATGATGGTCACCATCTGCCTCTTGCAGGGCAAGGGCAGTGATGCATCAGATGCATCCATACTGGAGAGAAAGTACTGATCTCAGTGCAGCACGAGCCGGCAACACGTGGGAAACGTTTGTGAGAAGGCTGGGTAAAGCAATCCTCATGGCATTGCAAGATCACAAACACTCCGACAGCCAGAATACTTGTCCAACAATATTGTGTGGAGAATAGCCGCATCCCTACGATTCATCCAACAGATCGCACAAGAAGATCGAGCAGGCAGCAGTTCCGGAAGATCGGTGGTATCTAAGTCCTGCTTCCCGGGCAAAAAGGCCAACCAAGACCCTTGTTTCAATCAGACACAAATCCGGCTAATGGGGGGCCTGGGATAGGAGAAACACGGTACTCCCTGTCCCGGCCCTAGCCACATGATTGTGTGAGACACCGCTCGTCAAGCCAACCCCCTCCTCACAAATCCAAGTCCTCGGGTCATTAGTGTCCATTGCTGCTAGGTCGCCCTGGTTGGGGCTTTCAGACAAGCAGCAAAAGCCCAACCCACACACACAACCTCTGGGTTCCCTAGAGCAACAGCATGCACAAATTGCCCATGTCACACATCACAAGTGATGTTCGCAATTGCGGACACATGCTTCAAGCTTCGAAACTCAACGAAAGAGGCCAAACCCGGAACCACCAAGACACTGTCCCCCCTCAGCATGGAACCCAGCAGCCAGACCTTTTGAGATAAATCTTCTAGGAGCCCGTGGAACCTGATGGCAGGATATTTCTACCACAAATGCGTGCCATTTGGAACCAACAAACATGTGGCCACAAAAAACAGACTCCCCATGCATGTAGCCAACCGACTCCCTGTGTCGGCCCTATGTCGGCCCTACCAGGAGAGGTGCAAATATCCTGTCGGCACTCTGGGGTGAAGTTCCCAGTGGAGGCCACTCGCTTGGCGTTGGTGGGCCCCATGCTGAAGCTGCCCGCTGCCTAACATGTCGAAACGCTTGCAACATGTCCAGAACAAGCTGCATAGATCATTCGCACAACCACTCTGCCCAGTCATGTGTCAAACTCCTTATGTTGAAATGACCTGTGGCTCGTTTCGTTGGAGGCATGGTCCAGAAAGAAAGCAGCTCTTAGAATGGCACCAATTCACGCAGCGGCACCAAAACAACACCTGTTTGACCATTTTTTGGGGAATCAATCCCAACAAAAGCAAGCACACCAATAGTGGGGGTACCCCGCCAAAGCAAAAGAGAACACCGGCGCCTTCTGCTCCTGCATGGCCACGTTCGCGAGCACCACGGGCCTCGTTGCCCGAACGAATAAACGCCTCTGCCTGCCTGCCAGGAGCAACCAAAATGGTTGTGTCCTGTTGCTCAAGAAAGAAACCCAAACCTGACATCCTCCTTCTGGCTTTGACGCAACTCGCCGTGTTTGATTGCCAGAAGTTGGTTGCATTGATTCGGGGTGACCATGCGTGCTTCCCGCAACGGGGCATGCCCACAAATTCGTTGGTTTACCTTTGATGCTAATTGATTTCTCATCTCCTGGACCGCACCCCCCAACCACGCGTCTTCCTCGGAACAACCAAAACTGTGTGGTTTCCCCACAAAAATCCATCGTCGCCTTGGGTTTGTGGGTGAAATCACCGGCCTCAGCAGCTCCTCCAGCTCCGGATCTTCCGACTGCAGCGATCCCAGCGCCGGAAAGTCCCGAGCGCCTCTGCGCAGACCGTCCTGGCGACCGGGGCGCCAAAGCCACGGAGCACTCATCAAATGAAATGTGTGAGGCTGAAGCCTGAGCATGGGTATGTAGAAGCTTCCCTTGGCTCAGCTTGAGCTTACTCTGCAAGTTTCGGTTTCACTTGGACATGTGGCCAAAATCGACAAGCCCCCCCCGACAACCCTGGCTTTTTCTTATGGATCGCCGGCGGGGGGTTGCCTATCTGCAGAACTGAGGGGCCATGCCCAAACCTTCCCTAGAACCTCCCAGGCACTGCCTTGGAACTTCTCAGGAACCTGCCTGGAATCTCCAAAAGGAAACTCAGCAACGGTCATGTTGAAAGCTGCCCAAACGGAAGCGAACCACTTCAGACACGGTTGCATCTGACGGCTTTAAATGGTGCACTGCGGAAATAGTTCAGCAAAAGGCACTGACCGCATGCACACGTGCACGGGCATTCTGACAATCTGGGCATGCGCAACGAGAAACCCACTAGCAAAGGCGGCACGGCAACCCTGCAGTAGCGTCCTTCTTGATGCCAGCTGCCCACAAGTTCTTGGCTGCCGCCAGCTCTTGTTCGAAAACCGTGCGGAGCCTCTGGCGAGCTACTGACCCCATTGGGCAACTGGCAACATGTCCCGAGGAAAGTGGGTGATTAATGAGCAAGGCAAATCTACGCTTGCTACTTGCCACTCCATTCATTGCATTTACCGGCCCAAGACTCAAGCCGACAAGATTGCTGAGAGCAGTCTGATGCGAATGGCTTCCTAGGGCGTGCCTGCTTGCGGAAGAAAGGCTACCCTCTAAGCAAATATCCGTTTATTTTTAAGGTATGGCAAAATATCCGAGGAAATACCGGGTTTTTACTTTTTGCGTTGTAATCAGAATGGTCTTGCGTGAGTTATGATTGTGGTTCCCTCAATATAATCCTTTTGTTGGCTCTCTTACATCCAGTCAAACGCTCCACGGCCGCCTAGCAATCCCATCCAAGCAAGCTCATTGAGCATGGCACCTGTTGCAAATCACCTGCTGAACTCGAAACAATGGTCAATCCGCAATTTGTTGGGAAGGCTTCCCAGATCGTGGCTCGGGAAGTCTAAAACAGCATTGGAATATGAACTTTCTGACAAGGGCAACAAGTAGTCCCAGTTTTCCGCAAGCGGTAGCTGCACGTGTATACATATTGTGTATGGCACTGAGCAATCTGCTTGGGACTGTTTGCGTAAAGCTCGCGTCGGATACGTCTGGAGGGCCGTCTTGCAAGTGCTCACTTGTTTGACAACCAAGTCCCGTGCCAAAGCATTGATCCCGGAGCTTCTCGCAGGCTTGTCTAAAGCGTCGCAGGAACATGATTTTTGGAGCGAGCCAAAAGAACCTAACCCACTTTGAACACTAGGACAGCAGGTAGTAAAAAACGCGTGGGACGAACACATGAATGACTGCTTTTCGCAGGGTCACCTTGCAAACTTATTTCGGGCAGCTCGGGCCTGGAAAGCTGCTTGAGCAAAGGCTGAAAATCCCATAAATTGCGTACGGGTTTGTACGGTATTTTTATGGGATTTGTACGGTTTCTGCACGGGTTAGGAAAAACCGGGTTTTCGGAAAATATGGGTTTGTATGGGATTTTTATGGGATTCGTATGGGAGTTTTATGGGTTTCCTTTTTGTTTTTCGCACGCGCTCGCCCTTCCAGAAGCTTTCCAGCAAAGAAAAGCGGGCACACAGCTAGATTGCGCGAGCAGCGAACTGGTTTTGAATGACATTGCGGTAGAACATCCAAAGGTTTTCGGGCACAAACACGTACTACGCAACATGTTTGGCTTGGACTGTGCTTCCCATCGAATCAAAGTTAGGTGCTGGAAGAAAGTGCGACTTAGGCGGAGGCCAGCTTTGTTGGCATTTGGCTTGTGCGCTGAGTCGAGTAACGAATTCAAGTGCCACTTTGGGATACTGCCTGATGTTTAAAAAATACAAAACAAGTACCATGCTTGAGCATGATGTGTCAATCACGCAGAGCTACTGATGGTCATGTAGTGAACTGCACACTTGTACATTCAAGCTGGTTGTCCCGCTTCATTCTTGAGTTTTGGTTGACCACGCCCTCGCGTCTACCCCTGCCTTTTGAGCTCCAATCTTGAGGAGCAGGAGGCTATCGCGCACTTGGCGGTACAAAAGGAAACCACAAGAGATTCCCAAAAAACATCTAGAAACCCAATATACAATTTGGCAGTGAAAGAAACCTGGCGGCTCCTTTCAACACCTGCTCGAGATCCGGCACCTTTGCTCTGTTCTTCAAACATCCGACATTTCGCTTGCGAAAAGTGCCAAAATAAAGGATGTAAGTGAAATACCGGGTTTTTCACTGGAAAACCCTTATTTTTCCAAAACTTGCCCAAAAACCAGGTTTTCCCATTTGACCCTTTAAAATTAAAGGGTTTTCGCTTAGAGGGTAACGCCATAAATCAAAAAGGCTGCAGGCAACGTGTAAGACCTTTTTGAACCACCAGAGAGGGGCACAAGGGCAGCAAACGAGCCTACCAACATCACTAATACACTTCCAAGTCCTGGGCACCCAGTCAATCAAAAGCCGTGCAGTGTCTGTGTGATGAAAGCTGCAGACACAGTATACTCCGAGCAGAAAGCATGTGGCAATCTTGCCCAAACTGTTCTCGTACACGGGCACGGCAGTGCCCCGATGCATCCAGGCGGCACAGTCTTCAAGTAGTCTGCTTCTGTCTCATAGACTGCGCATTGCTCATCGTCTGTCGCCTGGGAAAGGTGATGTATCTATAAATTCGGCGTTGCAAAGGTCGGGCTCGCGGCCAGGGCTAGGCAACAACACTAATACCCGACGTGTTTGGGATTGCGCACCATTCACACGGGCCGTTGTTTTCCTACACCTAAAGGCCGATGTTACGTGAGATGGCGGCAATGCCCAGGGCTTTGCCAATCATATATCCTTGCTTGTGGCCGATGTGAGCCAGGATGCCAAGCCCAATCAGGGAAACTCAATACAGCTAACCCGAACCACCCAGCATCCAAACACAACTTCCAACCTTAGCACAAGAGCTGAGCCCTGGCAAGGGGTAGCCCATGGAACACATTTGCCCCCGGAGCCTAAGACGCGGACCAGATCTTGAGCCAGGAGGGCATAGAGTTCCGGCTCCCACCAGGAGGCCCGATTCACCTGCGCGCGAGCGACGCTGCCTTTTCTCAGGTTCTGTGGGAAGGCTGCCAAAAGCCCAGCTGACGTTCGGAACTTGAAGATGGATGGCGGCTTTGACAAGCATTTGTGATGTGCTCTCTATTTTGGGCTCCTTGGGACAAACCCCTGGGATGGAGCCATTTTGTAGAGCATTCACTTCGGAGACCCGGCGCGGGGGAACCTCAGCCCAGCCTGCACGGCGTTGTACAAGGGAGCCGTTGCATGGGAGCCGCTTCGGAGGTCCACATCCTCAGGACGCTCGGGGTCGTGGTAGGAACTCACCCCTTCTGTTACGTCTGTTCGGTTTCGGAAAAGAAAGATACAACTGCAAAACACTATTGAGAATACCTTCGCCAAATGCCGGACGTCCATTGCGAGGGTTCCCCTCAAGGGCGGCAAATGGCCCATTCTTGGTCGGCTCTCCTGGAGCACGTCGCTTGAAACCATCGCGCGGCCCTTGCGGCTGATGAATAACAAGAACAGAACTCTGCCACCATCGCCATGATTCAAGCAGTGGTTTGTCTCCAGTATGTCCGCTTTGCCTTTAAAGCCAGCCAAAAGGAGGTTCAGACAATGCAGGCACGGCCCATGGCTGGCTGCCTTGGAGGCATGCAGCCGGCTTTGGCTGGTGCAAGCCAAGGGTGAACCCAAGACAAAATTGAAAGCTCTCTGCAGGACATCATCTTGATCCAGGGGCAGTTTGTGACATGCGTAGAATTCACAAATTATTCTTAGGGTGATCTTTCCGTTCCCATGGAAGCGCAACAGTAAAACTGCGTCTTCCTGGGGCCCTTGACTTCAGTCGGCACTTTGGGATTGGCCTCAGGCGGTCACGCCTGAGTGCGTAGGCAGCTTTTTCTTATGTCAACCCCGAAATGTTCGCCTGAACTTGGAGCCGCCCCCAACAAATACTACTAAACTAGTACCAAGGCAAAAAACCATAACCAATGCTAAACAGAGAGGACCGAGAAGGACGGACCAGGACGAAAAGCACCAATGCTGAACCAACACAAAGCAGTAAAAAACAATATTAACCATCGGCAGCACCAAGCGATACCAAGCCAAGACTAAACTAATATTAAGCAAATACTAAACCAATAGACTACATGCGGCGAGCCTCTATTCAGTCCACCCTCAAATGCGGAGGGGGGGGGCCTTTATTAGTCAGTGTCTTTTTGAACACTAGATGGCACTTGGAAATGAGGACCAAGTCAAGCCAGATCCATCTGTGCAAACCAACCAAAAACGGCATCAATATGCCTCACTGCCTCGCCACCAAGCAAACAACGTGGAGATTCTCCGGCTCAAAAGGATGTTGCTCAAAATTCGGGATGTATTCCTTCAGGTGGTTGGTCTTCTCCTGGCTACCCCTTCTAAGCCCTTATGTAAGACCAGCTGTAAAAGGAGGGCAGATTCCTGTTCTACCAGCCACAAGCCGAGGGTCGTAGAAGTAGAGGCGGCCCGTGGTGCCGCCTCGGCCGATCTCCCGGGGCAGCTCCTAGGCACACGTGCCAAAGATGTCGTCCGCAGGCGGAACCCAAACCATACCCGTCAGCCTGCACCCCCCGACCTCCAGTGCCGAAGCGTGCCGGTGCAGAAAAAAAAAAACTTTTCGCTCCAGAAGCGAAGCGTGTGTGTGTGTGTGTGCGTTGCCTTCTGGATGTTTGTGTAACATATGATTTTGTGGGGGGTTCTAGAAGCAGCGTTGTTTGTTGTCAAAGTGATTGTCTTGCCAACGGGGGGAGGGGTAAGCAAACAAAATTGAGGAGAGTTACCAAGCCAAGAAGGGTAGCTCGACAAGGGTCGTCGAAGTTCCCAAATAAAGATCTTGCAAGAGGATAGAAGGCTGCTGGGTAAAACTGTCTCGAGGAAAAACTGAGGTTTTGAATCAGTAGAGTATTTCCGCACCTCGTCGTTTCTGGCACTGGCGCTAACCGAAGCGAGGAAGGAGGCTACCCGGTGGAAGGGGAGAACTCCGACAATCCTCGACTTTTTCCAGCACTTGAGCTGACCAGACGCGCATCGACTGTCTGAAAACAAGACTGCCAAAACGGTGGAAGGTTGTACTGGGTGGAGCGATGCCTCCAGGCGGGAGACTGCAAGACGCGAGTGGCTCGGTGGAACGGGCTTGAGAGAACCGAGGTATTCGCCCACTATGAATCATATGCGCAGCGAGCGTCCCACGAAAAGCTCGAAAAAAAGGCGTCATGACCGGGTAGCACGTTCTTGAAAGGCAGCGAAACAAGAACAAAGCCCCTTCTCTGGGGGACCGGGCGGTGACTGTCCAAGGGTCCTCTGGGGGTGGGGGGGAGTCAAGCCGAAAAAGGGTCCACCGTTGATGCGGAAACACAGTCTCATGTCGGATTAACTGTCTTGCAACGCCTGCGTCACAGTTCATAACTTGACCAAAGTTCCTACACACATGTTTTACTCAAATAGGTCTGTCCCTTTTGTGAAGAGGACATATCTTCTTGGAATTGTGAAACCCAACAAGCACCCTATCCCAGATTGGGGGGCCCCCCCATTCTGAGGCAAGCCTCTGGACACCCCATGGATGCCCATCCGGGATACCCTCCCGCCCAAACATGGGGCCCACCTACTGGATGGGAAGAGTCGTCTTTCGGAGGGTCCTGCAGGTGCCCAAAGATCTCGGACTTCGTCTCTGCCGGCCCAAAGCCACGCACCCAAACCTGCTGCAATATGGCTTCCAGGGTCTTCCAAGAATGGAATTTCCGAGAAGTCCTTTCGTTGCTGCCACAAGCCAGTACCAAAGAGCTTTGTGGGGGTTAGGAAGCTAGGGGTATAACGGACCCTATTCGGCCACGTGATTGGGGCTCATTTTGGCGAGCTTCGTTCGATCTGCTGTCTAAAAGCATGCCGCTTCCGAAATACGTGCTGGCTTTCTGGAGCCCTGTGAATGTGAATGGGAACCATCCTCAATATCATGCACTTGACATCCGCCAAAGGGTCAGCAATTATACTTTGTCCAACCTTGAGGGGTGCCTTTTCAAGTAGGACGGTGGTCCGAGCAGCCTTTTCACGAGGATGGCCCCTTAAACCCGGCCAGGGAGGCCTGGGTATGTGGCAAAATTAAGTGCACCCCCCGCAGCAGGTGATTGGTTTCTTCCCAACACATGCAAATAAAGGTGCCCGGAAACATGCAACAAACACTTCCAAGGGGGGTGGGGGGGGGGTTGGGAACTAGTCCAAGAAGGGAACCATGGTCACTGAAAAAGAAACAACCCTGACGCATTTACAACCAAGTAGGTCACTTACAAACAGGTTCCTAACCACGCAACGTCCAGACTGTTGTTTGGCACCCAAAAGTAGGCCCCAAAAGATTTCAAGTCCATGAGCTTAGGCTCACTTCCGGAGTGAACTGGCCAGATAAAAAGCTTGAACTCTTTATTTACCACTAACAGTCTTCCCAAACAGTTTATCCATGATCTCAGGGAATGAGCAGGGAGTGAGGTAGCCTTCCGCGAGTTCCGCACCTGCTTCGGGCGGAAGGGCGCTACCGCGAAGTTGGCCCAGCCGCCACCGCTGAACTGCTGGGCCACAGCACCAAACTTACCTCGAAGGCGCCAGGTAGTGACACCCAGCGCACTGGGCTAAATGGGAACACCAAATGGATGTGGCGGGTGAGTTCAAACTCCACATCAGTTTTTTGTCAACTGCCAATCCTCGTCTTGCCTGCCCATGCCGAGCAACAAACTCATAACACTTTTTAGCGGCCAAAAGGGGAGGGGCCATCCCTGGGAGCAAAGAAGCGTATCTCTCGCACGCTTCGATTTTGAGTGTCATACAAAGGTCTGGATCACCTAAACATGGAACCATTGTCGACATATTATCCTCATCCCCTCAAAGCATTTGAACATTGGCAGCCTGGTATGTGAGTGTCTTTGTTGTGCGCAATGGTGACCGGTGATATCTGAGAGCGCTTAATTCATCAGGGCACGATCCATTCCAAGAAACAATGAACAAATAAAGTGTGTCGACTTCATGATCCCCGGTTGGTGCTGAACCATAATTGTGTCCGTCAATCCCAAAGGTTCAGCCACACATGTAACAACAGCAACATGGCCAATACGCATGTATCATTGCATATTTATATATATGCATACACATACATCGTACACATACAAGCACCGGGTGAATAATGCTGTGAGTGGACTCACGGAAATGGCATCCCTGGTCAAACTTCGTCCCGGACAGATGCCATCAGACAATGCCAATTGGAAGTTGACCAAAGTGTTTTACGAACGCTCTGATGGTTCTCCATGGGATTGGTCAAGGCCCGGGTCATGGCATCGCAAACTGGCTCGAATCCAAGCAGCGGTAGGCCCTGACACAATAGCCGTTCCTCTCGAAGAACTGAGGTGGCACAATCTCTTCGGGGATCTTTTGGTACCTGAACAGGCAGCTGTTCAAGGAAACTATACTGGGTGGTTTGCTGCAAATCCGAAGAATGTGCCATCCTGATGGCAAGTAGCCCGTGCAATCTGATTGAAATCGCCAGGTGAGCAATCAAACCGCAGGACTGACCCACAGGCTTCTGTCCAGTTCCGTGTAGTTGTGTGTGGGTACCTTCAGGAGTCAACAAAGTCTTCTACTCCCTCCAAAGTGCTGAGGCCTCGCTATTGCATCTGTCAGCTCCTGGTGCTCTGTGAGGAAGTCCAAGGAACCAAGGTTGTTTTGCCTTGGTCGGAAGCCAATCATGATTTCTGAGAAAACAAACAAAGAACAAACTAGCGGAAGGCAAAGGATTCAGCATTGACCTGCAACCTCTTGGAAGCCTGCAATTCGAAAGTCGCGCACCGTCTTTGTGTAATTGTAATGTGGTAGGCTCTTTCACCTGCACTCTGAAGAGTGTGGGAGCTGTATGCTGCGGCAATGATATTTTCACTTGACATGCAAACGTGCATATGAATATATTTTGTGTGATGGCTTCCTGCCTTTTGCATCAATAATACTGGTACTCATACTTCAACCAGTCTCACCAGCATCTGTGGTCGCGTTGGCACGAGCATCGTCATACTATGGCCTGCGTGTCCGTCATATAATCATGTTTTGCACCATGGGTTTGAACCAGTTCGAAGCGAGTCTTGCGGGCAATCACGAACCCCAACCAATCATTGTCTCTTGGCCATGGCAGCAGCAGTTGTGAGGGGGGAATTAGCTCAAATGATTTGGCACCATGATGGAGGCACAAGCTGAGGCCAAATCGAAATACGCTTGGAGCAACGGAGACGCCCAACAACTCTTCAGCAATTGAGGCATGCGTCATGTGTATTTCACCCAACCTGCAACAATCCTGCAACCTACTCAAGCAAATGCATACGCGCACACACACACAACACGAACACACAGGCACGGCCGTGTGCGCGCGGCTTTAATATGGCATGGTCACCTCCTGAAGTCCACACATAGATAATATACACATGCGGATAATATGCGTCAAAACAGGGCGACTCCCAAAAGTGGTTGGTGTCCTTGCAGCATCCACCGTAAAACAACATGAAAAGTATACCCTCAACAACACACACACACACACGTGCGGACATTTCCTACCGCCCATCCGTTCACACCATCACGCCGCGCGGCACGTAGCGGCGCACGTGGTCAAAGTCCTCCTCCTCGCAGCCGGCGGAAAGCCAGGCTTTGCCGTCCGCGAAGAATCTGCGCGCTGCGCGCAACCGCGAGCCGCGCTTGGTGGTCCCAAGGCCCCGTCAGAAATGAAGAGTAGTTACTCCCAAACTTGCAAATGAAGGTCCGAAATGGGGAGCTGCAAGGGGCAACCATTTAAGTGTTTTCCCGGTTTCCTTGAAGGATGCATGCAAAAACACTTAATTTACAAGGCGATCCTCCAATCAGCTGGTAAATGAGGTAGCTTTTGAACCTGATGTTTGGGACCAACAGCAAGCATCCTGGCCACCAGCCGGGCACTGCCCAGACTTGCACAAGAAAACTGGCACAAAAAACCCAGGCCAGTTCCGAAGCATGCGCTACAGCATCCCCCCCAAAAGAAAAAACGATTAAAAGAACGATTTCCAGTTGGTGTTCATGTTTGGGTCCAAAAGTACCCACAGCCGCTTTCCCAGGCCAAGGCGCCGGAAGTTGCTGCTGTGGCCATAGCCTCGCTGCGTTGGACCGTTCTCCAGACAGTACCTTTGGACCCCGTTGGGAAGCCCAGTGGCCATGGGAAGGTACGGGCCTTGTTTGCTCGTTGGTTTTCAAGTCAAACACTTCTCCCCGAAAAAGAAGGGTGAAAAACGGGATAAACAAGGGGCTGGTAATGAAGGCAGGGTTCAACCAGCGCAGGTGTAATTACGCCAACTCACCTCCCCTTTCAGAGCAAGTCGCTACTTCCTAACTCCTTCTCCACTTCTGCAATGCCTAGCTCCTCCTTCAGTGCTGCAATCTGCTGCTGCACCTGCCATGCCCGGCCACTGAAAACCAGGTGTCTGGCTCAAAGCTCAGCGTGGATTTCATCTCCCTAGTGTTTTAAGTCGCTCCCACCAACTATATACCTGATCTAGCTGCAAAGGGCCAGCAGCTGAACCGATCCAAAGGCTCTGAGCCCTCACCGGTAAGGTACACCCCTGCAACTCCGCCCCCAATGCCCGTACAGGCCAAAGGGATGGATAACATTACTTGCAGGATTCAGAATAGCTCATGGAAACAAGGGGGTGCTCTGGCCAGTTGGCACAAAACTGGCGCGAAGCGAATGGTTTGGGAACGAGCCATGCGCCTGCTGTACAAGCTGCGACCTTTTAGGTCGCGGCTTGTATCGCTATGCCAACCGCCTGAAACCGAACGACTCAAAGTCAGGTGTCCAGAGCTAGGCTGTGGAGCCCAACAAGCTGGTAAACAAACCGATTTGCAACCTGAAAACCTGTAAATTCATGGTGCAAATCCAAGTTGAAGCGCAGCCCTCTGCTTTAACAGATTTCTCAGTAGCAAGTCCCAAAGCGGCGAAAAAGAAATAAGAGTGTTCAGCAGCTAGCTTGTGAACCCCGGAACGCAAAACAAATCTGGAAGGTAAGCTGCCATGTGAGTCAGAAAGTGCGAGCAGCTAGACTATGCTATGGCTGCTATGGCATGCCTGGCAGGTCTGCCAACCCCACCCCCCACAAACATGGCTGCGAATGAAGTGGTATGACATATTTAGCGAAGAATCAGGAGGCATCTTGCTCCCCATCAGCAATATGTGCGGCATCAACTCTATTCGGCTGTGGCCACTCACGGGCCCCTGATGTCTGAATTGTGCGGCGGGATTCAAGGTTCTGTGATTCTCCCTAAAGCAAATCCTCAGGGCGAATCCAAAAAGACTGCCAGCAATCCAGCAAGCAAGCAGTTGATAATGCTGCCCATTTTCCACCAGCTCCTTGCTGCGAGGCCTCGCCCAAGGGGATGTTCTGATCAATGGTGAGTTCCCGGCGGACATAGCCCTCCAGCTCTTTGACACAGTGGCTCTTGAAGTATTCCTCCTCCTCCTGCCTTGGATTTCCATTCGGCCCGAAGGACACAACCCTCCCCAGACAAACATGGAAGCTCCCAGGACTTTGGAAGACTTGGTTCCATTTACAGAGGCCTTCTGGGAGCTTCCATGTTAGTCTGAGGGGAAAAATGCTCAAACCTCTCAACCTCCGCGCCCACCGCGCGTCCCCCGACCAACCAAAAGAACACCGCGCGGCGCCGATCCCGGCCGCGTCCGGCGCTGCTCCCGGAGCTCCGCGCACTTTCGCGCCAGGAAGTCGTCCAGGCAGCCTGAAAGCGGGGCAAAGGAGTCAATTGATGGCTGTATTGGTTGGGCGCCATGAGGTGAAAACATACCCTCCAACACAGACGCCCCAAAATGGTGGACTTCCATTTGGTTGACCTTTGAAGGGCAAGTATTTGTTGAAAAGCACACCCTCCTATGGACTACCGTGCGACTACCGTGCGACTGGCCAAGTGCACCCTTCCTCCAAAGAGCGATGATTATCCCAAATATCTCCCACAACATGGGCGTTCAGGCCAATTCCCTGGTGAGATCCCTGCCTTAAAAAACTACAACACCCCAAACCCATGTTTCTCTAGCGGACCACCCCCCAAGACTCCGAGGCCGGGGCCCAGAAGGCTGAGGCCGGGGCCCAGAAGGCTGTGCTGGCCCTGGAGGCAATGCTCCGCCTCCAGCAGGGCTGCGCGGTACCCGCGGTAGGGGCCGCCCAACCGCGCCAGCTCCACCTCGCAACGGGCCATAGGTTCTTAAGGGCGTCAGTGAGGCCTGCGGTGATAGCCATCACCTTTGGGGGGCCAACTTAGAAGCACTGTTCCCTTGCAGTGATGCTCGAACGTTGGAAGCCAGAACCAAAAAACAAACTGCACACTGATGGGATTAGGGGGTTGCGCAAGCATCGCAAGCGGTGGAAGGACGTCACACGAGGCTCTGTCGTCATGCATTTTGCTCATGTGCATGCAGTACTGCAGGATAATGAAGAGGTTGAACCTTTGGGCACCGAGCCACTCTGCTATTGGGCCTTACGGGCACAATGAGCATGATTCATCCATTAAGATCAGAATTCCTCGAGATGAACCAATCAAAGAATTGAAACATTTGAATACCAAGAAGGGAAGCATCCGAGGCTGGGCATGCCAAGCATGTCCTCCCGACAAGCATTCAAAAGGCTCGGAGTCACATCAGTGGCACCACTCTTCCTTGTAGCTTGTGATTTCAACTTGGTTGAGGTACACGGGTCAAATGAGCATTGGACCATGGACAAGCCCAGGAGGAAAAACGGAAAAAGGCCCGTTACACTCAAGGGCCCATTGTCCATAGATTGGCGTCGCATGGCGTCGCGCGGCGTCGCATGGCGTCGCCTTCCAAACCGGCCTCCACGACAAGCTCCAGGAGGTCGCAGCCGAAGCGGGGAGTGGCGGTAGCGGGGTTCACGAAGCCCGTCCACAGAAAGTTCCCCAAGTTCTTGTTCCTGAGGTTCGTGCATGGCATTCCCGCATCTCGGCACGCACGCCCCCCCCGGAAGTATCATCTGATTGCAAATCTGTAGCGCAGCCGGTGCGGGACGAAGCCCTCGAATACGGTTGCAAACATGATCACCATTGCCGACTAATTACACAAAAGCAAGGCCTGACAGCCATACCAGTGAGCTTGGAATGTGCAACGGCAAGCAGCTGGAAACAAGTTATACTGCACTAGTGTTGGATTTCAGTGCGGCCGGGCGTTGTCTCAAAACTAAAGAAGCCGATGGTCAAACGAGTCCGCACGAAGCAATATCTTCGCAATGAATTCGAACAATCCAATATGCAGGGGGAGAGCAGCTGCAACGTTGCTACGTAATTCCGATACCCAGATTTATGTTTGGTGGCAATGATGCGCTGCCTCAGACTCTCAAATCAAATTGCGACTGCGTTGCAAAGTGTCCAGTGGTCTGGGCCAGGTCCAAAAGTTCAAGGCGAAAGCTAAACGACGGGTGGCCAGCTATACTAGATGCATTTGTCATGCCAGGATTCATCGCCAGCATCTCATGGATCATCAGCATTGCGTCAGACTCTCCATGGGAGCCAGTGTCGAGGTGGCCGCGTATGACCGCAGATTTGTCCTCGAGCCGAGTGCCTCCCCTGCAAACCAGCGAATTCCTATGGACAAAAGGAAAGCTCCTCCGAAAACCGGCGCAATTCAGGTTCTATGCTAGCCCTTTTGGGAGTGTAACAACTCATGTAGACAGTGCCTTCTCACAGGCGCCTGGGATTTCGTGGGGTCCCAAGTGTATACAGAATCACCCGCAAACTGAGGAACCTTCAACAAATCCACCATGTCGTCTTCAGCTTTTGCCGTTGCAGCCCACAGCACCATGAGGTAGCTGCAACTCGCCCTCTACTCGTTGCCAGCGGCAAACTGTTCTTGGAATGATGGGGGGGGGCCCTGTTTGTCTCCCAAAACAGATGACGGTCAATGACGGGCAAAATTCAGGATGGATACCCTGGAAGACCGTGCTTCTCTCTAGAGAGGCTAGTAATTTGGTCGAGGCCTGCGCTGACCATGATGTGCCCACCAGGCCCTCAACAAAGGCTGTTGGATCCCACTTTCCGCGAGAGTCAGGTTTAAAATGGTAGTTTCAATTGGCCATCAAAGTGGACAAGCGGGTCAAAGGATGCCTAGCGTTCCAACCATGTACTAAGTACTGAGAATCACACGGTCCCCAAGCATCAGCGCGGCGGTCCTGGTAGTACCGGAAAAAGCGCACCAAGCGGGTAGCACGCCTCAGCCGAAGCACACACATGCACACACATCACATCCTATATGCAGATATAGATATGCATGGAGCACGTAGACGTAAAGTATAGAGATACAGTAGATGGACAAATTAATCAAACCGCCAATAGATGCGGCGCATACCCCCCCGTACCCCCCAATGTCAATGTTACACTAAACACATGTCATCGGGGTTTGATTTAATTCGTCCACCCAGCCCGATCCAACCGGGCAATAACATTGAAATTGGGAGGGGGGGGGGGGAGGGGGGCGCGATACAACTGTAAGGGTTTGATTAATTCGTCCACCTACAGTACGGATAGCGCTTCGATTCCAGAGTTGGTGGCTACGCACATACTATTTGACCCTGCACGTTCATTTTGAAAAAGGCGTCGGTTGATCTCTGCGCGGCTTTCCTCGAGTTTTTCCAGTTCCTAATCCCCGAATGGTCAAATTCCTCGAGCTTTTCCAGTTCCTAATCCCCGGTTGATCGAATTACTCCAGCTTTTTCAGTTCCTAATTGTTTTCCCAGTTCCTTTCCAGTTCCTTTTCCAGTTCCTTTTCCAGTCCTTTTCCAGTTCCTAATTAGGATGTGGTGTTTTCTCAGCAATTGCTTCTTGACCATGAATTCATTGGTTTCTTTTCTATTTTAAGCAGCTTGGGATGACTGAGAAAACACAGCAAATCCTAATTAGGAACTGGAAAAGAAACTGGAAAAGGAACTGGAAAAGGAACTGGAACGGAACTCGAAAGGAACTGGGAACCGGAAAAACTCGTGTAACTCGAACACCCGGCGATTAGGAGCTCGAAAGACTGGAGTAATTCGAACAACCGGGGATTAGGAACTGGACAACTCGAGGAATTTGACCACCCGGGGATTAGGAACTAGAAAAACTCGAGTAATTCGAACACCCGAAGATGAGGAACTAGAAAAACCCGAGGAACATGACCACCCGGGGAGTAGGAACTGGAAAATATTCAACCACCCGCGGATTAGGAAGTGGAAAAGCTCCAGGAAAGCCGCGCAGAGATCAACCGACGCCTTTTTCAAAATGAACGTGCGCAGGGTCAAATAGCATGTGCGTAGCCACCAATTCTGGATCGAAGCGCTAGCCGTACTGTCTGGGCAGGTAGGTTTTCAGTGTGTTTGGTCCAAGATGAAAGTATGTCTTCTCCTAGAAACATCTGCTTGTCTCTCGTGCAAAGCCATCTGCTGCGCAATGTCCTCACTTCACTCCCAGAAAATATGCTTGTCTTTCGCGTTTCTCCATTGCTTTTGTCTTAGCAAGGTGACATACTTTCATCTTGCCAAGACCAAAAACACTGAAAACCTACCTGCCCAGACGGTATCTCCACCGGAGTTGAAAGCCACCACATTTGATGCCTGGCATTCCTAAGGAATACACCCGCCCTTGAGAAGAACCTGTTGTGAAATAAACTGCACCCACCTACTGTCCGAATCAGTCCTTTGGCAGCGAGCACCTCAGGCCACAGAAATGAGCCCAACCAATAAGTCCTCCTTGCCATGAAGTCAAGGCCATGCATTGACCTGGTGATAAGGAAGAGCCATACCCAAAGAATGTGTTGTAAAACTAGCCTTTCTGCTTCACTATTATGCAGCCACTGGGCAAGCCTGCATGCGTCTTCCAATATGATATGACGGTCGTCCCACCCAAATATTAGGAATGGACAATCGAGGCATCGTGCGTGCATTCTGTAAAAATCACGCACTAGGATTAACACACCCTTGAGAAACCGACCCAAGGTTGTCCAAACATGTCCAAACATGTCCAAACAAAACTGATGATGATTTACCCGAAGCGAATAAACATTCCCTGGTGCCTGGTGCAATCTCAGGGTGCAATAAACACATCCGGAAAAAAATGCGTCGCAGATGTTGCAGCCAGTTCAGAGCCAAGCTGCTGGCCTTCCTTCGCGAGGATATCAGCGACTGACGTCTGCTGCCCTGTCTGCACATGTTTCACCACCACCTGCATCTCCATCACCTGACGGGCCGGCTCACATTGGCCTGGTCTCAATTCCCCAAACATTGGGTGGTATTCCCGTGAATTCCCTTTGGTAGCCACCACAAAGGCACGTCTATACCAGCCTATGATACTATGTGCATCCAAGCTGTGTTTCCAGCACGTTTTCAGCCAGCCACTGCCAGGGACCCTAAGCTTCAGGGCCCGCGGCCGTGAGAAAGCGGACTCCGCCGTACCCCGCATCCGAGCCCTTGGCTTAAAGTCAGGCAAGTCAAACCCCAAGCCATTCGTGGATGGGAGCAGGCGGAGACTGCCGTCCTTGCGGCTTCAGAGCTGACGGAACAACATGGACCATGGGGCCACGAGTGGGCCTGACAAGAAGGCTAGCGCCCTCCAAGCCCAAGAACGTCGGCCAGCCTGCGCGTCGAACAGGATATCGTAGACCTCTGCCTCTCGAGCATGTTGGTTTCAATACGCCAAACATCGGTCAATGTGATTGTGTGAACTTGGATTTTCGGAACTATGCAGAACGGATTCCTCAACAGCATCCACGTGTGGTCGTACGTGATGCTGGCTGCTGGCCAGCCTGCTCTGTGATTTGGGGTTGTAATGACATAGAATGACCACCGGGAGTGCCAAACCTCTTCAGCTGCGACTTCGCCGTACACCGCACGCCAAACCATCTGACACACACACACACACACTGCGACTCTCGCTGAAAAGCTTCAGGTCCTCCCCGCCTTGGGGCCCCAGTGCAGCGCCCGTGGCGCCGCCCAAGTCACCCCCAACGTCGGAGCCAACATCAGCCGCCCCCAGTCGCCCGGACGTGTCCCCTCAACACGCAGCTCGGCAAACCGACGAGGCCCTGGGAAGGGCGGCAACGCCACGTGGTCCTCAGGCCGGTGCATGGTGTTTTGTTCGCGGACAATCCTCAGACACTCTTTCTAGGAGTAGCCTGTCACTGTGCCAAGAGTCTTAAGAAAATATGATTCTGTGTTTGTTTTGTTGTTTGGGTTTTATCCAGTTTTCTGTTTCGGCAGGGCTGATCAAGTGGGCTTGTTTTTGGTAGAAGGGAATCCTATTTAAACTTCCGGTTTAAAGTGGAAAATCGATGAACTCTACTTGTATAAATTGTGTTTAAATAGTAATGATGTGTTAAAATTATATTGAAAAGGAATGATGTGTATTGTCTAAATTGACATAGAACGTGTCCGACTTTTTTTGATTTAAAATAGACATTATGATTGGATTCTGTCCGTATCAAGTTCAGTTGAAGCCCTACTTGCATTGCACAGTTCTATTTGGCAAATAATTCTAGGTAAGTATCAAATGTAAGCTAGAATGTCCAATGTCGGTACTTCCCTATCGAGTCCTGTTTAATTAGTTTTTTCACTCTAACTTCTAATTGAGTTTGAGAGAGCGGCCGTTGGTGAAAATGTGAATTTAGTACAAAACAACACTGCAAAACACTGTATTGCTACAGAGTTTTCTGACCATGGCGGTGCCGTGGGCTAGGTAAATACACGATGCTGGGACCTCTGAAGTCTAATTAATTATCATCTGAAAATTATCAATATTTATCAAGTTACACTTGAATTCGAACTGAATTCTCAGTTTCTGCCCGAATTCAGGTATAACTTGAGAAGGAACGAATCCAATCAGCATGCCTGTTTACACTAGAACGCAAACAACAACTATTTTGCTTCAAGCCAAGATTTACACATCAGTTGGGATTTGAAACAAACTGAGTCAACAAGAGCTCAACATAAGCAAAGCGAGTGCAAACATCAAATACAGGCTTGCATGCACAAGCACATCAAGAAATGTATCAATACATGAACTGAACCAATCAGTCAATCAACCAACCAACAAGGTGAATCAATTCATCAATCGATAAATGAGTCAATCAATCAACCAATCAAGTCAAAGAAAAATCAAAACCAATCGATCAACAAATCAAGCCACCAACCCACCCATCCAGCCATCCATCCATCCACCCATCCACCCGCACATCCACCCATCCATCCATCCATCCATCCATCCATCCATTCAATCACTCAATTGAACAATCAACTAATCAACTAATCAACTAATGGGCGAATCAACTAATTAACTAATGAATCAACCAATCAATCAATCAATCAATCAATCAATCAATCAATCAATCAATCAATCAATCACGCAATCACGCAATCAATCAACCAATCAACCAACCAATCAACCAATCAACCAATCAACCAATCAACCAATCAACCAATCAACCAATCAACCAATCAACCAATCAACCAATCAATCAATCAATCAATCAATCAATCAATCAATCAAGCAATCACGCAATCAATCAACCAACCAACCAACCAATCAACCAATCAACCAATCAACCAATCAACCAATCAACCAATCAATCAATCAATCAATCAATCAATCAATCAATCAATCAAGCAATCACGCAATCAATCAACCAACCAATCAACCAATCAACCAATCAACCACTCAACCAATCAACCAATCAATCAATCAATCAATCAAACAATCTATCAATCAAACAATCAATCAAAACAATCATGCAGTCAATGAATCAATCAATCAATCAATCGAACCCAATCAATCAAGTCCAATCAATCAAATCAACACTCAAATCCAATCAATGAAATCCAATCAATCAAATCCAATCAATCAAATCCAATCAATCGATCGATCGATCAATCAATCAAATCAAATCAACACAAAATCAAATCAAACAACTAATCAGCTACTCAGCTAATCAGCTAAGCAAGTATCATCAATCAATCAATCAATCAATCAATCAACCAACCAACCAACCAATCCAATCCAATCCAATCCAGTCCAATCCGATCCAATCCAATACATCCAATCAGTCAATCAATCAACCAACCAACCAATCAAATCAAGTGCAATCAAATCACAACAGGTGAACCTAACCAGTCAATCCAATCCAAGCTAAGTCCATCCATCCATCCGTTCAACCAATAATTCACACAATCACACTGCCAAACCAACTCGCCAAACCCAACCAATCACCCCATTTCATCGACCGATTGGTTGTTTGATCCAAGTGTCAATAAACAAAACATAAGATCAATCAATCAGTCGGTCAAAGAGTCAACCAACAGCACCAAGCGATCTATCGAGATTGACCGCCCAAGCAACCACAAACGGCAGCAAACAAAACAACAACCGCAACGGCCTAAAACTATGGCCGGGCAAGGAAGCAAAACAGCAATGAGCACAGCTACCACCACCGCCACCCCAGGAAACAGCCACCACAGCTACCACAAAGCAGGCTGCGGACCCCCCCCCCCTATTGAGAACCCACCCTTACTAGTAAAAAAAGATTGAAATAAAAAAACCAAACAGTCACCTCGCTCCAATTACTTTTAATCGGAAAAATCCCCAACCAATACTAAAGTTCTGACGTCCGCTTGCAGCACTTCCCCTCTGCACATTGTAGTTCACATGTTGTCTTTTCAAGTTAAAGTGACACATGCAAGAAAAATGTCATTGCAAATCCTTACTCGGCAAATTACAATTTTGTCGGTGCTTGCTCCCGTGAGGAAGGGGACCGAATTTGTAGCGGGCACCTGTTGGGACCTCCTCCTGGAACCCTATCAATATGGTGTGGTTTTCGCTATCATGTTTTATGGAGGGCATCGGCCGGGAAAAAAAAGCGGTGGAAGGCAAGAACCTGGACCTTCCAATGTAGTTCCTTCTTCTGCCGGACCAACAAAAAGTTAGCTTTGCCAGGAAAAAAACACGGTCAGACCAGACAAAACTGTCAAGGCCAACTAATTTTTGGGGAACAAGGAGGCTACACACATCTTGAAGCTGACACGCTGTGAATTGCAACGCTGTGAGTTGCATGCTCCAGCTACATCCTGGCGAGTCGAGTTGGATTAGATGCATAAGCCCCTTTTGAAACATTCCCGTCAACAAACGCAGCGATTGAACAATGCAGAAAGGTAAGAGGTCCACTCTCGCATGAAGCCACGCCTGATTTAGCACCGCGCCACTCACCACTTACCAGGAGCTACAGCAAAAAACTACTCGTGTAAATCAAGCTGGCCCACCCAGCATCATCGTGGAGGGGAGTTACAGGTGTTTGGCTCTTGCGCTTGGCGCGCAGCTGTCGCGAAATTGTACGTGTTGACGTGTCAGCAATGACCTTCCTGGCTTGATCATGATTACCAAGACCGCACCCATTGAGCTTAGACGGCTGTGCTACATAGTGCCAGATTTGCAAATTTCCATGCAGGCAAGCAGCAGCTCCGTGCCAACAATGAAACCCTAAACCTGTTATTTTCTGACCGAAGCTGCTGCGAGAAACTGAGGTGATAGGCTATAAATGCACCGCCGGGTATGTAATTGCAACGCACGCGCAGAAGTGGAAACCTTTGGTATTGGAAGGCAAACACTGCATCTACGTCTAGCGTCTCTGATCAGTGCCTGCAACGCATGCTTGGCAAGTGGCGCCCCAATGCAGCGAAAACAAACAACGCGATGCAGGTTTAGCAGCCCAGGCTCGCAACAACTTATAAGCAAAATCAATATCGGCAGAATGTTCAGTGGCCAAATCTTATGACTAATCATTTCTTGGTCGTAACAACAATTTATTGGTCATGGCAGAAAGCCGAACAAATACCTTGGAGGAACTATGAATGCTCTCATTCAACACCCAGGTCTTTCAAGGCCCTGGCCAAGGTTAAGCCCAGCTTGGCGCCGAGACGCAACCCTCCCAGCGGCCCAGCACAGCAGTTGCACCAGCGGGACGTCCCCTGCTTTCTCCATGGTGGCGCCACTCGGGGAGACGAGGCGCGGCGGCTTTCCGAAACCTCGCGGCACGCAAGGGCCATGGGGATTCGACTCAACCGCAGCCCGTGAAAGGCGCACCCCAGCGCAGCAAAAGCCAACGTCAGCATGTGGATCAATTCACACGTTCGAAGCTTCAGGGTCAAAACGTTGTTTACAAACTTCACAAACTTCAGAAATTTATTGCAGCAAGAATGGTGAGGGATGATGTGCGGAAATAGTTGGTAATAGGAAAAGCCGCGCCCGACTTGATGCGAAAGGCTCAAAAAAGCGCATCTTGCTTGGGCCCTTCGCTTTCCTTTCGCAAAGGGCGACACGGGTTCGCCCAACGGTTCTTTCCACAGCGAGTCTTCTGGAGACACTCTTACATAAAGGGGCCTTGTGCGCGTTTTACGCATTGACTTTGGTGCGGGACGGCAATTTCCGTCAAACAGAAAAATCAACGCTGAACAGTTTGCAGTGTCCCAAAATCAGCAAGTACATCACGTGTGTGGTCTTATGCCTCGTGACAACCTCGGCTTTTTTTGGAGGCATCAATTTGGGAACCCACAATTATTCAGAATCACTGACACAAGCATTGCAGCATCCCGCGCCGGAACGCGGTTGAACCCGGAACGCCCCCCTGTGCCCAACCACGCCTGAATGCCAGCACTTCGGAAAGGTCAAGGACCACGGAAGGGAGTGGCATTCCCGGTTTGGTAGGCACCGGTGGTCCAGCGCCGCGTACACCAACACTTGCCTCAAAGCAACCCCTAAACTCAAGCTCTACATGTACTTGTTCTGGTTGATGTTCTTCCCACGTCTCAAAGCCAGAATGAAATGCGCAAGGTCTGTGTGTGCAGCCGCAGGCGCTGGCCTGGTGCTGTTGCCGCAGCTTCGCCTCAATGCGACATGACAACAGCACAGCCAGCTGCAGCTGACGACGCTCTGCATGAAAGGCGGCAGCCAAGCTAGCAGCGCAAAACCCGTTCACAGCATGTACCCTCCCAGGAGTTGCCTATTGGCCTATACTGAGACGCTGGGGTTGCTAGCTGCTGCTCTGAGCGCGTCGCAACTGGTCCCGCTTACAAGTAACGTGGGTGTGCTTCCAATCTGACAAGGCAGTTGGTGCGCTCTTCCAAGTTCCACCACCACCCGGCTGCCTGCAAGCGCTTTAACTCCCGCCCGTGAAGCACATTTGTTGCGCGTTCAAGGGGCGCAGCTTTGCCCGAAGATGCAGAGACACCTCTGCGCCATGGCTGGTGAGGACCAGCCGCCGTGCCTTAGGCATGGAAGATGGGGGTGGGCCGGGCTGGCTGGACGCGCGTGGCTTGTCAAGGGAATTGAGCCTCAAAAGTCTTTTTTCGAACAGCCGAACAGCATGCTTTGTTTGCTAAGAGTTTGATGGGCCAAGAGTTTGTGGGGCCAACACCTGGCGTCGCCTCAGAGGAGGCCAGAAGAAAAGCTGCAGCCATGTCAGGGCGAACTACTGAATTCTTTCAGCATCAGGTTCACTCTAGCCACGCGTGCGCGCATTCCACGCAAGCCGCTGGAGCTGCAAGCGCGCCACGCAACAAAGACAAGCGTGCCCGCAACGACGGGGACCAAGCGCTGTGCTTGCATTCCTCCAACGTCCATGGACCCGGCAAACGTTCATGAGCAAAATGGGTTCGGGCACAGCTGTTTCTTTGTTTGCATTCCTCGTCGTCTGCCTCCAGCTACCAACCCGTCGCTGTCATCTGCCTGTTTTGCGAAGTCGAAGCCCTTATCCTTATAGGTACGTGGAAAGAAAGCCCAGAACATGCTCTCAGCAAGCACTTGAAAGGGCAATGCAGTGAGGACTTTAGGCCACCACACTGGTCAAGAATCGCTCGCCGGGGACCATAAATGCGCATCGAGATGTATGGTGTGCACCCTAACACGCTTGCTCACCACCAAGACTTGTAGACTCGGCACACATGCCTCAACGACGAGGTCCTTTGTCTGCCCGTAGCCTTGTGGGAGGCCTAGGGTGCCCGCTCTCCAGACAATCCTCTCGTTTCTTTCGGGCGTGACCTCCTTTGAAGCTGGTTTTTGTGACCTCTTGTCCGCAACATTGGTCAAACTGCACCTGTCTCCAAAACTCCAAGCTTTTGGAAGCTGGTGTCCTAGTGCGACTCTTTTACTTTGGGCTATAATGTTAGATAGCGATTAATAAAACGGGAGTGAATACGGAAAAATCTCAAAATTATTCACTCTCCAGAAAAGCAAAAAGGGTAGGTTTTACAGAAAAAAACTGCTCGAAATCCCTTCCAATAATTGACTATTTTGAGGGTTGAAACGTTTGAGTCCAGCCAGAAATGTCCAGAATTTCTGGATTGCTTCCTGCCAAATTCCTTATTAATCCCTTTACTAGAAGATGCACCCTGACAAATTTCCCGGAACCCCCCAGGAAGGCAATAATGCGGTTTGCTTAAGGGTAGGGAATTGTGAAGAAAAAATGGCCAGGGCAGCCTGCCAAGAAGAAAGCCCTGCTGTTCTCAGATAAAGCCGGAAATGTCCAGAATCTCTGGATTGCTTCCTGTCCCAAACCACCAAATTCCTTATCAATCCCTTTACTAGAAGATGCACCCTGACAAATCTTCAAGGGGGTGGCACACGGAACCCCTAGGAAGGCAATAATGCAGTTTGTTTAAGGGTAGGGAATTGTGAAAAAATGGCCAGAGCAGCCTGCCAAGAAGAAGAACCAATACTAAACCAGTTCTAAACTGTAGTGAGTCAACTGAAAAGAATACTGAACTAATACTAAACCAATTCTAAACCGTAGTGAGCCAGCTCAAAGGAATACTAAACCAATACTAAACAATACATACTGGAAAACTACTCAGGCAGGTCCCAGTCTGACCCCCATTTTGTTTTTGGGGTTCTCGCTATTGACCCCCCTCAATTGGTTTGGGCGGGGGGGGAGGGGGGCCCTTTATTAATCACTCTCCAACTTTACTGTTTCAAGTGTGGCACAAAATGACTCGAGGGTGACACATACGTAGTGAAACTTCGCCGAGCATGAAATGAGAAAAAGACCCCTGTCATCCCTCCCACATGGCTTCCTAAAGGGGATCCCCAGGCTCCTTGCCAAACCAATTGAAAATTCCCTGAGAACCAGCGAGCTGATGGGCTCCACCACGCCGACTCTTGGCCCCACAGGCTCCGCGCCTGGCAACCCAGGAACTCTGCGCCCAAGGCGCCGAAGTGAGGCCTGTGCAGCGATTCACGGCCTGTGGCTCTGTCTGCCAGGCTGAATAGACGTAGGCCAAAAATACATAAGGAAAGCACGGAAACAACGAGCAAATCAACCAACCAACTGACCTTCCAGCCAAACAAAGCAACCAACCAAGAAAGTCAGCCAGCGAGCTACCCACCGACCAACCGACCAACCGACCAACCGATCGACCAACCAACAACCAACCACCAACCACATCAACAAGCAAGCAACCTCAGCACCCACGCCAACCTACCAACCAACCAACCAACCGAGCAGCCGCACGACTGACCAAGCAACACAACGCAACGCAACACAAAGCAAAGCAAAGCAAGCAACTACATCAACCAACCAAGCAAGCAAAGCAAAAGCAAAGGCAAACAAAGAAGCAAACACCCAACCAACTCACCAGCCAACCAACCAACCAACCAACCAACCAACCAACCAACCAAGCAAGCAAGCAAGCAAGCCAGCAACCAAGCAACCAAGCAATCAAGCAATCAAGCAACCAAGCAACCAAGCAACCCAGCAACCGAGCCATCGAGCCACCGAGCAACCGAGCCCCCAGCCCAGGACCGTGAACCAACCGATCACCCAACCAGCCCAGGGCCGATTGCAGTGCAGTGTCCCCATCTTCAGCTCCCCGATGTCCATGGCGGCAGGAGGCTCCGCGCCATTCAGCAGCACCAGCGGCACTCTTGATCCCTGCCTTGCGCTCGCTGCAGGTTGGCTCTGGAAAAACATGAGCGAGCGGCAAAACCTAAATGCACAGAAGTGATTTAGGACTCATTCTTATCGTTTTTGGGGGTTCCCTATATCGTTTTGCAGGTTTCTGGCACATGGAGAGCGCGCACTGGCGTTTTATTGTCACGGCACATTGGCTTCACAGCTCTGTTTCAGACTCTTCCATTGGGTCAGCAGACAAAGCAGCTGCATGTTTCCGCTTACTCCGGGCATTTGCCTTGACCAAGCGGGCTTCATCGCGAGTGACCATTTGGTCGAAAGTCAGGATTTAGTGCTTTTCAAATTGCCGCGAAACATGCGCAGCTGGGCATGGTGCTTCCTCATGATTTCATTCGTTTGATTTAGAGCAACCGTTGGTTTTCTCCATGTGGGATCTTGCCAAAAGCCGCGCTTCCACTGTAGTTGCTCTGCTTCCAACTTGCGCTCGACGATCTGGTACGGAGCACGCTGTCTGATAGCGCTGTTACCTGCGCGAGGCTTACCAAAAAACAACGAAGCAAACGCACAAACGCAAAGCAGAACTGTTTCTCTAAAGCAAAGCAGTTGATTTCGAGCGAGCTTCTGAAGAGGCAGTTGGAGATGCGTACGGGAAAGCGTGAGTTTCCAGATGGCACTGCTTCCAGGCAGATCGGAGTCCTTGAAAACCTCCTTTTGCAAACGCTTGAGAGCCTCCTCATCATGCATGGCGCACTACGAATGCACGAAGCACGGGGACATCGAAACTGTGCGCATGAGTCTGCCGTTATGGGCAACTGCTCACGAAGACAATTTTCCGATTGAACTGCTTATCGTTTCGTTATCGTTTCGGTTATCGTTTTGGGCAGGTATGTTTTTGCCAAAGTTCGCGGAACAAACAGCATTGCGTGGCCGCAGAGCCCGATCTCAAATATGCTGGGCGCGTCAGGAGGCGCAGACATGATGGCTGAGATTCTGGGCCACAAAAAAAAGAGCTGCCAAACGCGAGACGCTCCAAGCATCGTCTGCCACATCATGAAATTGTGTTTTATCGTTTTTGGGGGTTCCCTATATCGTTCTACAAGGTTTCGATAGATTTCCTCACGCTAAATCGCCCGAATGCATAAAGAAGTAACGGAGAGTTTAGTCTGTTGCTCACATGGCTTCGTAGCAGGGTTGATCTCCATGAATGATATTTTATCCTGGATGAGTTGGTTGCCTTTTTTTCTGAAGCCTTCACACACCCATGTCCGTGTTATTCACCATAGTTGGTGAGAAAACAAAAACAGTTGCCAACGACCATGATTTGGCAAAACAACTTGTTATAGTTCAGAGTGCGGTCGTGGCTACGATACATATAAGCGCTTTGTGAAAGCTATGGCCAGCCATGCCAATTAGAGGCTGCCACAGGCTTTCAACCCCGCTAACTCGGACTGACAAACAAATCCCGTAAGCCTGCAACGTCAGATTGCTTCTGGACAGACACGTCTCGCATTCTGCACCTGGAAACCTTGGGCTGAAAATTCCGGGGGGGGGGAGGGGTGCCAGCCTACATTGGAACATGCTGGAATTGCTGCTTGCCCCTTGGGACCCCTTAAGCAACTGCGAGCTGGGTTGTAGGAACATGCTTCAGGCGTTGCTGGTATCTGGGCTGTAGCACATGATGACAGCGGAAGCATGCTACGAACCTTTTGCCCATATCGTTTGCATCAGGTCCCTTAGCGCAGCAAAGCAGCTTAACCGGACCTGCCTCCACCTCACGAAATGACATTCCATTCTGCCTGCCGGGTTTTGTCACTCTTAATGTCGCTCAAGCAGCCCTAGGCACCGCCACCGCAAACACTGCAACCAAGGCGCCGCACAGTCAGCAAAAGCTCACTGATGCCTTTGGAAGCGGCCAAAACTACATCGTACCTGAGCTGCCCAAGCATTGCGCAATTACGGCCTGCAAACACACAAACACGCAAACACATCTGTAAGTCTTGCCATGGATCTAGATATACAGGACCTGAAAAGAGGTGAGGCTATTGCTTTTGGCATCAATGGGGCAAGCCACAGTGGCAGTGGCGACATGCCTTCGTGTCATGCGCACAGCATGTTTCAGCACCTCATAGCTAAGGAAGCATCTAAGTCTGCAAGCATGATCTTTCTAACTTCGCCCCGAGGAACGACTGGGAGGCATCAACGACTATGGCGGGTATGACATGAATGCGTCATATTCAGATCCAGGCCCGGGGCGTCTAAGCAATGCCCTCGGAGAAAACAAGACCTCCGGATCAATCGCCTTGTATTGGCAGTTTAGCCCAGTGTAACCCCCCTCACCCACAACAAATGGCATGGGCTGGATGGATACAGTAGCCTGCGCAGAAAGCGCGTTGCCTCTGCACGGCCAAGAGAACCAAAACAAGCAAACTACAGCCAAACCACGCACCCAACAGCCGCAACCACGTTTGACAGGACAAATTGACACACCCGCCTCCCCGTACCCAGCAGCACCCCGATGGCTGCCGCATAGGACACGCAGGCGCCTGTTCGCAGCTCTGCGGCCTCTGCAGCAAGGAGCCCGGCTGCCTGGCAGCTAAGGCAGATCCCCAACAAAAGACATCCAGCCTGGGGCAAAACATGTATGAAATCTTTGCGCCACGAGTATGCCAGGTGGGGGGCCGAGCTGCAAGGTTCCCGGGAATTTGCAGAACATGTTTTGAACTGCCCTGAGTTACTTGAATTGAACATCTTGAATCAAGCTCCGCTTCAAGAGTTCTTTCAAGCACCTTTGCAAGCCGCGTTTCCCCCAGTTAGTTCGAAGAACGTGTTCATTCTTGCCCTTTTGCTTCGCCTTTAACCATCCCTCCAGTCACGTCGACGCCAAAGATTTGGGCTGGGGACCGGGAATCTGAAGACTGGGTGCCCCATACGCATGTTGGAGTCCAGGAGTCCAGGATTGGCAGTTTTGGCAAATCTTTGAGCCCAAAATGCAGGCTCCGAAAACCTCGCGCTGCCTTGAGAAAGACAAACGCGTTCCAGACCCGCGAGAGACCCTATCAGTTGCGCGCTTGACCTCAAAATCGGATTGTCGCAAAGCCTTTTCGTTTATGTGTCCTTGCCCTTGCAACAAACAAAATGAACACAGTTGCGCGTCTTGGCCTCCCAGGGACTGGGGGTTCGTCTCAGGGCAGGTCTGGCACTCATTTCACTTCCGCGTCTCCAACCGATGGCCACGCACACAATTCAACTGACTCAAACCTTAGCCTGCTGACAATGTGGCTCTCGAACTTGCTTTTCTTGGATTACCCAACAAGGTACGTGCACTGTTGCTCAAGACCTTCTCCGAGCATCATGCTTGTTGATTTCATGTTAGAGGGTGTAACTGCAGTTGCTCCAACCTTGTTTGTCATATGCGTGCTTCGTTGTTTGTGGTGCTGTGGGTGTGCCATTGGGAGTAAATTCACTGTTTTTTGCAGACAGATCCTAGAGCAATTGTCGCTTGCATGACTGCGAAACAGTTTGTTTAGAAAGAATCCTCACATTGTATATGTGTCCCTGAAGTAGTCATTCCTGTGTCCATGGAAGACATTAGCATCAGTGTCGTTGCGTCGTTTGTGGCCTGCAAAGCAAGGGAGCAAGCAAGCTGAATGCCAATGTCAGAGCCACATGGAGCTTCAATCTTGAGTGCCAGAGATAGGCCCATCAATCATTGGCTGGCATGTTGGACCCGAAGCTCCCACAATACGCATATCACACATCCGAAACCAAAAGATGCCCATCCTCCTGCGATTCGCCATGAATTTGACAATCTATGCCGCCTCCTCACCGCGAGCGCTGACGACCAAGTCCTTGTCTGCCTTGCAGGAAGCAGTTGTCTGGCTCAAGCAAAAACAGGCGTCTGTGTCTGAAGGCGCTACGCGGCGTGGCTACGCGGCTCTCTGTTAAGGATGAACTCTGGCCAGCGTAATGCCAAAAAGACTTGCAACAACTCATGCGTCCCCTTTGTCACCATTGTCATAGTCAAACCGTGTAAGCAAACAGGTCAGTGTTGGTTGGCATTCGACTGGCCTGGGTGACGGGATGCTGAAGCATGTCCACCAACAGCTTGGGATCTTGCAACAACGCGCCGTAGATGAAGCCGCCATTGCCCAGGTAGCCCTCCTGGCCTCGAAAGCTGGTCAGGTTGCATGTCCAAAAGGTACTAGAAGCAACTAAAAGCAAGCGTGCTCATGTAGGCTTAGAAGTGGATGTGAGAAGCTGGGTCGTTGGTGAACATCACTTGCATGAAGAGTTATGACGCAATTCATGTTTGAATCAAGGTCAAGCCCAGGCCAAGGTGGCACATCCCCACGCTAGCTTTCCCGCTGTCTGCACACACTCCACTGAAGAAGTTCCCGGCTATTGTTCGCAGTGTCCAAGAGTGTTTCCAAGGACCGCTTACGTCTTCCCAAGCCGAAAAGATACTTGTCCAGATTTCCCTCTATTGACATGAGCCAAAAAGCCTCTGACAGACTGCGGAAAATGCTTGGTGAGAGAGGGTGTTGAAAGGAACACCCAAAACGAGGCCTTCCCAATACACCTCACAACACTCATATCCCAGCCGGCATCATGAACCGGTTGACCTTGAGGCATGCTCTACCACAGACCCCGTTTCTAAGCGCGGAAAAAGGAGCACCCCACGAAGTAATACTCGACAAACCAACATGTCGCTATGCTGCATTCAAACTCTCTCTAATCCGATGTCAACGGCTCAACGCACATGGCCATTGAAATTGGATAAGGAACGGTCTATTGTATTCTATTGTCTGCTGTCTGTAGCATGGTCCTTGTCAACTTCTGGATTGGTGGGGAGCAACACTTGACACAGCCACTTGCTTGGCCCCAGGAGCGCTCCCAAAGGTACCAGAACTCCTCTCCCATGAAGCCAGGGAAGGATACGCATGATGCGCGCCGGGCGCGCTCCTGTCATGGGATGCAATGGGCTAGGCTCAGCTCAATTGGACAGGAAGCTTCTTGTCAGGATCTAAGCTATACGTTGGCCATATTGTGCGTGCAGGGCGTCTAGAAAAACATCCTTTCCAAGAAATCAATATGAGAAAACAATCCGCCTGCTTTTACGCTGAAATTTCATTGTCAACAATAGACCTTGGCTGTGGCAATCTCCAAAACCCCTTTGTACTTTGTAGGGTCAAGAGCCAACTCTCCATCGCCACGGCTTGCTAGGAATGCGCTGTGGATTGCTGTGCCGCGAAAAGCATTGCAAACTGCGTACTTACGAGTTTGTGCTTCAGCCCTGCTACTGGCCTATCCCCACGAAAAGGACACCCACGCACCTTTGGAGGAAGGTAAGGTCACCATTCAAGTTCCTAGCCATACGGCCACATGCAGGATGAGTAGGATTGCCCGCCTAAATACTAGGGAAGTCGAAGCAAACTTGGGAACACATCCGCTGAGCATTGCAGCAACTGCCAAGGCACCAAGTACAGCCGATGGCATTGGGCTCCCAGCCAGCCCCGGTCCCACACTAAGAGTTCATGTTGCTTGCAGCGCCAAAGCAAGAAAAAGAAAAGGAAGGCCTTCTGGCGAAAAATCGGCTCTCAAGTTCAGAATTATCCCACACATAAGTCACGGTTGAAATGCGCAGTGTGGTTCACGTGTTGATCATACGTTCTTATGTGGAGAAGTAGCTCCCTTGTCGGACTAGGCCAGTGTCTGCGTGGAGTTGCCTTCTCCTGGCAGGGCTGAAGCACAATCTATGGTACAAACTGGGGTCAAAGTATCCAGTCTATGGCGCATTAAGTGTGTCCTCATACAGGTGCCCAGACTATGCGTTGCTTTGTGTGTCCAACAGCCGGGTCGACCTTCCGGCCCTGGAAGTCAGCACTTGTGGCTGAATTTCAAACGCCGAAAAAACTAAGAAAATCTCTCAATCTTTGGGGTTCGCGCCCTCCATTTCGATGGATATTTGTGGGCCAGGCTCCTCCTGTGAGACCGCCACCACACCGCCAGCTCCGTCCGTCAAAAACTTCCCGTGCGCCAGCGGAACCTGGCGGCCCGGTGGCCCTGACTTCATCACATGATGCGGATCACGGGGCCTATGTCCCGTTAAACATCACCCTACCAACAGGAAACTCAGGGGGGTGTTCTTTTCAGGCATACTTTGTTTAATGATGTTATTGGGAAATCAAAGTCAACCACAAACTTCGGGGGGTCCCACTACAACTTTTGGATCACGGGAGTTCCTACAGTACATGCAATCATGGTTGTGATTCTTGACTGGAATCGTATGAAAGCAACTACATGGGGATTGTTCCCACCACCATGTTGTTTCGAAAGATCTGCTGCGTTTCCAGCAGTCGGAAATGCACCCTATCCCCGCGCTCCCTTCACCTCTCCCCATTTTGTCCGTGATTCAAAACAGACCGGCCGAAAAGCAAAGCAAGACCGCCGACAAGGCAAAGAGCCAGTGTTGTAGAAACTCACCATTTCTTTGATACGAAAGGGGCCATAGCTTTGACATATCTAGAAATCCCTTCGTACCATAGACAACCATAGCCTAAAGCACTGGGCAAGGCATGCGACGCCCCAGCTTCCCCATGGCCTCCAAGCCTAGGCCAGCATTGGTGCCCAAACCAGCGCCCACCACCAACACTCGAAGAGGTTCGCCGGGTGTAGGCATCGCGCTTCATGGCCACACTAGCTGTGGCTGACAGGAGCCCAATTTTGAAACTAAGAACTAAGCGTCAACTTGTCCAGGAGTTTGATTGCAGTGCTTTTGATTCAATTACGTAGGGGCTCCTTTGTTTGCTGCCAGCGACTCTCGGGTTTCAAATGCCCCTTTGTTTCTTGAGCAGGCCTCGGTTGCCCGTCCAAGTGATGCACGGTATGATTTTAGCGTAGCTGTGCACCGAGTGCCTTGCTGGCAACTGACTGACCAGCTGAGCGTGTTGTCAAAATGAGGGACCCTACGAATGGACAATGGCAAGCTGTCTTTGTGGTTTCCCGTCAAAACCATATCGACAAAGTATCCCTAATGCTTCGAAGCCTCCACTGCTCTGCTTGGCTGATAGCAAACCTGCGGCCAAGAGCTAAAGAGGCAGAAGCGCTGAGACCAGGTCTTGCCAAATCTAACCACAAAGCAACCGCTGTTACATAGAAGCGCTGCATGGCGCATACACTACTTAAGCTCAAAGAACGCACAGCCTTTAGGATGGAAAGCACAAACGAAACAGGAATGGCAGCATAATCGTTTACTTCGATGTAGTTCTTCGCGCACAGGAAAATTCAACGTTGCTTGGCGATAGCTTGAAAACACGCGACCAATACATGCAATCCTCAATTGATCCACAAAGTGGGATGTGGACTCCTACGCTGGGCTCTGCACTTCACAGGTGGTGGTCATATGCAAAGTCACCAGTCCAAAAAGCGCATCCCTCGGCTCGCGCTGCTTTTGAGCAAAAGCCGGTGGTGTTGGAATGGCTTGGCCACGGTGCAACCTAACAAGCCAACGCCAGCCCACACCACAAAGCAACGGTGGAGTGTTCCAAGCTTCAAGCGCTGCACCGTAGGCAATGTGTGTGCAATGTATGGGATGGTCGTTATCTCAAACAGGTGCAACTACGCCAGGCAGAGGATGGGGGTGGCTACGAGGTCTTCGAGGGCTCGGGGTGGACCCCACACAAAAAATGCAAACAAGAGAGAGCGACACAAAAGCTTCAACTCCATGTGTCTTGGTCGACTCCAAGTGGTTGAGGCCAGTCTTGTCGCTGCCTGACTTTGATTTGCGCTCTGTCTGGCACGCACTTTCCACACTTCTGTTCGAACGCTGAGAAAGCTGCTGCCTCAACAGTGCCTCAACAGTTGTAATTGACTGCTACTTGAACCCAATTAGGAAGCGGTCGTTGATACATACCCAGCTCTATTTGGGAGAGCTATAAAAAGCCATTGCTCAGCGGGCCGCACATCCAAATAGCAAGCTGCATGAGCACAAAGACCCAGCCACGAGCCTCAGCCACCCCAACCGTCCTGGCCATGCCATGGGCGCCTCGGAATGAATCACGCTCCCAACTGGCCCGGCATACGAGTCGCATCCGAGAACAGAATGACCGACCCGAGCCCAAACAGCAAGCCTGACAACTTTCAATTTTTAGCTGCAAGCTGACATGCTTCTGGCACATTCCTTCGCAACGTGAATCCAGCCTTTGACGTCCCGGCCCACTTTATTTTAGGCAAATGAGTCAGCGAGTCTGGCTGTGGCTTCGTTGGTCCAAGGATGTTTCAGTGAATGTTGAATGGCCCCTTTGCTGTTTCACGGAACCTGCCTGACATACGAGCGTCAGGTTGTGGCGTATTGGCTATGGAACTATGCACGTGGCTTGGACACCCATTTGACTAGGAATGAGATCCGCCGCCCGTGCAATTTGGCGTCAGCAGCTCTTCTTTGCTGTTTGTTGATGCCCTTTCTATGACAGATCTGACGAGGTCGGAAATGATCTGACGGGATCTGAAAAGCGGCTGGGCGTTTATCTTTTTTAAGGGAACCGTGCGAGCGAACGAACCAACCATCAGCTACAAAATAACATCACCTCGACCAACCAACCTGGAAAAGCACCTTCAGTGATACTCAAACTAAGTTGGCCTCAGTCAAAATTAGGCGTATCCTACCCACCTTTGTTCGCTACATGCTGTCGTCATTTCTTCGCAACATCCGCATGAACGAAGGCGTTTGCATGTTTAGTGGCCTCTTAGATTCTTCGGCCCTCACTTCATGTTTGGTGTCCTTCGCACGTGCGGTTTCTTGGAATGCCCCCACTCATCCTTGCAGCACTGATTTTCAAACGGCACAGGGCAGCTGTCCGATACTTTGTACAGCTGGACGGATTGACGAGCTTGAGTCAATCCTGGCGCTGCCCTTTGTCCCTAGCAAAGTTTTCTGGAACGCAGACCCTCCTCAAACTTGCGCGAAGAAAAAAAACGCGCAGAATCACGTGCACTGAGACCCAGCTGTATACTTTGCCAGCTCCTTGCCTGGGTTGTTCCCAATCGGTGTGTCAAGAATAGGGACTTGGACCCAAACAAAGGCTGTAAGGCCAGCCTCAAACAATCCAACCCCATGAGAATCTTGCGGATAGAGTTTGAAAAACCCAGTTAGCTGGTGACCTGAGCGAGGCCACCAGCACTAGATATCCTTTCGACAAATCAATGGTGCTGACAAGTACATGGAACCAGCCAAACACCAGTGCGATTCGGTTCCAAAAAAATCGGTGACCCTAACTGGGCTGTAAGAAATGGGCGTTCCAGGATGCTATACCTATGAGCTTCCGTTTGTGCAAGCGATCGGACCCGTTTATAGCCCCGTCCTGACTATGCCGTCAGGGTCGATCCTTTGCCAGGTACACGCGCGCCTGTCCCTTCCGGACCTTTCCAGGTGGGGCCTGTGGCCTGGCAACGCCGAGCAGGGTGCGTTTCTTCATATCTCCAGAATGGGTCTGTCTCGACATACGGGAGCCCTGAAAATGGGTGGTATCCTTTGGCTTCTCCCCCCGAAAAAAAAAAAGAAATACAACAAAGAACCCTTTCAAGCAAGACACGTGTGCCAGGGTGGTGGCTATCAGCTGCCTGGAACCATGGGTGAAAGGATGCACAGAACAGTCCACCACTAAAACATGACATGCATGCCGAACAGTTGCACCAGATTCCCAGTAGGTGGCACAGGCTCGTGCAGCTCAACGGAACCCACAAAGAGGCGAACGCGAAAGCCTCTCCAAAGCAAAGCCACCCAATCACTGCAACAACGCAAAACTACCAAAAAATGGCTAAAAAACGAGTATTGTTTATTCTATAATTGAATAACCCTAAGCACTGACAAATGAACACTTTGCCAACTTGGGCTGTTCAAAATGGAGGGTTGGCCAATCCTAACCAATAATTCGTATTTGGTACTCACTACAAGGACGGCTTACTATTAACCAAAAGGGAAGCATTCTGGATTGACTCTGAACTGCCCGGCCAACGTACCATTCTCTTTTGGGAAGGGCCGCTCGTTTGATGGCCTGAAAGGACGATCGACAAGCAACCGCTTTGGAGGTCCCCAAACTTTGAAACAAGCCCCGCCCTTCTAACTCAGCTTCTGCCCACCTCAAAATTATCATGTTTAGATTCTCCACATTCAGTGAAACAGAACATGACAAATCACATGATACCCATCTGGTTCAAAGGGGTCCGGGTCCCAAAATGCAAGTTGAGAATAGTCCACAGAAACCCATCTGGCCCGGCCTTGCTGACCTCCGCCGTTCCTTGGCCACGGTCTTTGCCTGAACGAAGTCTAGGCCATGCTGGTCGCAGGCGGTCTGCAGCGCCTGCACCCCCAGGCACCGCTCCAGGTACCTCAGCACGAAATGGGGATGTCGCTTAGATGAGTTTGTGCGTGTATGTTTGTGTGTGCTGTTTTTGTTGTCTGTGTTTGTCTCTTTCTCTGTCTCTTTCTTTGTTTATTGCTCTTTCTCTCTCTCTTTTCATGTGTACTGAGTGTGTGTGTGTGAGTTGGTGTGTTGTGTGTGTGTGTGTTGTGCGTAGTGTGTGTGTGTGGCCTGTGTAGCGTGCAGTGAAACTTTTCCGCCTGAGGCAAAACGGCGCAAGGCGCAAGAAGAAGGCAGAATACTGGCCAAATGGCAAGAGCTGCTTGCTAGCGTAGGTCGAAGCTCCACGCTCCGCAAGCCGCGTTCCTGCGACACAAGGCCTCCGTTTTGTCCATTTGTCATTGTTGCAAACTAAACTTGAACATGGCCGACCTCTACTTGCGCTCAAGGCGCTGTCTTGGTTCGCTCAAATCGAGCGTGTGATGTGCGTGTTGTGTGTGTGTTGTGGTGTGTGCAGTGTGTGTGTGTGTTGTGTGTGTGTGTTGTGGTGTGTGTTGTGTGTGTTATGTGTGTGTGTTGTGTGTGTGTGCTGCGTGTGTTGTGTAGTGTGTAGTGTGGTGTGTAGTGTGGTGTGTGTGTGTGTGTGTTGTGTGTGTGTGTTGTGTGTGTGTTTTGTGTGTGTGTGTGTTGTGTGTGTGTGTTGTGTGTGTGTTGTGTGTGTGTGTGTTGTGTGTGTTGTGTGTGTGTGTTGTGTGTGTGTTGTGTGTGTTGTGTGTGTGTTGCGCGTGTTGCGTTTGTTGTGTGTGTTGTGTGTGTTGTGTGTGTGTGTGTGTTGTGTGTGTGTTGTGTGTGTGTGTTGTGTGTGCTGTGTGTGTTGTGTGTGTGTGCGTGTTGTTGTGTTGTGTTGTGTTGTGTTGTGTTGTGTTGTGCTGTGCTGTGCTGTGCTGTGCTGTGCTGTGTTGTGTTGTTGTGTTGTGTTGTGTTGTGTTGTGTTGTGTTGTGTTGTGTTGTGTTGTGTTGTGTTGTGTTGTGTTGTGTTGTGTTGTGTTGTGTTGTGTTGTGTTGTGTTGTGTTGTGTGTATATGTGTGTGCGTGCTGTGTGGTGTGTGGTGGGTGTGTGTGCGTGTAGTGTGTTGTGTCGTGTGTGTGTGTGTCTGTGTGAAGTCTGTGTGTGTGTGCAGTGTGTGTGTGTGGAGTCTGTCTAGTGTGTGTGTGTGTGTTTTGTCTGTGGTGGGTGTGAGTGTGCGTGTAGTGTGTTGTGTCGTGTGTGTATGTGTGTGTGTGTGTTTTGTGTTGCGTGCGTGGTGTGCGTTTGTGTGCGTGTGTTGTATTTGTTTTCTGTGTGTCTTTGAATGTGTTTGTGTGTGCGATTGTCTGTGTTTGTGTGTTTGTGTTGGTGTTCTTCTTTCTCTTTCCCTCTCTCTCTCTTCATCTCTCTTTCTCTGCCCTCTGTCTCTCGTCTCTCTCGTGGCATCAAACTCCGTCCCACTGGAGTGGGGGGGGGGGGGGGGCCCGCGCTGGGCTCCCAGCAAGTGCTGCTTAGATGGCCTTAAATTAACAAAACACTTGGCCAACACCCCGACCGCCATGGTGGTGAAGTGAAAAACACCACCTGTCTGTGTCGCCTGATCACTTTGGATAGCACCCCGGAAGCATGCCATACATGCTTACTTGTACTAGAAGCACATCAACAATACATTCAATGCATCGATGTAAGCATGCAAAACCACCGGCCCCACAAGGCATCTGTTCGCAGGCAAGGGAGGTATATAATATCTGCGCTGTGAGATCTGGCAACCCCGACTTAGCCAAAGCCGCCAGCGACTCGACGTGTCGGGCTGCAAGCGCCAGTTGATGATGCATTGCAAGACCTGCCAGGCGAACCTTTCCAGGCAGAGAAGTCTCATTGGCCGGGCTGGGTTGCATCCTATGACCTGCCGCTAAGCGAAGCCAAGGCCCCTATGCCTTTTGCTGGGTCAGCAAGGGGCAACGTGCAAGCAACGCTTGGTTATACCAGGTTGGCCGTTTACAGTTAGTTGAGTAGGGCGTGCAGAAAGAAACGTGTGTGCTTTCCGGGCGACTAAACAAAGTGTGATAAAGCATATAGCACCCTTGCAAGAAATAATGTCTCGCAGCCTGGCAGCTTTCATTTTGATCAGAGAAGCCCTGCCAAGGTATGCTAAGCATGAACAACTATACGCCATGTTTCGCCACAAGAAGCCTCGCGACAACAAGACTCCAACGCAAACGGCAAAGTAATTGGTGCCAAACTGGCAACACACCAAGCTGGTCGATATCCCTGCTAATACACATTGCCTGGCTTGCATGATTAATTGATCAAGCGTGCTGCGTGCGTGGTCAGAAAGTGCGTGAATAATAAATGAGCTCAGTGAAACAATCCTTAGCCGCAGCCTGTTGGAGACACGGGTGGGGTGCATGATCAAATAGCCTTTGCATCGGTGGTTTGCATGAGTGCAATGTCGAAGAACAACAGGATGGGAACGCGCTAACTTACGCCAAAATAACACGCGCACATTCGCAACGTCACATACCAAATGGGCAGGGCCAAAGGCACTTGCAAACAACCACTCGCCCCCAGTTCCCTTACATGGCATGCGTTGCATATTTGGCAATGTAGGCCAAACGCAACCTCGCCTTAATGAACCCAACCTTAGTCCCACTCTTTATCCAACCTCAACCCAACCCTTCACCCAAACCAAACCAGAAACTAAACGTCGGCCGAACAGTCCAGGCCTAGCCTCCTCCGCTTCCTTGCCCTTGGCGCAGCGCAGCGCCACGTTCAGCTCCCGCGCCGACACGAGACCCTGAGCCTGGGGCCAAGGAAAAAGCATCTTCAAGCAAAGGACCGTCATGCTGAGCTCGTTCTACCCCAGATGTGCCCGTGGACTAGGCGCGCATCTGTGGCTGGGACCCTACAATTGCGCGGTTGTGGTTCTCACCAAACCTGTTTTGGGAACGGTTGCCCGTTGCCCCTAAACTAAATCAAGACATCTAGGTACTGCACAATGTCACAATGGGATGCGATTGAGATCAATCCGAAACAAAATCAGCCGGGGCTTTTTTGGGGATTCATGGGAATTCGGAACATATTATCACCAGCTTGGCTTGAACACCCAGACCGTGGGTTGATTTTGTTGCAGGGTTTAAAAGGGAAATCCACAGAAGTTGTTCAAATAACAGTGTTCTGAGAATGTCTAAAAGAGGGTGAGTATCACCCTGGTACTCAACCCGCAAGTTTTGGGGTTCAAGACAAACCCTGCTGTTTCAGGCGTAAATTTTCCATGCCACATCTGAAGCACTTCCAAGGTGCCAAGGCTCCCGATCCCAAAAAGCATACGGAACCAATTCTGTTTGGTTGCTTGATGACCGATGTGTTAAAACTGGCACCAAGTAAAAATAAATACAAATTGCTGCCACTGAAAAACTGGGACATGGGACATCCTCCTGGCGCCCGACCCGGCCCTTGCGACTTGCTCGAGGTGCTGCCATCTCCTTCAAATACCGCAAACAGCCAGCAAAGTCCCCGCTCCGGCCAAAGGCGCCCATGACCACAGCGTAGCCTAAGTGACGGTGTGACATTAATCATATTGCTTGTTTTCTAGGCGGAAATTGGAAATAGATGTACGACCTTTCAAGCATTCTGGGAAGAAACCCGCCAAACCTTCATGAGCACCTTTATGCAGCAAACATAAAGTGAGCGCGGACAGGTTTCCAGCAAGTGTGGTTGCCCAAGTTATGGACAGCGCTATATAACTTGTCTGGCTTATGCATCACCCTAGGTGCCACCGTCCAAGCACAGGGGCGTGACCCACCGACCACAACTCATGAGACGAGATGCAGACTGTATTGGGCCGCAGGCTTGTTTCGGTTGCCTTTTGCAACCATTGCTCCGCCAGAACCGGCTGCATCGCTTTGGCAGCAGTGGACATAAGGCTGCTGTAGGTGATGATGTCGGGGCGAATTCCTGGGGAAGACATGAACCTGGGCCTCCCTTGCGGAATCCTTGCCTATGGCGGAAACAATCGGCACCACATTGGCGGCAAGCAGGACGTTGTGCGCTTCACATGTCAACCTTGGCAGTTCTTAGATACTTACGACTTACATACGTAGTCGACAATAAGCAGGAAATCGCCTTTGGCTCTTCCATGCGGTGTTTGTCAAAAGTACATATATTAGGTGATATACTCTCCAAAAAGGAAGGCCCGAAATTTGTTGTTTCTTTTGGCTCCCAAGCAGCCAATGACAATTGAGTGGGACAATTCAGTGCTGCATGGGTGGTTCACCCATGAAGCGGTTGCTTCACGCAACTCTTTTCATTGAACCTGCTACCCTGTGGTCTGAAAACTCTGGGTGCCCAGCGGCCATCAGTCAGGACAGGTCATCTGCACTTCACTCTTTGAAACCATCTAGAAGCGGCTAAGCAAAGATGGTAATCGCTGAAAGTGACCGTCCGTGCCCTTGCGCCGGGTTCAAAAACGCATTTGTTGTCGATCGCATGGTCCGGAACCAACCCACCCCTTCTCATCAAGGTAGGCAACACTTCGATATGTATGGGAAAACCCACAGCCTCCCCACCCTTCATGAAAGGTGCTTAGCACCTCGCAAAAAAAAAAAAAAGAGACAGAATTTGGGGTTTCTGGCCGTCCGGCTCGGCACTTCCGCCCTTCCGCGCCTTCCGCAGCCATGCGCTCGAAGACCTGCTGCGCGCCCACCGGGTCGCGGCGCTTGGCCGCGCGCGCGAAGAAGGGCGCCATGGCGGCCGCCGTCAGCGCACCACGCGCCCGGCACTCCTCGCTGGGAAGGCGCGCGCTGAAGATGCGGGAAATCCATGGGCCCAGGCAATGCGGTCCTCCAGTAGGGAGGTTAGAATAAGGGTACCGACTTTTTTTCTGTTGTCTATTTTAGTAGTGGAACCCTCCCCCACAAGAGGGTAAAAGGGCACTACTGGGGGACCTAGTCTCATAAGTTGGTTGGGTGAGTTATGTAGCTGACTGAACATGAGAGGAGAGCGGATGGCACGCCAGGTTCATATGCAAGCACATGCATCAACACATGCAATAAAAAGCCACTTCTCTGCGCGGACTTGTGGTTCTGCCACCGGGGTGAGGCAAGGAGCCATGGCCGGCAACTCGCCCATAAGCAGCGGAAAGGATCAGGGCGGAAAGATAAACTGAACATTCGCACACCTTTGGGCAAACAGTTCAAACTCCAGAACCTGGAAACTGCACAAGGAGGCACGCGCACTAAAATGGCAACTGGCTAAACTTCTCAGTGGTGGCGGTGCGCTTTTGCCTTTGCATTGTATTTCTGTGTTTGCGTGTGCGTGCACATGCATATTCACAACAAACCATCAAATGAAGAAGGCCAAATAGTGCAACTTATACTGCCCTTCCAGTACGCACGGGCCGCTGAGTCGGGCATCGCGAGCCCGTATTGAGCGGCCTCAATATCAAACAAAACACTCGTGCTTTCATCAAGCATGACAAGCATGCCAGGAGCAAGAGTGGAGGCTACAAGGCTGAAACTTAAAGCTTTGCTGAAAACTCAAGGGAAGGCAGGTGAAAGCCGGACGAATGAAGACCCAAGCGGGGTGCTACAGGCTGGCCAGCGAACAAGGCAAAGAGCGGAAGCAGCCGCTCGAGACTGGAGGAGGCAGCCAAAGCGCGAGAGCAGCGGCGGTGGCAAATGCAGACAAAGCCTGACGAGCAACGACTACGGCGAAGTGGACGCTGGAAAAAGTGAAGAAGAAATTGAAAACCAATTATCGAGACTGAAGAAAACAGCGAAACCTCAAGGCAACAGAAGGAACCGCCACGGCAGCGAAGGCTGGGCACACAAGCGCTTGATGAATGAAGGCTAAGGCAAGAGGATAAACATGGAGGAGGTGCAGTTTTGGAAACAACAGCTCGAGGTGGAAGAACAAAGGCACTAGAGTGGACGGCTGAGTCGCTGGAAAACGGGTTGGTGAAGGCTTGATCAGTGAAGATGCAGGCAAACTAAGGCGAGGTGGACACTGGAAATTGAAAAGTAGGAGGTAAAGGGCGAAAAGGCATCCAAAGAGCGGAGGCTGAAGGCCCTGGCATAAGACCGAGACGTGGCAAAAGGCATCTGGAGGCGGAACGTGCCATGTGACAAGCCACGAATGTATGCATACATGTCTGTATGTGTACGTGAATGCATGCGCATAAACATACAACAACTGCGGTTCCAAATGCATGTGTGTTATGTACCAAAGAACTGATACTCAGCAATGAAAACAACAAAAGAACAACATGTTTTTTCTCGGGTGTCAGCACATGTGTCAAGCATGCACCACATCATTCAAATCATCCATCGTCATGTGCGTTTTTAAGCCTTTCCCCGGCCTCCAAAAAAAAGGAGGAGGAGGTCAACCCCTCCTTTCCTGCGGCTGTGGTCAAATGGTCCCTAAATTGACCCGAAGGACCGAGGTCAGTGAACCACTTGACAGCCACCGCGAGCTCTCTTCTGCCAGTCCTGAAGCCAACGTTCCGCGCGGTCCATGTCCTCCGCCTCCACGGCGGCTTGGATCAGAGAGGTGAAGGTGACGATGTTTGGGCTCAGTCCTACGACCCGAAAGGTACGGGACCTACCAACCCGTCTTTTTGGTGGAAGGATTTTCGAAAGGGCCAAGTTGTGGCGGAAAAATGATCCCTTCTTGGAAGTGGGTCACTTTTAGGTGTGTACCTAGCAACGCACAAATGATGTTGAGTGCTACTGAGCAAGTGGACGGTGGGGATTCCCATGTGCAACATGGGCCGTTGTTTGAGAGGGGTGTCCTAGTTGGCATAGTGAAAGGAAGCCGGTTCCCCATTTGGAGACAAACCCACATCATCCGGGTTCCGGAGGCTTGCCCCGCTGCCAGGGATCCAAATCCCTACACCACCAATCCAAGCCACCAATTGAGGATGTCCTGACCTTCCCCTCACGTGAACAAATAGACGCTCGACCGATTCGAGAAAACCCTAAAATATGTTTACTTGCTGTGAGACAAACACGGCAGCGTCCAGCAAACACCAAGAAAGATACACTCCTGCGAAAGGAAAGGCGCATCCTCATGAGCATGACGCTCTAGCCTTTTCAGAAAGGGATTTCAGCAAGGGATCCACCCTTGTCAGACCTTCCACATGACCCCTTCACGGGCGCACCATCAACTGTAGCTTCTGTTGGAATAACCCTTCAAATACGCTTGGTTTTGAGCCTCACAGCTACTCCATTGGAGCATCGGAGGCCACATGATAAAGACACCCAAACGGGAGAGCTTGCGGGCTTCAATTTGAAGATATATCCAAGGTTGGCCCAAGGTTAGCGACAAGAGTGCCCTTCACCAATCGTGCGCTTTATAAGCGGGCAAAGGGGCGCCTCAGGTAATTAAAGGGCACCTTGTTACTGACCTTGGCTAGGCGACAATAGCCCCACAGTGCAAGCAGGTTGACAGCGACTCCTGTGCTGAGATAATTAAAAAACGTGCGCTTACATTCTCGCATGTGATTTGGAAACAAAACCCTCACCTGCGACTGCTGAAGTGGGGCTCTGGCCCGAATTCCTGTGGAACTACCAGCTCGAATCTCGAGGGTGATAGATCTCGTGCATGCAGTGGGATGCTCAAACAAATCCATGGAGCCTGGCCTGGTTCATATGGCCAACAAATGACCTACTGCACTCCACCATGCAAACAGCAAGAAGCATCTGCTTTGTATCAACGATCATCGAGTTCTTGACGCAAGCAATTCTGAGGAGCTGAGCAAATCCCTGGTCTGCACTTAACCCTGTTGTGCACCAACATGAATTAAGGAATCCCTACACGAGGGACCTTCATATTTGGGGAAGTTTGTTCTACCCCGAGGTGTGCCCGGCATAACTATTGCAGCCTTACGGTGGGGACACCCATCACACAGAAGGCTAGACGCGCCAGCAAGGCAGTCCAGAAACACGCGCTCTCTCTCTCTCTCTCTCTCTCTCTCTCTCTTCTCTCTCTCTCTCTCTCTCTCTCTCTTTCTGTTCGGTATGTCATGCTTGCAGTTTGATGCTGTTTGTCAGGAGTTGCTCCAGCTAAAAGCCAATGCAGCGACAAAGCTCTTCGTGAGCTGCATTCAAAGGTGATTGCCACGCAGTTTGCCAAGAGAAAAACAACAAGAAACGGCCTGAGACCAGCTTCCTCTGGCCATGAGAGGTGAAACAAACATCTCAGCCACATGTGCTGCAAGGGACTACAGGTCTCAACCTGAACATGCTTGGTTCAAATTTGGCTGACCTGGCTGAACCGTCTGTCCTGCACGCTCTATCTGATCGAAGACCTCTTGGGCTGCCTGGACATTGCCAGCCTCATGGCGCAAGCGGCGTCACGCTAACCTTCCTCCAATGGACATCTGGAACATAGCCTCCACACACAGCTTTTCATCTTCAGGCCTTTGTCAAAGTACAAATGGGAGAAGTTTGCATACTCTCCTATATTATATAACCTTCTCGAGCGTGAGGATTGTAGCCAACGCAATCTCAACATGAAAAACAACTCGACCCTGGCCATCTAATGGATGACTTGCTCGCGCGAGACTTCAACTCTACATTGACATGACTACAACTACACAAATGACCACGGATCGATAGCTCGAGCTTTCGGAACCATTTCCCGTGTACCATATTTGGCCAGCTGTGCTTTCTCATCCCTCAACTTGGCCTGCTTCACATTTTGCCTACCCTAAGATACGACATGGTTTTAGAGGAGACTTCAGAACTTTAAGCAAGGAAGTGAGAGCAGCATGTGTGAATTGTTCACGTCAAACTAAAGCATCCAATTGCATGAATGCCGGCCCACGCTAACCTGCAGGCGCACATGCAGAAAAAAACGAATTCATGCACATGTGTATTGGCGATTTCTTGCTATGCACAGCGTTTTTCGCATTCAAACAGGTTCAAAGAAACACAGCTCCACTACTTCCAGTACTACGGAAGTTCCTTCTAAACTTCCTTCGACGATCTGGTGTATGTTGCATGCACGCTGACTCAACATTAACCCCGACATAGGCTCATTGTATGTACGACAGGCCGCCAGCACATTGAAAACAAGAGTCAACCCCTGGCTGGCAATATCACATTGTCTGATATTCTACCCGGGTGCCGAACATTTTGTGCCCCTGCTGCCAAGTTGCTTTGGCAGCCGCCGAGATGACGCTATTCATCAAGGCAATATCTGGCTGGAGCCCTCGGAAGATGCAGATCAAACCAAGGCGTGTGGCTGCAGGGGGGGCGGCTAGTGGAAGCTGGGTGGACCATCCCACAGAGAACATGGAAAGGGGTCCCCTTGGCTTTCTGGAGCGTGGGCAAAGAAACACGTCCAACTTGGTTGGAAAATGCCGAGAAGATCAAGTGAAGCCACCCCAGCTGGACCCTGCAGTCAGCATCTGGAAAGGTGAAAGACAAGCCATTCTTGTGCCCGCAAATGGCATTTCAGCGTCAATTTCCTCCATGGCTAACTTACGTGGCTGCGCACGTTCCGCTGTTCACATTCAAAGCATGAAACAGGTGCCACTGAACCACAGGCGTTCCTTTGGGACAACATCATTTCAAATCACTTCCCTCCCCACGATAAGTCTTTGCGCGAAACTTCCTCGAACAAAGTGAATGACTCGCTGGGGCGACTGTTGAGCTTCGAGTGCGCGCGGCTGCAAAACCAAGGGCATCCAGCACTACCCCCCCCCTTGCAATGCAAACGGCCGACCAAGACCTACTGGGGCACATCCATGGCCCGCGCAACATCTTCTGGATTATTGTCTGATTCAGCAGATGTGCCTTGCTCCAACGCCTGCTCAAGATACTTCTTGGCCGCCTGGCACGGTCGGTGTGTTGGCATGCGTCATGTTGTCATGTTGTCATGTTGTCTTGTAGGCGCTGGACTGAAGGCATCAACATGAAACTGAAAGCCGACGGCAGATACCTTTGACCGGCAGGACCAAGATCGATGAGAATCGATCAAGATCGATTGGCTCGCAATGCCAAGCTGACGCACCAAGCGTGCCTTCATCGCGCTGTCCGGATGCCAGCCAAGGGAACGCAATGCGACGAGCGCGTGAACAGATTACAAGCGCGTTGTCTTGACATCCAGTAAAAGCCAGGTATCTACTAGCAATTAAAGCCCTCAACTTGGCCTTCGCTTGGCACGCTTCCGTGCCTCAACCTGCCCGCTCTTCGCAACGGCGCTGACCAGGCTGGTGTATGTGACGAGGTCTGGCACCTGTCGACAGCTTGCGCTAACCGCAAACGGAGGCAACAGGGTTCGCGATATGTCACTTTTGAACATCCCCACACCTAGAGGAGCCCCTGTTCATTTTTCGAACACCCCAAAATAACAGGGGACACATAGGGAGGGAGCAACAAACGGACTCTGCATGATTCCTGGCTATAGCCAGGCGCCCTGATGGCACGGATCTTGCTGAAAGACAATTAGTGCTCGTGTTGCTTGGCTGGGAGAAGGATGAACCAAACTCCCAAACACAAGCCTATTCAAACCTTCCCCTTGCCAATTCCGCTTCAAGAGCCAAAAGAAGGCTCATCAAAACAAGAGAGCTCCTGTGCAGAAACACTTTAATGCGCAGCGATTCTAATCAAACTGTTACAGCCTGGCACCACCAACGAAAACTGAATCTGCCTTCTTTCCTATATATATATATATATCTACCCCACAAAATGTGTTTCTCCTGCACCTCTGACATGGGCGGCCTCTGTTTAGCTTGCACAAAAAACAACAACAAATTGAAAGGGATACCCTCAACAGTTCTTAATTGTTTTCCGGCTTTCTTCCCCAAGGTTTTCCAACAAACATCCACCCACACCCATACCCGAGACCTCTAGCGGCAGCTGAATGCAAGACGACTTTCCAGCTGAAACTCTATCCCAAAAAGAAACGCGTAAAAAGAAACGCGTAAACTAAACCACCGGGCGTCTGAGAAACCCACTTCCGGCTCCCCGGGAAGCGCGTGCCTTCCCCGCTGCTCGCAGCTGCGTTGCCCAGTGCTCCGCCCGCTGCCACTGGCCGCTCCGTGCGCAGGCGGCCACCAGGGCGTTGTACGCGGCCAGGTCGGGGGCCACGTGGAGCCTCGCCTCCTGACGTCTCAAAGGAGGAATCCGCGTCGTTGAACACTGGGATTAACCAAGCAACTGGTTGCAGGTTGTCCGCTCACTATATGTCAATGAGGTACTTAGCAAGTGCTTAGTAAGTAATCTTATTATTTATCAGTGTATACATGCCCTCAGTAGCTTATAAGCATCGTTACTAACACTTAGAATTTACTCTGCCTTCAAGTCTGGAACGGACCCCAAGAATTGTTGCTTCTCCGTAAAAACCAAACGGGCTCACGTGTGCCATGTGGGTCTTGGTCCATGACCAAGACCGTCCCTACCAGCCCCAAGCAAAAGGACATGTTCCCTGTCGGCGTCAATGTATAAATGGAGGGCCTTTGGCTGCAGGAAAGTCAATCGCAGTTTGGCCTCCGCCTTGTTGAAGCGTTGCTTTACAGGGCGGTATTTATGCGCGTGGTTTTTGCCGTTTGGCGATTCAAGTGCATCCCCAAGCACAAGCACGCAAAGCTTGATGCGTCCGTGAAAAGGCTTCGCACCGGAAAATCTGATCACCCTTTCTCAAACGATGAAACACAGCCAAGCGAGCAAACCGTCGCCAACGAGGTTTGGAGGGAAGTGCCGGGAAACCAAACCAGCCCTGCCCAAACCAAACCTACTCTGCTTGTTCTTTTGCCCAAACAGCCGGCTCTTGCTCAGCTTTGAGAAGACTGAGTGGCGCTGGGGGAACATCACGCCTGACAGTCAGTTGCACCCATCCGGGCTGTCCTCCAAGCATTTCCTCAGTAAGATGGGGTGGGTGCACGGCCAATGCTCCAGCTTCATGCGCCCAGGGAAGCCAAACCCATCAACAAGAAAAGCATGTAGGAGGCCTCTAGTAGGCCACATGAGCGTTGTCCTGAAAGCCTAGTAAAAAGTCAACCTGGCAAACTGTAGCTGTCGCTTGACATCCTCTCCTCTTCCTCCTGCAAGCCTGGCCAAAAACTGCAACCAAGATTCTCTGCTGCTTGCAGGTCGCATTGTGCAGCACATGTGATCACCTCCAGGAGTGTAACCAAGGGCACTTGTTGACAGAACGTGAACTCCGAATTCTTTGTAGCAAAAAGAGCTCGGTTCACCAAAAGTTGAGAAGTGTGCGCACGCACAACCATACACACATGCACGGATAACACCACAAGTGCGCGAACAGCACACAAACACAAACACAAACAAACAACCAAACAAACAAACAAATATACCAACAAACAAACAAGGAAAAAACAAAACAAAATGGGGACTCTCGCAACGTTGCAAAGACAAGGCTTGGACTCGGCTTCGTCGGCTTCGAAGAGCCACCAACTATCTACTTCTCCAAGCACCACTGCAAACATGTTCGCCAAGCTTGACATGTGAAGGCGTTGAAGCTCCAGAAGGCTGCCCGAGGGACGCGCATTTAGACCTAGAGGACTCCTGGGAGTTTTTCGCAATACAGCTAACGTTGCCAAGGTGCTGCCGTATATAGCGATGCAGACTTGCCGAAGCCTGCGTCTCGCGCACGCTTCAGCATGCGCTGGGCAGTGGGGAGGTCGCTTGCAGCCGAAACAAGGCCCAGGTAGGAGACCTCGTCCTTGGGTTAATGCAGCACGACCTCTCGACTCCGCAAGGGCGAAACAAAATGCAGAAGTCTTTAAGAAGTGGAGTTCGCTGAACGGGAAGCCTTCCAATGTCAGCCTGTCATCTTTGTGAAGGTGTCACGGTCAAGAATGACATGTGCACCCACAGTGGGAGACTCCCGATGGCACGTCACAAGTTTCCCAGGCCCAAGTGGACCTTACCAGCCACAACCTTCAGCTGACATTCAAGCACAGCATCCACCGGTGTCTCCACTGTCCACTGCGGAACCTCTCAATACTGCTGGTGCTGGTGGCGCTGGTGGTGGCGGTGGCGGTGGTGGTGGTGGCAGTGGTGGTGGTGACGGCGGCGGCGGCACGGTTTGGGCGGGGCCAGCGGCGGTGGTGGTGGTGGCGGTGGTGATGATGACGGCAATGATGAACATCATAAACATGAGAATGAAGATTGAAGCGGCAATGGTTATGATTATGATGATGATGGTGATGATGACGACGAAGACGACGATGATGATGATGATGATGATGATGATGATGGGACCATGATGAGTACCTGACCTTGTGCCATTGACAATGGGAGGGTTGCAGTGTTTGCGTTTTCGGTGCTTGCCCTTCCCCTTAAAAACAACAAGCCAGGCCCATCCCAGCAACACCTCAACTCTAAGCCCATAAGAAAATACAGTACAGCAGGCATATTCCATGACATGCCCTCTCGGAATACTTGTCTAATGAGATGCCTAGGACCTGCAGGTATGAGGAAAGAATTCTTATGAACTGCCAGCCAGGGCTTGCCCAAGGCTGAGAGGCAACTCACCTCTAACCTCTCGGCCCCTCGTCTCACGCCCAGTCTCCGGCTGCAGGTTCTGCTGCTGCATCTCCTGCAAAACTTGCTCCGCCTCTTGCAGGTCCCGTTGCCGGCCCAGGGCTGCGAGCAAGGCGTTGTAGGTGTTCAGGTTCACCTACGCATTGCGCACGCTCGGGTCTCAAGACCAGCGTCTGGGGCACCAAACTCATGTTGCACAGTTTCTTGCTTTGATGCCCATGCAATGGGCTCGGCTTCTGAGTGAACTAGGCTGCACATTGCGTTCTACAAAACCCAAGATGAAAAAACTCTGTTTCAATCAAGTAAATAAACTCCTGTGGAACTCCGGTGTGGCTGTATTGTTCGCACAGTCTACGATTTTGTTGCCGGGAAATCCTGATTTCAGCCACCCTCTTTTGCGGGCAGTTGACAAGCAGGACTCCTGGGATGATGATTGGAAACAAACGAGTAAACATTGGGCAAAGCAGGGTCAACCAATCAAAGCACATTCGTCCAGCTAAGGCCAGCTAGCTAGAAAATCGAAACTGAAAAGTAGAACAGTTTTCTTGCTGCACCGCGTCGAGGTGCGCATGAGTGTGCGTGCGTGTGACTGTGAGCGCATGCGTGCCTGCGTTAGCGCGCGCGGTGATTAAGTGAGCAAGTATGTGCGTGCCCTTGCCGGGGCCAATTCAACCAGTGGTTGGCTTTTTCTGGAGGGGGCAAATGGAAATGTATAGTGTCCAGGGTCCAGTACAAGTTGGCGGCAAATGACGAATTCTGAAGCGGAGCCCCCCTGCCTCACCACAGGCAGCTGCCTGCCGGAACCATCTGCGGGCCGCATCGGTACTTTGGCTGCGCGCAGCTGCAGTGATCAGGCTGCGGTAGGAGTAGCCGTCGAGGGCGAGCCTTCAGCTCCAGTGATCAGTGAAGCAAATGGTGGATTTGGGTCTATGCAAATGACTTCCAAGTCCCTCTCAATGGCATTTGAAATGACGCCCTTCAAACTGAAGCTTGAGAAACCAGGCAAGCTGAAGAAAGTGCTGACTAGCAGATCGTTCAAGCATGTCCGAACATGACAATCCACCATGACATACATGTAACAAACAGTCAGACCAAGCGAGGAACCACCACAATAGCACGACAAACAGAGAACGCTAACAAAACAAGCGCAGGCAGGTGTATAATTGCCCTGAAGGCCCCGCCGACCACCCAGAACAACAATAACGCACAAGGAGCCAAGACGCTTGCCATCGACCCAACAGCATTGGGATTAAGCCCTCTTAGTGCATCATACGGGTTTGTTGCACCGGGAATCAAAGAACCAGCTACACGTGGGTGATTCCAGAACTGTGGCTCTAAAATGCACCACCAAAGGCTCCGACCAATGAAGCAAACAAACGCACAATTGCTTCGCTTGAGAAACCCACCATGCACAGCCGGGTGAAAGCAAATGGCGCAATGTCTTAATCCCCCCCCCTCTATTTTGGTTTCATCATCCGCCTGACTTCCCGACAGAAATGGGGATGGCACCGTCCGCTTTCACCCTGGCGTGTTTGTATCCCCCCAGTGCCAGGACGCCCTGCTTGCTCCATCTGCTCCGCGCATCGCTCTGCTTGGCCCAGGTCGCCGCAGAGCGCTGCCGCCCGCATGGCGCTGTTCAGCAGCTCAGGGCCCGCCAAGTCCTCCTCCTGGGCTCGCGCCAGCCAGCGCTGGGCGGCCGGCAGGTCAAGAGACTCCTGAGCTGACTTTGACTCGTGTCAAGAGGTTGAAGTAGGTTTTTGAAAACTAGCCCCGGCTTTGTATATGGCTGCGGCTCACTACAAGGCCTCCCCTCACCCTTGTTTTACTCTCAGTTTGGGTGCATTGTGGCTGGCCAGGCCGCACACCTAGCACAATGAGCCCCAAGCCAGCCCAAACTGAGCATCAGCCCATTGCCAAGCCGAAATGAACCCTGAACAAACCCAAGACCCACCCCGATTCAGACCTCAGCAAGCCCAAACAAAACTCGCCCGAAACCAGCCCCGAGCAACTCCCAACTGCCACCAAATCAAAGCCTTTCGGCACTGCTGGTCTCCGCGAGGCCTCCGATGCTGGGGATGCGGCTCACCAAGCCCGACGACCGACCGACCCAACGAACCAAACAACCAGCCACTTGTTAACCCCAGCCGGGGTTAAAACAACAGCTGAGGTTCCGCTTCTCAACGGAGTTGTCCGCTGTCTGTTGCCTTGTCTGCTGGCTGTTGTCTGTTGTCCGCTGTCCGGTGTTTGTTTGTTGTGTGTGTGTGTGTGTTCTCTGCTGTCTGTTGCTTGGGGGATCCCTGTGATTCAACAAGCCCTCTTGTTGAAGATCGGGGCCAAGGTGCAGCAGCAGCTGTGACCAGCGCTGTGTACATGGCACTGCTGGGCGACAGGCCGCTGGCCTGTTCCACAGCAGTTCATGTCAGCAAATTCATCGTCATCATCATCATCACCATCATCACCACCGTCACGCTCATTATCGTCATCGTGTCACCCTCATCGTCATCATCACCATCACCATCATCACCACCATCATCATTACTATCACAATCCTCACCATCACCATCATCGTCAACACCATCACCACCACCATCAGCGTCATCATCCATCACCATCATGAGCATCGCCATCCATCATCGCATCATCATCATCATCATCATCATCATCATCATCATCATCATCATCATCATCATCATCATCATCATCATCATCATCATCATCATCATCACCATCAGACCACATCACCACCATCACGATCACCATCACCATCACCATCATCATCATCGTCATCATCATCATCATCATCAGCAGCAGCAGCAACATCAACATCATCATCACCACCTCGATCATCATCATCATCATCACCATCAAACAGCAACCAAGATAATCCATGTTGCTGCTCTGAACGTCAAAATCACCATCACCATCATAATCACCATCACCATGACCGCCATCACCATCACCATCATCGTCACCATCATCATCACCATCACCATCACCATGACCGGCATTACCATCACCATCACCAACATCATCATCATCATCATCATCATCATCATCATCATCATCGTCATCATCCTCATTATGACATGTCAGTTGCTGGCTGAGCACTCCTCACTTGGCAAGTCCCGCCTGCGCCTCCTGGAACCACCTCTCCGCAGCAGAGAGGTTCTTGGCGCGGGCGGCGGCAAAGATCATCGTGGAGAAGGTGACCTCGTTCCCTGGGCAACCACTTGGCTCCATGTACGTTTCGACCCTTGCTGTTTGTTTGCCAAAAGGGGACAGTTTGCCCAAAGGGGACATCTTATGCAGAGGGCTTCTAGGGTCGACCAAAGTAAGACCCTGCGTTTGGACCCAGTGCCTGACTACAGCAAACATGGACAAAACACAAGTCGGCAATATCAGCCTAAAAGGGCACCATACCATGCCCGAGCCAACTCAAAAAGCCATTCAAGCATTCTAGACCAATCGGCAGGCCACATTTACGGCTCTCGCATGCAACGTGAGAAAGGACCCAGACTGCTACTGACAACGCTCACCGAAGCACAAGGTGTCCTGGGCTTGATCACGTGTTCCTTCTCTCTTTTTTTTTTACTTGCTCTTCGCCAGCAATTACCCGCACGTCCGCACATGCCAGGGGCTATTCCGAGCAGTCGCGATTGAAAATCCTGCGACCTGCTTGGCTCAATAGTAAGTGCCGTCATCCTTGCCCTGTGCGTCCAACAAGCCTTTCCAGTAGTTTGCCTCGTAGGCCTTCTTGGCGTTGGTATCCTGGGGCCCAGGCGCTTGAAACAAAAGCAACTAAAAAAGATGTCGAGCTGCAGCATCGCAGGAAACACCAAAAGTGCAAACACAATGCTGGGTGCTGCCAAGACTAAATCAAGACCTACAGCTCAAAAAGCACAGCGCCACAAGCAAAGCGCCACATTCGAGCCGAATATCCACCAGCACCTCAACCTCGCCCGAGCCAAGGAAGCCTCCCTGTCGGCACTCAAAGACCAAAAGGTTCTTCTTCTCCACCTGAGCGAAAGAACGCCAATGGGACTCTGTGTTTCTGAGGGCCTCCCTTTCAAGGTTTAAAGGGAGACCCAAGCAAAACCACCATTCTTGGGGTGCTCCTAAGTTGACACATTCCGTTGACTGCGAAACTCAATTGTATGAGTTAGCTGGACACAGGCAAGGCTTCCTGAATCTTCTTGCCAATAGTTCTAACAGACTCGCAATTTGCACTTGTCAAATTATATTAACGCTTGTCAATGCTTGTCAGACTTGGGAAAAGGGGCGGCAAATTGCATCACCGCATCACCCAACTCCTTCGCTCAATCCCAACCATTCTCAAAACTTGCGGGGACCCCAATTTGGAGCGGTCCACAATCAGGCCGGTCAAGGGCCCGATCACGGGCGGGGACACGCACCAGTCGATCAGCTCGCCGTTGGAGACTTGGAAGGAAGAGCCGTGGAGAGGGCACACGATCACATCCCCGATGACATCCGCGCCCTCGCTCATGGGCGTGCCAATGTGGGGGCACAGGTTACCTGAGAGATGTGACAAAATGCAAGCTGCCCTAGCATTGAAGAGCAGTTGTCCACCAAACAGTGGAAATCAAAGCACAAAAGCCAAACGCCACGCCGGAACACGTTTTCCTCCAAATTAACCCAAAACATGCTGCTTGCAAAATAACCAATGAAGCCAACATCACCCGCTCCGGAGCCGCGGCCTCTTGCCGTCCAAGGCGCCCACGCAGAACAGAGCCCCGGCCTCGGTCTTGCCGATGAGCACGTCGTTGCCCGCCAGGGTCAAGGCGCGCAGCTCCGTGGGCTGAAGCTCGGAGGCCTTCACGCCTGGAGCTCGTGTGACAGCTGGCTTGCTGCGGCTTGCTGCCACAAGTCGGGAATGAGAAATGGAAGGAACCCAGGCTTGGATTCCCTGAAAGGAAACCACCAGTTGGATGGGTCGTTCCTTTTCTCATTGCCTGCTGAGCACCAGCAAGTTTGGCGGTTTAGATGGAAACCATTCAGTGCAGGGGGAGGCTCACTGGCCAGGTCAATGCTTAAGCGCCCCTGCACGTGAAGGCTGAAGCCAGCAACGGCCAAGTTTGTGGACAAAAACTGGGAACTGGGTGGCATGTGATATTTGTTTTGTAGTTCGCGTTTAATTAGTGGACACCATTTGCGGAAAGCCACCATTCTTGCAAACGCTGAGTTTGATGAAAGAATTGGCCACATGGAAATTCCAAACCCTTTTTGAGAGGAATGAATCTCCTTATGGGTGACCCCTTTTCGGCCCTACAGACATCCGCTAACCAATCAAGGCCTGTCTTGATCCAGGCCAGGGATGGCAGAATCGTCTGGGTGGTGTACTTCACCGCGGTCTTGGAGTCCTTCCCGAGCGCTGCCGCTTTCGGAGTTAGTTGTTTGCGTCTCTCTTGTAACGTGGCTTTTAACATAGCACGTCAAACACACGCACGCACGCGCGCACACACACAGAGTACGAGTGTACGTACGCGCCCGCCCACCCACCCACTCACCCTCGCACCCACTCCTGTACCAGCTCATGCTGAAGTTGGCCGGGCTACGTGCACGTACATTTCTTTTCGACCCAACCAACTCGGATTCTACGTGAGTTCAGTTTACCAATCATCACTCACCCAATCACTTACCAATGACCCACCATCTCAGATTCCCGTCAGCCTTCGCAGCAAACAATGAAAGGGCGTTCATAAAACCGCACTTCTGCCACTCGGCTACAACAAGTGGCGCCAGCTCAACAAAAACCGACCCACCCACTTCAAAATGCCCCTCTCGCCGCCCCCCAAAAAAATAAAAAACAAAAAAGAAGAAAAGGACGAGAAAAAGAAAAAACAACAAAAAACAAAAAAGAACCACCTCCACCCAGCGCTTCTGACAGGCCTGATTGGCGCTGCTTGCCGTTGCCCCGCAGAAGGCCGGGCCCTTCGTCTCCGCAGTTGGCCGCGGCAGCGCAGAGACTCCGGGCACGGAGCCGGGCAAGTAGTGGCCCACCACGCAGGACATGAAGGCCATCATGGCCAGGCGCCCATTCTTCAGCTCCTGAAGATCTGGTTGAGAAATACAGCGAAGCTTGGGATTTCCGCACATCTACAGAATGAGTTCTAAGGGTAAATTGCAACACTGCTCAACTCGCCGTCAGTGTGGCTTGGTGGGAAGCCAGCCGCCAAGTTGGCCAACCGTGGCCATGGGAGCGTGTATCTGAGAAAATATTCGATAATATACCCAGCTGAAGTTCAGTCCCCGGGCAAAACGGCATCACATCCCCACCCCGACGGGGTTGAGCACCGTTTGTTTGTTTCAGATCCAAGGTGAAATGGGAAGGGTTCCTTTATTGGGGGGGAGGGGGGGTAAGCACCCCTCCCCTTCTATATATGTTCTTAACTTCACCCACCAAACAAATCCTGGCAATCCTAGCGGCCACATGCAAAAGTGCGTCCCACTTGTCAAGTTGTGGCAACAATTAACTAACCAGCTGGGAAAACTGGTTTGTCTCCAAAGCCCAACAAGAGATCCCGTTAGGATCTGGGGTGATTCCAATGAAACCGACCGAATCCATCTTGAGCTCCTTGAGCTGCATGCTCTTCATCGACTCCGCGTCCTTGGCCAGCTTCAGGGGGTCGAAGCCCAGGTCACCTGAGGGCTCGAGTGCCAATCTACCTTGATTCCCTGGTTTCCCCTGAGGGGTTTTCAGAAAGGAGTGCAAGAAAAGAAAGGGCCCAGGTCCCCCATTGTTCTGGGTCGGAAACCGGGGGGACTTTGTCTGGAGCCACCTGGCTCGCGGTCCATCTGCCCCACCCAGGAGTCCTTGGGGAAGTAAGCCCCCTCGATGACCATGGCGAAAGCCTCGGCCAAAGAACTTCCGAGGCCCATCTTCTCTTCACAAGATGGGTAGCCTGAAATCCGCCCTGCAACCGCAGAGCAACCAATCTCCAGGTTGCGCTTGGTTCAAGAAGCTGACAGAAAGCGCCTTGACAGGTGGGAACCTGACTGAAGGCCCCAGCGTTCAGAGGGCGCTCAGCTAGCGGACCTGGTGGTCAAGAACTGCTTGGACAAGTACGGGGGCTTGCGCCCAAAGGAAAACCAAATGCTCGGGTGGCTCAATTCAATCCCCTGAGTTTGCTTCGAGCAGGTTCTCTCAAGGATTGAAGGATCGTGGATCCTTCCCCCGCCCAAAACAGCAGGAGGCGGCCGGCACATTCAAAGGCACAAAGCATCTGCGGGTTGTCAATAGGACAGGGCCTGTCACACGGCCTTGAAAAAAGGCGATTTTGAGGTAATGGGACTGCTGAGGGTATTTTCTGCCGACGCCCCCGCGTCTGAGTAGCGGAGATCTGGGCAATGCCAAAGCCAACAATGCCCGCGGGGTTGTCATAGCAAGTCTTCAGCGCCTCACAGGGTGCAACGGGACCAAAAGGGTGTTTGTCACGGTTACGACGAGACACTTGGCAGCAATCCTGTGGAGGCATAAAGGGGGCCGTTGTAACATATGAATGCAACGTTGAACTGGGACTTAGCTCTTCCGCAGCTCGAGCTTGAGTCACAACCTTGCAGTGACAATGTAGCGCGCAATGTGCACCAACAATGAAAGGTCCCCCTAACACAATTTTTGTTTCCCGGATTTTCAATCAAATCCAATACTTGATTCAGAATGCGCCAAGTAATCCCCGCAGGTACTACGGAGGTTATCAGCCACGTGGCCAGCTTGTTTGAGTGAGAACGCCCAACTACAAGGGCCTAAGTTGCTTGAAAGAGTGATTTTTTGTGGGGAGGGATGGGGGGGGAGGGGTTGAAAGAAAAAGGAAACACAACGACCTGCCAGGCCAGCATCTCAGGCCTCGTACCAGGGGGCCTCTGGGTAGCCATCGATGTGGAAGGACTGCTGAGCGAAGATGCCCACAATGGCCAGCATTGCGCAGCGGCCATGCTTCAGCTCGGACTCCCGGAGCCACTGGACGTGGGGATATGTCATGTTGCCGTTGAAGTCGAAGTTCCTGGCCAAAACAACTGATCCGAGTGGGGTGTGCTTGTGTGTGTGTGTGTGTTGTGGCGGTTGTGTTTATGCTTTGTCGTTCACGTTGGCCAGGTTCAAGATGTTCTGTTCTAAGTGTAGTGGTGTCAAACAACTTCGGGTTTTATGCAGCGTTAGAGCCTTTGGAGCCGCATAGTATACCTTGTTAATCCTGTTTTTGGTCAGATGCCCAACTCTTCACCGTTCCATTGGAAATCTGAAGTGACCCCTGATGGCAAAACAAATCAGCGAAGGACATAGAAGGACCCTAAACGCGGAGTGCCCCAAAGAAGGCGATGCCCCTGAAGGTTCATCTTACCCTCCTCGGCTATGACAGGTCTGACAACGATCCCAATCCACCGGAATGACGCTCTTTCTAAGGCAAAAATGGATGAGGCACTTGAAACCGTGACAGGGCGGGATGCTGAAACTCATGCTGGGAACTTGTTTTGGGTCAATCAGCTAAGAAGCAGCTGAATTGTGAACAGTGCACTCCACTGAACACATTGACAAGTGGGCAGTATGGGCAATAGGCCCAGTTGAGCTCAATCGTTGGACTTGTAAAGGCAGGCAATTCCCCAACCCCATGCACATGCCCTTTGAGGAAATCAAGTACCATTGGAGGATTCAGCTGCCAAACGTTTTGAAGCACCTGAGGTGGGCAGGTTTGCCTCTGGCTGTTTGGCAAACCGACCGCTGTCTACATGCAGCCTGAGTGGAGCACAGCAAGCAAGCCACGTACGCACATTCTCACGCAACGGTGCAGCTTGCTGATCAGCCTTTACTGGAAGAGTCAATGCACCCCCGCATGCCCCTCAAGCTGCTTGACCATGCAAAGTCCACCAATCATTAAGGCCTCTACACGATTCAGCCGCCCGATATGTTTAGCAAAGGAAAACTATCACACAGCGAATGGCTGAAACCTGACACCACCCACCCTCCTCAGCATCCCTCATATTCCTTGAACCTCTACAAGTAGCTTCGATATCCCTCCCTATCCCCCCCCTCTTAAAAAAAAATACCCCACCCTTCCCCACCCCCTCCCCTAAAAAAACATCCATCCCCCCCCCCACCCCCCCCCCCCCACCCCCAAAAAAACAACTTACATCACCCTAACATCCCCAACCACCCCCCGTCACCGGCACGGCTACAGGTCACATCAGGTCACCGCTCCTGTCATAGAGCTTGCTCAAGCCCAGCGGGTCCCAGGGCTTTCCCACCTCGCAGGCCGTCTCCACGTCGGGGCCCACCATGGTGAGACAGGCCTCACCCACGGGGCGCCCCAATGAAGGTTTTGGCAAAGCTATGGCACTCATCCCTTTACATCATCCTACATCAAAGCTGTTGGAACAAATTGGATGGCAAGAACAAGCCAGAAGCTGCAAATGAGATCTGGGAAAGCATCTTCTGCTGAGACCTCGTGTGAACTACGCGCAAACTGGAAAGTGTTGTGCATCTCTCTGATTATGCAGTCATTTGCCTGAGGTTTCGAGCCTTAAGCCATCATACCCTCGCAAACTCAAAATCCAGGGCCTTCAAGTTCCAGTGTAAAGTTCCAACACCAACACTAAACATACAAACGCAAAGGGCGGTACAAACAGCTAGGTTGAAGCCCAAACACACAACTTCAAGCATAATGACTTGTTCTACAAACATGAATAATGTTGACCAAGGGCCGCTTTATATTGCAAGGTGGCGTGATTGTGGGATCAAATAATGCTGGCCAGCTTCAAGAAGCACTGCAAAAGCAACAAACTGGCTCCTGAATGATGCGGTATACCCACCAAACAGCCGCCTTTTTGAAACTACTATGAACTCAAACATAGCCCACATCGAGCATGTCTTGAGAAGTCGGGACTTACTCCGGGGATGACAGGGGTGCTTCTTAATCATGCTGAAACACCACTCAATGGACTGATGACAGGGGTGGGTGCTTCGGAAGAAGCCCTGGTATCGGGCCACGCGAGGGGCTGGCTAAGCTGAGGTGAAAACAACGGTTGCAACTAAGCCAGTTAACGGCCTTACAGCGATTTGACGTGAGCACCACTCAAGGCAGGAGATCCTGCAAACTACTCCGACAGTAAACTAGGGATGCAAGTTGCGTGCAGTGACAGGCAAATGAAACACCCACGATCATACACACACACATACTGTGTGTGTGAGTGAGTGAGTGTGTGTGTGTGTTTGTGTGTTTGTGTGTGTGTGTGTTTGTGTGTTTGTGTGTTTGTGTGCTTGTGTGCTTGTGTGCTTGTGTGCTTGTGTGCTTGTGTGCTTGTGTGCTTGTGTGCTTGTGTGCTTGTGTGCTTGTGTGCTTGTGTGCTTGTGTGCTGGTGTGCTGGTGTGCTGGTGTGCTTGTGTGCTTGTGTGCTTGTGTGCTTGTGTGCTTGTGTGCTTGTGTGCTTGTGTGCTTGTGTGCTTGTGTGCTTGTGTGCTTGTGTGCTTGTGTGCTTGTGTGCTTGTGTGCTTGTGTGCTTGTGTGCTTGTGTGCTTGTGTGCTTGTGTGCTTGTGTGCTTGTGTGCTGTGTGCTTGTGTGCTTGCTTGTGTGCTTGTGCTTGCGTGCTTGCGTGCTTGCGTGTGCTTGCGTGCTTGCGTGCTTGCGTGCTTGCGTGCTTGCGTGCTTGCGTGTTGCTTGCGTGCTTGCGTGCTTGCGTGCTTGCGTGCTTGCGTGCTTGCGTGCTTGCGTGCTTGCGTGCTTGCGTGCTTGCGTGCTTGCGTGCTTGCGTGCTTGCGTGCTTGCGTGCTTGCGTGCTTGCGTGCTTGCGTGCTTGCGTGCTGCGTGCTTGCTTGTGCTTGCGTGTGCTTGTGCTTGCTTGTGTGCTTGTGTGCTTGTGTGTGTGTGTGTGTGTGTGTGTGTGTGTGTGTGTGTGTGTGTGTGTGTGTGTTTGTGTCTTTGTGTCTTTGTGTCTTTGTGTCTGTGTGTGCTTGTGTGCTTGTGTGATCTTGTGTGCTTGTGTGCTTGTGTGCTTGCGTGCTTGCGTGCTTGCGTGTTTGTGTGTTTGTGTAATTGTGTGTTTGTGTAATTGTGTGTTTGTGTGTTTGTGTGTTTGTGTTTTGTGTTTTGTGTGTTTGTGTGTGTGTGTGTGTTTGTGTGTTTGTGCGTTTGTGTGTGCACGCACGCACGCATGCACGCACTCACGCACACCGCGCTCGCGCGCACACCCTGGCGCGCGCGCAAGCGCAAGCGCAAGTGAGCGAGCGAGCAAGCAAGCATGGGCAAAGAAAAAAACACACAAGGGAAGACGCAAACGCGCACACACACACAAACACTTAAAGACACACACACACACACAGAATGACACACATGCACACACACACACACACACACACACACACACACACACACACACGCAGAGGCACACACACAAACAAACACGGCAAAACACACACAGACACATCAACACAGACACGCAAACACAAAAACGCGCCTTGTAGCTGCCTGGCAGCGGCACGGGCCAGTCACCCACCAATTGCGGAAGCTTTGGCACGCCCGAGGGGCCCGGGGCGTAGACTGGGTACTTCGCAGTGTCCTGGGATCAGACACGCAGGGCTTTCTGCGAAGCGATAGCTCTGGGTGAAGTAAAGGGGAATCCCTTAGCGCCTTAGAGGTTGGCGTGTCATCATGAGGCGTTGCCAGAGATATATTCAGGGGTTGGCAGCAAACTGGGATTCTCCTGGAAACATGGGATGCCAAAAGTCAGCCCCGAGTCAGCCCCGAGCTCCGGGCCAGTTCCCTCCTGAACGAGGGCATGTCACAGGAAGGACTTGTCGGGAAAAAAGCAGACGGCCAAAACCGATTTTGCTGGGATTGGTTTGCATTCATGTCTAATGGGTCCGAGCTTGCTTCGGTGCTTTGCCAAACTTGGCGCAACTGAATCGCAAATGCAGCACCTTCCCTGTTTGGAGCTCTGCGGCTCCTGAGCACCCCTCTCACGCAATACACACACAGACTCATATACTTGGTTTATTCATGCGAGCTTCTCTAGGTGCCTAAGCTGTATCAATGCGGATTTGGCCAACTTTGCCTTGGAGGAGCGCTGGCAACTCTAAGGGCTTGGCGTGGATAATGCAGTTTGCTTTGGCTGCTTGGGCTGCTTGGGGTGAATTAGGGTGCGTGCATGATTGGCCTAGGGTTGATGTTTTGCAGCATGAGGATGGTTTGGAGCAGTCCTTCACCTGCAGCTCCGAATCTGAGCTTGGCGCACCTGTGGGGCAATAATCAACTCTAGTACTTTCTGTTCGCGACAAGCAGCAAGGATGACATTGAGGGAGCCATGTGTGCATGGCAGGGTTATGTTGTTTTTTAGGGACGCTGTTAGTTGGTGGTTTGATGGGTTGGTCGGCGGGGGCGGGGGTGCAAAGTTCCGAGTGGTTGCACTACGGAAGGTTCTGGGTTGCGTCACGGCTTCCTGAGGGCAAATCTTGGCGTTGGCTTGGGGGTCAGGCCAGTTCACCCAGTCCTCTGCAGTCCTTTGGCCACGGCAACTATTGTGTTGGGCTCTGTGTCGTCAAATCAACCACGATATCCCAAAGCCCAACCCCTTTTGCTGCCCGGCATCCACAGGCTGCATGTGCTTGGGCAGCTTGGCCATCTCCTGGGCCTTCCGAGCCGTTTTTCGGCTCGCCCCCGCCGCCGCTAGGGCCATGACCCCGAGGCCCAGCCCTGCAGCGCGGCCGAAGTCGCTGGGGGCAGACGCCGAGGCCGCCGCAGCGCGGAGCGCAGGGGTGCTGGCGCCGGCGGCGCCGGTGGCGGGGGCAACGAACGCCAACTCCATGGCACAAGGGGAACCGCGCGGGGCGAGAGGGCGAGCTACAAAAAAGACCTGCAGAAAATGCCGGCGTGGTTGGTTTAGACATTCTCAACAAGCACGGCGCTCGTTGTGTGCCCAACATGCAAGCCGCGCCCCATCAACCAGCCATTGCCGGCAAATGAGCCAACAATAACGTTCCATCATCTCCACCAGGTGCGAAAACATGCTGCCCCATTGTTCAATGCACCCCGACTCAAAAAGGAAGCCTCAACAGCAACCTCCAAAAAACACAATATCCAAAACCTTGTTACCTGCACGACAAATGGAAACATGTTTCTCCCCAAAAAGGACACACCCGTTTGCCCAGGGCATGCCAGGGCACTAGGGTTGAAGCCTGCAGCCTCCGCCTCTCGGAACCAGAACTCCGCAGCTGTGAGGTTTCCGCACCGGGAGGCGGCGTCCATCACCGTGTGGTAGGCAACCTCCGCCTCTGTTCAGCCCATGAAATGGGTCTCCCCAGCATCTTTTAAACATATCTTGACTGCTTAAATTATGTTTTGTTGTTGTTGTTTTTTGGGGGGAGTTCTTCCCTTGGGAAGGGTCGATTTGCGGAAAGCCCGCCCCAATCAACACGCTACTGATAGGGCCAAGCCGCAGGCCGGCAGTTCATAAAAGGTGAGGTGAAAATTTGCGGTCGTTTTCTGGGGACGGGGCTACTTGGCACTTTGCTCATTGTGAGTCTGCAATTAAGCCAACAAGCACCAAAACATAAGATTTGAAGATCTTTTGACCAAAATGCAAGCTGGACTGGGCCAGGCGGCTGCGCCTCTCATCCTGCAGTCCACACGGTTCAGCCCAAGCAATCCAACGCGGGATCTATCCAAAAGCACGTTGCTGATCTCAATTGAATCTGAGTGCCTCAAGCCAGCCACCAAGCGAGAGGGTATTGCCAAAAAAACGACACGAGCCAAGCAGCTTTCCCAAGACTGTGGCAAACGGCTGGGTTTTGCTGAGGGACCTCACGGAGCCTTTGCCCTTCAGGTGTTGGACTCTTTGGCAAGATCTAGTATCAACAAAGGATCACATGCTTCCTTACATGAAAAACCCTGCATTATAGAACAAATGACGGAAAGGGCTCACTGCACCTCGGTAGAAATGGGCTTGCTTCCAAACTGGGGACCTCAACACGGGTTCCGATGTCCCCAAAAAACAGGGTTGTGCGGCATTTGTGCACAGCTGTCGGAATACCACCTTTCAGTGAGATTGGGGTCCTGTGCACGTCCATGTGAGAGGGTGGCACCTCCAAATACGTTTGCATCCCAGCAAATCCCCCAACATTATTCGATTCCTTGTGGCTTCCCTCTTAAACAGCTCCAAGAAGGGATACCCTCCAAAAGCCCGCGTTACCCACATGGAAACACCAAAAACGCCCCGCGCGCCAGCGCGCCACCGTCCCCCCGTCCAGGCCCCCGCCTTTTCGGGGAGCTCCGCCATGAGGCGCTCGGCACCCTCGAGGTCCCCAGCTTTGGCGAAGTTGTTCAGCAGCGCCAAGCGGTGGCCGAAGCTCAGCTCCAGGCCTGCCAGAAGCCACGTCTCGGTTGCTTAACTCATTGTTGTTAATGTGTTTTTGTTGTTTCATTACTATTACTATTACTATTACTATTATTGTTACTATTATTTTGTTATTGTTATTGTTATTATTATTACCATTATTATTATTATCAGTATTTTTATTCTTATCATTAATCGCTTTTAAGTGCTGATGGCTGTGTCTTGTATGTTTTTGTTGGTTCAATCTGGCGTCACTCAATTGCCGACTTAGTTGAGCCTCCAAAAGTGAGGACCTTTGGGGGCTGAAGCTTTGGGGGAAGGTGGCGGCGAAAGTTGGGTCGAGTAGGCCACACTTGGAAGGCATGCGTGGAGGGACGTGTTGCGGTGGCTGTAATTTCGCCTCCGGGGCATGCGGCGTGTCTAGCCAGCTGCTTCAATCATGGCTTCACTGAGACATGACAATGGGGCGCCTTGAAGGCTGTGCAGGGGCCCTTTGAATCCAACAATGCCAAGCCACTGCGATGAATCCATTGCCAGAACCAACCAGCAGAAGAGAGAAAGGCGCACCGCAGCACAAAGCCAAAACAAAAGGGTGTCTTTATTTTACTGGCTGGCGGCTGTTGACCTTTGGACGCAGGTCCACGGTGAAACGAAAAAAGGCCACCGTCTTTGGTCACGTCAACTTCTTGTCTCTTTCTTGTTGGCATTGGCAAGCCCATCGCTCTCAGAAACACGCCCAGTTTGCTCGTACTGGTTGAGGCCATCGCCACTCTTAGAGTCTTGCAGTTGGAGACCAAGTTCCGTCCCAAAAAGACTTGATCTGATTGATCATCCTTGGCTTCCTAGAGGAGGGTGGGGCAAATCAGATGAGGACAGTGACAGTAGCTCGGGTTGAGCAAAATGTATGCCTCCAGTGGAACGCTTTGCGAGCTTTGAGCGCCGAGGTATCACGTCCTGGAGATGGAAGTTTGGTAAAGCCTGCTCAAACAACCCAACCAGATTTTGTTCTTCTTGCAAAACAGTGCACTACTGGATGTTTAGTCCTGCCTGCTGGCTCTTCGGATATTTCGCTTGTCCCCCCTCTCCACGTTCAGAACCTTGCCTAGGCTCTGCCAGCGGTCGCACCACTGCTGGGCCAATCGGAGGTCGCCCTGGCGCGCCGTGGCCTCCAAAATGGCCAGCAACGTCACCGGCGAGGCTTCGCCCTGGTCCAACAACTCCTGCGCAACCCGCGCCCCCTCTCAACCCCAAAGGCGCTCTTCGGTGCGACATGGGAACCAGGGCAAAGGTTTGTAGAGTTGGTGGTTGCCGCCAACAAAACCCAGCTGCCACCCAGAAGTTCCCATCTCAACCCAGATGCACACGCCGGACGGTTAGTCAGTTGGTTCTCACGGTGCTTCTTAACATACGCTTGTCCGTACCAGCCACCTGGACCTGCCAACTTTGTAGCTTGACTATCCACAACTGGCACGCGTGCAATCGAACCGCTTCAATCGCCAGCGCCACTTGCGCCACTTGTCGGGAATACAAACATGGCAACAAGGACAAGCACTCAGCTTGACAGAAAACCAAACCTGCGACACTCCCAGGTACTCCGTGAGCTTACTTGGCGGGTGAATAAATGCAACGACGAGGAACCCTCGAAGCGGCCACTAGGCCCAACCCCTCGCGTCCTGAAACCACTTTTCCACTGCCGTCATGTCCTGCGCCTGGTGCAAAGAAAAACACAAATCAAGCGCATATGAATGTAAAGCTCCCCGTGAACGAGGCTACGGCTTGCTGTTTGCAGCTTGCCTTTGAAGCCCGACCCATTGCCAGCCAGCTGGCAGGAGCGCCATCACCCCCACGCCTTTGCAGCAGCGCTGATCAGCTGGTTGTAGTCTTGGGTGGAGACCTCCTCGATGCCGAAGTGGCGACGACGCCTGCAGGCGCGAGGCAGGAGAGGGTTCGGTGTTGTGCATCTAAGGTGCAGTCGACCCAACGAGCAGTGGTGACCACACCCCAAAGCTTAAAGCAGCAAAGCTACCTACGCAAACCGCCGAAAATATTTCAGTGCTTCAATGTTGGTTGAGTACTGATTCGGCACCCAGGCTTTGGAGAGATTTCATGGTTTGGGATCGGTATGGCTCGCAAAAGCAAGAATAAGAGGCAAGAACATTGAGGGCTGCTGATCCAGGATCAGCCCTCAATGACTCAGGGTGAACACTTCCTGGCACATGCCGCAGCAAATTGGGCTACGAGTTGCCAGCCTACAACTGGGAACCCTGACAAAAGGGCTACCTTGTGACCACCTTTTTGGGCAAAAAAGGGTGTCCCTTAATAGCAGTATTTACACTTAAATGCAACAGCAGGCTAACCCTGCCCAGAATTGAATAGCCCAGTTGAACCTCAGTTTGGGTAACACTTGATGCCTCACTTAGAAATTGCCGTCAAAATGCACAGATTCAGTCACTGCAAGCCTACTCGTCCGCAAACTAACAACACCAGAGGGAAAACAGAACACACAGCGCAAAAGAGGCTTCCTTCATGTTTGCAAGCATCTGTCCTCAAGGCCATCTTGAACACTTTACTTTTTGGGGCCATGCCTTCAAAGTAGACAAAGAGCAGCAAATCAAAGGTTCAAACCGTTGCCTTCCTATAAAAAGAGCCTCCTTGCGGGAGGCATGATCCTCTGTCACAAATAGCCGAAACATCTTAGTTGCATCTTGGTTCGCGCCGCAGATCTTGTTGACATACACATGCGACAGTCAGCACCATGGTTGCGGGAAAGGATGGCATGAATGGTGCATAACTGGGAGGATGCTCACCAAGAGAGCTCCCATCATTCCCGATATCAATGATTCCAGGCTATCCCGTAAAAGGACAACATATACATTGCATGCGCCAAAATATAACAATAATATCAGCAAACGATTCTGAATAAACAAAACAACCCTTGGTCCATTTCTGGCACCCGCAAGAATCTCCCCTATAAAAACAACACGGCTTTTGCTAGCCGGAAAAAGCTTGCAAACAACAAAACAAGGTAGCCGGAAAGGAAGCATGAATGAGTATTGTTTAGGTTGCAAAGCAAGGTTTGACAAGCTCACAAGGGGTACCCCCTTCAAGCCCAATGTCCCTCATAATAGTTAGACACCCTCCAAAATCCTGTTCTTCTGGACCTTGTCAACCTTGCCTTGAGGGGGAAGGGGGCGGAGGTGGTTCATCAATCCCGGGTAAACATTGCCGGCGGTGTGATGTGCGAAGTGCACATCGCTGTTGCAACCATCGGAGGTAATTAGATGGCGTTGCTAATAAGGACGAAGGCAACCACCACACAAAACAATGAGGATGACGAAAACACAGTGAAGTTTCATGCAAGATGGTAGGAGGTTGAAAGATGGGTTTCTTGTCTTGTTGCCGCTCTGTAAGGCCCTGCCTGAACCAGTACTCCGCACCGCTGATGTTGCCCACTTTTGCCGTGGCTTCCATCATCTTGCCTTGGGTCCGCAGCTGCAGGCACAAAACTAGAACAACCTGTGGGAGAGTGCTCACTCTTTCCAGGCATCATTCTTTGCCAAAACGGGATCGCCCACCCAAGCGCGTAAGCGTGGAATCTTCGCAGCCCTTTCCCTTCCAACAAAATACTTGTGAAAATGACTCCGCATAGCACCATCCAACGAGTCGTATTGACTTGGGTGGCTGCTGCACTGACTCCCTTCACGTGTCCAAGCTCAAAGCTAAGCCTGGGGTGTTCCAAAGTGTGTCCATGTCTGCAGTGTGTTTTGCAAGGAGAAACAAAGCAAAGAAAGCTGAGTGGTTTCAAGTGGGGCCATAAAATGGATAACGCCGTTGCCATCTTCAATAGTGTAACATCATTTTTGAGGCACACAAATATCAAAAGGGTCACTCGACTTGCGCCGGGCAAAACAAAATGAGGTGGCAACTTGCGAGAGTACGCAGGCCCATCCCTTAACCAAATCGGATCGAGGTGCCGAGGCCCTTCAGATTAGGCTGGACCCGCGCCTCCAGCATTTTGTTGAGGAGGCTCTCTGCCTGGGACGAGAGGAGATGCAAATAGCACGCGGACGAGAGAAAGCACAAATTTACATGTACATATTGCATATATAAGTACACATATATATATATATATATATATGTGTGTGTGTATATGTATAAATATGTGTAATAGTTATGTATATATATATATATACGGGTGAATTGGAGTATTTCACCAGCCTGAAATAGTTGGAGGGATGTTGTGAGGTCGTTTTAATTCACCCAGATATATGTAAAAATGCTCAGGCCGCACAGGAACACACCTCAAACAATCACACTGAAGCTTGGCTACGTAGCTTGAGTTCTTGAACAAGAACCAAGCTCGTCTCTGCCTGGCTGCCGTTTGACTGAGGCGTTTGTTGTTCGCGAAAGACACGCAAAAGCACAATGATGATGGCCATAAAATGGCGGCCTGCTCAACATTGGTGCTTAGGCTCACTTCGGCGAAGTATTCAGTGCAGCTAAATTGCAGCACGTTTTCTGTACAGGCGTATCGAGCCGAACACTGCCCATGTCCACACAAAGTAGGGCAGGATGGAACATGGGGGCGCATGGTCAGTTTCAGAAGATGTGTGCTTTCAGAAATCAACAAAACAATAGGGAATATACCCGTGAAGATCTACATTCATGGAGCTCCAAACACGCACTCGCAAACACACGCAAACATAAACACAGAAAGAGAGGAAACAAATAAAATACAAAGAGAGAGAGAGAGAGAGAGACACACAAACACAAACAAACACACCACACACATACAAACACACCATGCTGTGCCCTGTGCTATTCTGCAGGAAGAGACCGCACCTGCCATCTGAACTACATCTGAACTACAAGTCTGCCCGTAACCATAGGCTAGCATACTAAACTGCAAGTACAAACTGAACTGGCTGTTTTGCTCAAGAAGTGTACTTCATCCTGGACTAATACGTGCCAACCTCTTGCTACAAACAAAAAATAGGGTAGGTCAATGATCGAGCCCACAATGATGGCCTTGAAAACTCAATCATGGCGGCCTACCGATGTGTCCTGAGAAAACTGTGACAACCAGCCAACCTACCCTGACTTGCTCTGCAGAATGGTAGCTCGGCTGAACTGGTGACTAGGCGAACTGGACGCCTTCTTAAACAAAAAAGAGAGAAAGAGTTAGAGTTCTGCATCTTTCAAACCACCGCGAAAAACCGAGCCCTGAAACAAGCGCACCCATTTAAAGAATCATAGCGAGCCAAACGTTTGGGTGCCATTTGCCAATTGGCGGGCCCCAGCGTCGCTCTCCGAAAACGCCATCCGAGGCGGCATGGCATTTCCAGCCGACATGAGACTTGCATCGGCGCCTGCGGGATGTCGCCGGCATTGGCGCATGCTTTGATTGCGGTATTGTAGAGGTATCGCTTGTGCTGCCTCAGTGGCAAAAAGAAGGCTGGAGTCGCTCCTTGGCTCCAAACATCTTGCTGACTGCCAAATGCCAGTTCTGGAACTAGGGCGGCCTTTCGTCAGCGAAGTGAGCACGCTAAATATTTGGGCAAAACAATGCAAACAGTTGCTACCAAACGCCAACACGTTGTGAACGGCGGTAAATGCTAAAGGCGGTGGGGTTTGGGAGTGCTTGGAAGTGGCTCCAGTTCACGAGAACCATGAATTTAACTGGCCAAACCTCTGTGCTTCTGACGCAAGGCGTGGCATCAGCAATGTCGAGACCTACCGCATTCAGAGCCGGGCGTGTATCAACTTCAAAGGACTTTTTGTTCCATGACCCACAGGGTATGCGGCGTATGCATGTTGAGGGCTCCTTTTCAACTGGAGTTGCGCACGCCGGGGTCCCCGCAAGCTCTCTTCACCAGTCAGCAGCTTCTGCAGGGCTGACAGCGCTGCCTCGACGTCGCCCTTCTCCTGGGCCAGCAGAGGCCCCCCTCACCCCGGGTTCTGATCGAAGGGTTCCCTTCGAACCTTTTTTGGGGCACTCATGTCTCCCACTTGGTGTCTGAAGTGTGCTGAATGCAAACCAAAAAAACTGTTCGCTGGCCTTTTGGCTCGGATAGGGCTCATACCAAGTCAACCAAGCTCAATTGGGGCCAGCCATTGCTTAGGACTGGGCTCATAAGCATTTTGTCTACGACAACAATGTGCCTCGGTTGACTCGAGCACTGCAATTACAGCGAGATCACCCCGCTGGGAATTCTAAAGGGGGTGTTCTTCAACGACAAAAGGCAAAAGCATGTCAACCTGTGCGAAACTTCGCCGCAAAAGCAAGTTGTGCCTGAAACACGTTGAACGCATCCACAAACACTGCCGCAAAGGCAAGCGCCAAGGTTTGCTAAGCAGGCTCCATGGGAGGGGTTTTGATCGAATATTCAGGAGGTAAAACAGTCTAAAAACGTTTCCCAAGATCACACTGCAAAACGCAGCCAACACAACTGGACCCAGTTTGTGAGTGTTTCTGCGTGCCTGGGAACATCAAAGAAGCCTTTGGATGCAGCCCAGCTTCGGCAAAGTCATTCAGTGTCTTGTCCGTCACGCGCTCAGGAAGCGGGCCCAGGTGTCCTGAAGAGAAGCGTATCGATGGTAGGTGGCTCATACCGCAGCTGGCAGGCACACCAACATCCTCAAATCTTGTGGTCGCTTTCCCCTCAACCCGGGTAGCCTCCACTAGGCTTTTGAGGGGATGGAAGGAACGGAAAACAATAAAATTTCATAAATAAATAAAAACACTCCCCTACCACTGCCAGGAAAAAGCGCTCTAGGCTTCAGACACATCTACTGACCCACTTCCATACCCCCTTCTTCCATCACTATCCTAGTCACTGCAAAATGTGATGGGTGCCTTGATCAAGTTTCAAGGCGCGGATTCGGCGATCTGCCACCGAAAATGCGACATGGGCTGACAGACCCCTGTGGTTCAGTTAGGGCATCAAAAACCGATGCTGAAACATACTCCCCACTTGTTGTAGGTGACATACCTCACAAAACCTCACGACTAGCGAGAGGTGAGAAGCCCATCCGGACTCGGCATGTGAAGCGCTTGCTGTTTTCTTGTCAGTTCGGACCGCGCAGGTTTACAGGATCTTGCCGCCGTGTGCAGAACATATTGGGTTATAAATGCCACCCAACGGTTGAACATTTTGAGGCGGCATCTTTGTTAAGGCTACCACATGTATCCAACCAGGCCTTCCATGCAATAAACAAATACATGCATGCATATGTACATACATACACTGTCATGCCATTTACTTATTGTCTATGTGTTTGTTCATTTTCTATCAGCTCATGTCTACATGAATTTACAATTCCTTTAGTTACAGTTGTTTACCTAAACGGGGATGATCAGAGTTCATGTGGAAAATGTTGACCCCATATTAATCAACCCTGGTTTATTAATAGGGGAGTGTTCCCCTCCAAAAAAGTGATGATTCCCCACTAAATCCAGGGACCCCTATAAATGAACTGGGGTTGATCAATATGGGACGCATGTTCCTTGGAAACACCCAGGTGTGTCCCTTCAGGGTTGTTAACTCAGCCGTGGGCAAGCACTTCCCGTGCGGCTTGGAGTCGGGGCGCGCTGAAGGTTCGACTGCCCACCCAGAGCAAAGCCAGAAGCAGCCAGGGGCGCCGCATGTCGTAGGGCCCGGCATCAGGGCTTTGCAGCGGCTACATGGCTGTGGGTCAAAACCAATGGTACCATTTTGGGGTAGGTGCACCACCTTTTTAGTCTATTTAGTGGGGATTGGGGATACCGGATTTTGACACATGGCCACATATGGACCATAGAAATGCTTCCTACAAGAGGGAACCCACCCCTTTGTTTGCGGCAGTTCCCTATCTCAGGGCACCCAGCAAGCAACATGTGTGTTGCATTTGCCTCGGTGGACACTTGGCTTTCTTTGTCGGCATCACTTCATTTGGGGCTAAACCAAAGGTATTCAAACTCACTAACTATATCCGACGGGCCACCATTAGCTTCTCAAGGCGGGTCATGAGGACAAGAAAGCGACAGCTGCCCTTGTTCAGCGAAAAAGATACGCATGATGCTGGCCTTGCTGGTGGTTGATGGCAGAAACCTTAAGGGATCCTGGGGCTTGGTATGCAGCAGAACCCGGAAATCCCTTGACCACACACCGAGTTGCTTTAGGAATGTTAAAAATACCCAAATCGGGGCCAAATTCCATTAGGACCCCCAGGGAAAGCTAAGTCCTTCCAGCCGAGCCAATGGCTTTCCAAAAGGCCGGGCCGATGCCCCACTGCTTGTCAGCAGCTCTCCTGAAGTGACCCGTTGCTGGGATGCCAGTGGGACTGAGAAGAACTTCCCCATGCTTTGCTTATCACGTGGGGTTAGCTGCTTGGCGCACTGCAAAATGCCTGCAACCGGCTGCAAGGCACAAACTATGCCAAGCCAGTGAAGCTTGGGAGGTGCATCGTCTGACTCAGGGAACCGAGGGGGAATCAGCAGCAGGACGGGAGCTCCCAGATGCGATTCCTCTGATCAGCCCAACAGCTGCGCACAACTCACCATTTCTTCGCCACGCTATCCACAGTCAAAGCCATCGTTGCTGCCGAGGGCACCTTGCTGGTACTTTGCCTCTGGAGCCCGCTGGCTTTGCAACCGCACCGCGTTCGCTCTCTGCCAGGAAAATCGCGAGCAGAACGATAAACCTTCAGTTGCCCGGTGACCCTGGAAGAAAGGACACCTTTTTGGGGGAACCAAGCAAGCAATGCAAGCAACACAGCGAAAAAGGTACCACTGAGCAACTGGGATCCCTGAAGCTTCGAGGCATCCAGCGAGCATCTCAAACAAACGCGCGGCATGGCGTCGAGCCACCACCAGACGCACAGCCGCATCTAGCCTGCCACGAGTAGCCGCCAAAAGGAGATGCTGGTGTTCGGCCAAGACAGCACAGCAGCAGACCTTGCCCAAATGCTAAAGAATGTTACTCACTAATGCCATCCCTGCACATGCTGGAAACTTCTGAAGTTGAAGTGATACTCCGAAAGGAAGAAGATAATCTATCAAATCACATGTCCGTCCAGCACGCCGAGATGTACGTTTGTTGCCTCCATGCCTCAAAAAACCATGGCGCACACACACACACACACACACAAAGCAACACTGCAATCCAGCGGCGCGCCGCTTTGCAGTTAATACAGGCCAGCCGGTTGAGGCACGGACTTGGTTGTGCAAGCCATGTTTGCTGAACAATGCCGTCAAAACGGGCGTCGAGATCGAATGACTTCCCGGTCCTCCTGCCTAACCGAGCCAGCTCCTCCGGGTGCAAGAACATGTGGCCGAGGCCCAGTAGGACCACCTCCCAGCGGATCGCCGGCAACGTGCGGCTGGCTGAAAACTGACGGGCGGACCAAAACTGGAGGCAAAGACTTCCTTCACCTTGAAGCGAAACAGTGAAAGGCACCTTTCCAAACATGTGGCTGAATACACACGGACTAACACGATGCGAATCCCCTGGTGAACAGTCACCCGTACTGAGGAAAGCCCCTGGAGAGCCAACTTCCTCTGAAAAGACCTGCCAGGAGTTGGTTGCGGTGAATTAGTACTCTGCTAAGTTGCGCTTAACCCCGAACCAACGAGGCAACTAATCAATGAGGCATCGCACAAGCGCTGGAAGTCAAAGGTCAATCAGCGCAGCCAAGAACAGCTTTCACCTCTCCATGTTCCTTGCTCGAACGTGCAAGCTGCTTCAAGCACATCGCCTGAGATCCGTGTACCTCCACCCTAGCTTCCTTGCACAAATGCCTGACTCAATGCGACTCAGGAAACAACAGCTGCGCCCAAGTTATTTTAACATTGGGCGCATCAGGCAACATCTTCACCTACGAGATGTGATGACAAATGCAAAACATTCCTGCCCAATGTCTTTCCGCTTGACCTTCACCCCAGGAGGAAACCTAAGTTTCCCATCTTCAAGGCCTGCATGAACAGTCAAAACAATGGACGGAGCGCTGAAGAGACGACCCTTGCACCCCACCCACTTTCTGCAGCCAGGCGCCAAAACCACAAGAATACCAGCACACCCAACCACCAGCAAAACGCCGCCTGAAGCGGGCTAATCAGCAGCCAGCTGGCAACACCCATGACATGCAATGTCTTGCCTTTACCCCAGCAGGCCTGATGCTAAATTTGACCAGGCGAATTCAGAACAAATACTGAACTACCGATGTCTCCCCCGCCGACGTTTCGCCTAGTCGGAATAGGGGACCCTCTGCCCGGACCTACACATGACTGGACGCCCACATCTGCAACAGAAAACACGTAATAATAACAGTTGACCTTAGCGGGGGCGATTTTTTTGGCAAAGGACACCAATTAATTGTAGCCTATTCTGTTGGGGGGAAGGAGGTGGTTACCAAATGAACAGTCACCACCAGCGGTCTCCAAGGGCACAACATGCTTGGCTTCCTCGTGGTTCTCTTTCAAATACTACTGCAAGAGGTAGTATTAATAAACCAATGTTTGTCAAATGGGAAGCTGAGTCAACACACAAAGAAAGAGGTTAATATCAATTGAGCAAGCAGCTCAGCGTAAGGCTATGAACCTGCCGGCGATCGAATTGCCCCTTTGGATGCGGTTCCTCTTTTGTTGCGGCTTCCGCAGAAAATCCGGCCGGCTGTCAGACCGGCCTAAAGCCTAGGGTCATGTCCCTGACCAGCTCCCGTAGACTTCCGACCCTCACAGTGTTATCTGGGCCACGGTCAACATGCCCAGTCAGCCTGATGCACCTCAACTCTAACAGTGCATGTTCCACTGACAATTGTCCGTGGACAAAGGCAGCATTCGTGATGCATGCCAAGGCGGAAGTGGTGAATGAAGTGCTGTCAACACCAAGTGCGGCTTCTGCCATATTTGCACTGCTCGTTGTGAACAAGCCGAGCGTGGTAAATTATTTAGTCAATCGTCGAAACAAAGACCGAGTCTGAGTTCGCCAGAGGATTGTTTGTGGGACATGTAGTGAGCTCCCCATGTCATTAATGAACCATAGACAACTGGAATTGACCCCCAGAAAGGTATGAGCAGACCCAATTGTACAACACTAGAATGCGATTATCAGCCTTGTTTCGCAATGAGTTATGGCCCACAGGGGAAGCCATAAAACCAGGCCATGAACAAGTCAGCGACACTCTGCATTCAAAGTCTGCCTGTGTCAATCGCGAACTCGCCACGCTCCAGCGAGTGCATCACATCATAGTACCTGACCCCAGGCGAGGGCAAACGCACGCCTCACGGTATGTGCTCCACCCTCGAAATGAACAATGAATCCAGGATGGTCGGCACTTAGATCGGTGGTAGAGTACCGCTAAAAGAAGCTCCTTTGAATGGCAAATGTATGATGTTTCAGTTTGAGATGAGCCCCACAAGGCTGAACTGCCTATTCGGAACTGCTTCGGTGCTTCATGAGCTTGCAGCATCCATGGCAAATTGTTCAGGAAAGTGACCTATGTTCATCTCATCCCAAGATTTCCGTTCGTTTTTAGGGGCTGGTAAACATAGTTCGTGGCCGGACAAAGCTGAAATTGCAGGGGGGGGGGGGGGCAAAAGGGAGGACTACTAAAACCACAAGGACAAAACATATGTTATATCTTAACAATGAACCAAAAAAAGCAAAAACGGAAGGTGCGTGAGCTGCTGCAAGTGACGCTTCTTGGGGCTTCGGGACTTCGGGCCTTGAGGCGCCGAAGACGAGGACGGAAATGCCCACGCCGATGAGGGTGAAGCCCAGGATGAGGTTGGTAAATACCTCGAGTGCGACTGAAGGGGCGTCCCTGATAGTGCTGATGGAATTCGATGGAAGGGGTGGAGTGAGAACCACGCTAAGCTACTTGGGCCTGGCCTTCATGCTTGAGCTTGAAGTTTCAGAAACCAATCAGAACAGTGACTGGCGATGCACGTGCAAACGAGTCAACCTGCTAGCGTGGCCTCCATGCATCTTAGACTTTGGAACCGCTCAAGTACAAGTGATGCCCGGCTTCCCAAAGTACAAAGCACGATCAAGTACGACGAGGTCACTTCTGCAGCACCGCTGCGATGAGATTGTTTGATCGCTCGCGGCAAAACCACTGCCAGAAGGGCAAAGTTACTCAAGTTTGGCATGGATCAGCCCCCACGTGGCACCTCAGCCAAGCCTTCAACCGAAGTTCCTTTGCTGGCAAGCCAAATGAATCCCAGGCAGCTCTAGTCAGATGAGGCCCAGAGGCCCGGAAGCATGAAACCTGGGCCCACATGTGGATTCTGCTTACCTGTTGCCGAATGCTGAACCCAAGGTTGAAAGAACAAGACATGAACAAATGGGCGGAACATGAGCCCCTGCATCTTGCTTCAACAAGAAGAAACAATACCATCAAAGCTATCTGCACTTCTGCGCTGCCATGTGCCAGCAAGAAGGCCCAAAGCTACCTGCTACAACTTTCTAACTTTGAGACCGAAAAATGCCCCTATTTGAGTTAACACACTGGGAAACGGTCCCACCTACTATCAGTCCATACCCCTGAATAAAGCTAAGACATCCCCAAACAAAATAATGAAATACCCCCAAATAAAGCTGAGCTTGTTTGCCCCTGCATATATGTTGCAACATTTGCAACCGATCCTTTTGGGCCCAGTCCAAACACCAACTTTTTGGACCTCCAAGTTCACGATGCTTCCTTGTTTAAAACCTTCTCCCCCCAAATAAATAAATAAATAAATCAACCAAGGGTACCCCCCCGCACAAAATAATTTGCACTGGTTGAACCACGCCCAAGTATAGCTAAGGGTGTGTGAACATGCTGCATCCCCTGCAGGTTCCAATCTTTGGTGCCATTGCCAGCTTCCCTGTTTTGATGCCAGCCAAATATCCAAAGTAGTACTGCCACAAAGCACAGTCCCTAAATAAAGCCAATGCTTTGGGTCACTTCCTTAAATCTCAATACAAAAGCAACTCACAAGTGCCCTGTTTAACGCGGTGTTGTCAAACTTCCGGGAACTTGATCGAGGCACGCAACCTGCTCAAAAGTAGCTTTGCCAGGCTTCCTGGAACCCGACTGTAGTACTCAACAATCGAAAGTAGTATTGGTCGACTTCCTGGACTCCAAACTCAAAAAATGGCACTTCAAATTCTAAACTGGGGAAAACACACGAGTTGCTTTTTTACGTAATTTGGGGGGGCCTACCATGCCCTACCTATTAATCAGAGGACATGCTCCGGCCGGAGGTGCCCCCGGCAGGAACTTCACGATGCCGAAGCCCGCGCCGGTGAGCGACAGGCCCGTGCGGAGCCAGGCCAGGAAGGTGCGCTCGTTGGCCAGGTGATCCCGGGCCGTGGAGCCCTCGTTCTTCACCTGGCGGGAAGTCGGAGTGACGTGCTGGCAGTGCTGGCACGGTAGTGACGGTAGGGTGGGGAGTGACGTGCGAAAAACAAGAAACACAATGGTTAGGCGCTACCGTCGGTTAACTGGTTAGGTGCTTGGGTTGGGTTGGGCTACGTAGTTCGCTTGGTTGGGGCCATCACTGAGTGGAGCCTGCGCCAGTCTACCAGTTCTGGGTGAAGAATGATAGTCCCCGAACCGGACCTAAGAAATGGATGCTCGACAAAGGAGCCTTCATCCTGGTGAGGTTGTCATAATTTTCCATTGGTTGGGTTGGTGAGGTGGGAAGGTCGAATTGTTCAGAGGTATGAGAGACGCATTCTGGTGGAAGGGCACTGGCTGCGAGTCGTGGCAATGTGCAACGTCTTGTCTCAACCCGACTTACTCCCTGTCTTCTAGTCAGAGATGACAAGCTGAGTACCGTCACTTCCCAGCTGGGCTCAAGACACCTGCATGCAGACCAGCAACCCTGGCAACAGTAGGGAACCCTTGGTTCCAGTATTATGGTGGGACGCCACCCAACAAACAAATTGGGTATGGGTCAAAATTAAACCACCAGGGGACGGCAGGTTTTTGTCCATGTTTCCATTTACCAGGGGTCCATTTTGGGTACCTATTTTTTGACCCACAGCCAAATGGAAAAAGGGTAAAACCACCGAGCTGGGCACGACCTTTCTCCGCTCTCGCCTGTGAGCTAAGCCCATAGCGCAGCATCGCCTTGGAGCATTGCCGCTGCAGCTTGCGGCCCGCCACGCTCAAGCTCTGCGGCTCCCCCGCCTGGTGGGGCCATGTTTGTAGCTGTGCCAGTGACTGAAACCCCTAGTGGGACGTGAAAGAATAAACCAGATTGCATTAGAACATGGTTTAAAAACAATTGCTTCGTCCACAAATTTTGTACGGCTGGTGACAATCCCCACAGAAAAGGTGCCTTACCACACGTTTGCCCCGAGCCTCGACATCTTCCACCGTCAAAAGGGGCCGGTCCTGCCCGGCAAGACTCAAAGTCTACTCTTTTCACGTTTGACTTGCGTACTGCCAGGATCATTGCTGCTTAAAGGTAACCTGCTGGGTCATGCATGGCGATGCCTGAGATGTTCTGCGTGCTCCAATGCATCCAAGCTACCCTCGCTGAACGATTCGCATTTTCACGCAAGATCCCTGGGTTTCAGACAGTGGCTGTTGACAAACAAAGGCCCGTTGTGCAAGGGAGCTCTTGCACCCTGTGGCAAGCGTAAACAGGCTTTGCCACGCGCCAGAGAGTTGCTTCCTAACCAGACTAAAACGACATTCCAACATGCTCGCAGAGAGTGGAAACCAACAAGCAACACGTTCAACTATGTTTGGGCGGTGTCCTTGTGTATTCCCGCTTTAGCATCAACAGGAACAAACACATCTTGGCCCTGCTTCACCCCATGGCGGCTTCTGTCCTGCGACATGCCCACCCACGGCTCACTTTGAGCCGCCGCAGCTGCGGGTCGCTGCGGCTGTGCGCTTGGCCGAGGAGGCTATGGGGAGAAACAGGTTCTCTCATCAGTCAGTCAGACAGAGAGGTCTGTCTGCCTGTTCATTTAAAGTTGGGCGCCAACCAGGAAACAGGAAAAGGATGTGCTGCTGAAAACCCAGGAATCCGGTTGGGTGTCATGGAAGTCCTGCAACCAAAGCTCGGATGGTTTGCCGTGAGGCCAGGGGCTGAATTTGATAGACAGGCCCGGCGTGCATCCCTCCGCTCAACCGCGAAACACCAGGCTTGCAAAGGGAGGTAGGCAGGTAAGGCTGCCAGCAAACGCCAAAATGCTCAGCCCTGACTGGCAGTTTCTCTGGTGAGGGGCATGTTCGTTGCATGTAGGATTCTGCCTGCCAGTGGGTTCCAGTGGCAAGGGCCACGTCTGCCATCCTGCACCCTGGGCCCGCCACAAAGCCATGCGCTTCGGGTGCGCGCCGAAACCACCAATTTCACCGCCTTTGAGCCCGAACAGCGCCGTCAAAATGGCCTCGGGCTGCACAAAGAAATCCGAGCTTTAGCAAACTGAACCACAATGACATGTTTGGATCGCCAAACAAGGGAGCTAGACCCTGTCTGGGCGAATGGAGCATTCCAGAACCCCGAATTACACTTTTTCACAGGGCTAAAAGTTGCGTGTGGCAGCGCAAGTCGTGAATATGGAGGAGGGCATCAATAAACAGCTGAGGTGGAAAGGATGAATAGAAACAGCCTCTCGGCAACTAGCACTGCGGACGTTCGCTTGCAGCCCATGCCATTCGCGAAGGAATCAGCAGCATGATGCCTGGATGAGCTGGTGCCTACGCAGCTTCACTTGCCAAACCTGCCTTTGAAATCGGGAGATACCATCCTGGGACCAAGCACAACGGGAAATGCCCCCAACAAAGCCAGGGTGAGCTCACTTCCGTGCAGTCCAGTCGGTTTTCCACCCTAGTGGCCAGGGCCAAGGCTGCCATCACTGTGCACGTCACCACGAGGGGCAAGCGGCAGCCTTGCTAAACAACCGAAAGGTCGCATGGATCGCGGCCATCACTTCCACCGCTGTGCTACACTCCAACTCATCCTCCTCGGGTGCTTTTCCATATTGGATTGCTTGGCGGACACAGTACAGCTTATGCACCATCTTGACCACCGTTCACCCGCACCCTTGCTTGCAAACCTTGCTAAGGTGAATCAAGGATCGCGAACCATTGCAGCACACAGCGAATCACGGCAAAACATCGCAAACACGTTCACCTGCAAATGCATGTGTCATGCGTGCCAGCGCCGAGCAGTGACTGAGCATCTAGCCAAGCCCCGTGTGCCCGTCCTCGTACAGCATTTTGCCTTCCACCATGTAGGCCTGCATCTCATCTTCCAAGATCTGAATGTCATCTACATAGCCTTGCGCCGGCTTTGCATGGGCACAAAACCAAACTCGCTTATCTTCAAAGCCCCATGCACCGGCACAATACATCCGAGTCTGGAAACAAGGCAATCTGCAAGAAGCTTAGAAGTTGGACAGCTCCTTTCAAGAAGCCGCTTGCTGGTTTCTACATCCGCTCCAACGCACTGGCTCCAAGCTGAGTATGCCACAAGTCCTGCAAGTGTCACAAGGGAATACCAGGGAACGCAAAACAATGGCTCCGGTGCGCTTGTTTTGTGAATTCATGTGAATTCAAATATGTTGGCCCTAGTCACTAGTCCACTTCTGCTTTATCGTTTGGATTCTCGCCCGGGGCCCGAAAGAAGACCGCAAAGACTTCAGGCGTCTCCCAGCAACCTGTCCACCCTGAGGCCCTCTCCCGAACGATGGTTCCTTGGGAACGCGCCCTCGAGGAAGTGTTCCCGGCCGGCGAGACTCTGAATCCGTCTGAATCAAACAAACACCAGGCCCTGGAGTGAGCCTTGTTTCCGGAGAGGTGGGAATCAAAACGCACACCAAGGCCCCGAGTCCCAAAAAACATGAATTCCAAAACAAGTATCGAAAAAGCGGCTCCCAAAACCATGCTGAAGTGAACTGCAGGACCATGGGGTGGGTTTTGGCTCAATGTCGACCAGACCTCTCAACAAAGCAGGGCCGGCAGCCGTTGACTGACCCTGGATGACGGGATGTTGAGGAGTCGACACGGCATTTGCCTTCCAAGCAGGGCGAGATCCACAGGAAGCCGACTTCAAACTTCAAAGCTCCCACTTCCAGAAGTTCAAACAGTTCAAACATGCGTAAGCCAATGGAAGACACAAACAACACGAGCAATGAGAGTCGCGAATGCCAAGGCGCCCATTTTTAAGAGCTGTCGCTTGGAGGCCTCGGTGCGCTTGGGAGGCAGCCGCCGCAGCTGCCTGAAGTGCTGAAGTGCTAGAGTGCTCGGCCAGATGAGAGGAACCGCATGGTGTCAAAATGGGGGACCCTAGCGATGGTGGTTTTCCTTTTGGTTCTTCCTCTCGGTTTCGCTTTAAACCAACCTTTGACAGGGCGAGCTTAAAAAACACACACAGCCCTGTCACCCTAAAACGAAACATGCTGTGCAAACGTCCAGTGTGGCTGCAATGGTGAACACCCATTCTTCTTGTTTGTGGGGCTTCTGTTTGTCTCTGTGCGCTGTTGGAAACCACCGAGGGTCACCAAGCCAACAAACCGCGCGTGCCAAGCCTTTAATGGGCGACCGGCCCCTTTTCGATCCGGTCGATTGGCCGAGCTTCTGCAACACTGCGGTACGGTACGTCTCATTGGTGGCGTAGAGGCCATGGGCCATCTCGTGATGCAACACCTCGAGGTCCTGTAGGCTTTGGACACTCCAATCTCCGATCGTTGTCCCGGTGTCGGTGTCCCCGCCGCTGGGACAAGGGTTTCTCAACGCATCACGCCAAGGAAGTTTCGGAAAAGGAGACCTTTGAGCGATTCCAAAGGGACATCCACAGGTTTCATGGTGCGATTCTAGGTGCCTGCAGGATGCCCGTGAAAAGTAAGACAAGTTGCAGGCTGCCCAGGATTGCTCAAGCAGGGTCATCTGTCAGAACATCGGCAATCAGGATCTTGGACCAACAGAGCAGGTGCCGATATTGAAGCAATGAAAGCTCAAGCCTCAAAGCAGAAAACTAAAACTACCGGCAAGGGTTTGAAAAGGCAAGCGGCGTGCGTTGCCGAAGGCACTGCTTCGAAGGGGTTGCGTTCTCTCGGAAGCCACACCCGTGGCGGAAGCCAGGTACTCTCCTGAACCTGAAGTCTTGCGCCTCGCAAACCCTGTCCTTCTCGCAGCTTCCAATGAGGTACTGGGCAGTTGGAGGCACTGTGCTCAGCACGGCCTCCTCTTGTGGCCGCAAAGGAAAGCCGACCTTGCGAGGAGATGTGGACAACAGGCGGCCCCAGATTCCGTCTTACAAATATGCTGCACACATACTTTCGACAGGGGTGACTAAATGACCCCATGACAGCAAGCGGTTCAAAAAAAACGAGGCAATACTCATTCCTTTGCACTTGCTTTGGCATGAGCGCCAGGAACCATTCATCTGGGCATTCTCCGAGTTGTCACATCTGGGAGTCTCAACTCTTACCTGGAAGCAAACATATCCAGCCCCTAGAAGCTGTGCAAAATGCCTGAGATCAGGCGTCCATGTTCGTGTGAGGGTATTGCTGTTGCCGATTGGCCGCATCCCTTTCAAGGGTCCGTTTGCCCTGTTGCAACAGGTGGGTTCCACTGATTGATTATCCGAACGAGGCCAGTGGAACCCACACATGGCCCCCAAGGACACCTATGGCCACCAAGCGACAGCTGCGCCATCGGCGAGATCTAAGTTTCGCGAAGTCTCCAGTGTTGCTTGGCATGTCCCAACCCACCTCTCAGCCTAAACTGCACGAACAGAAAAAAATGGGCCTGGCCTTGCCGCTGCGCATGGCGTCCAGCACCCAGGAAGGTACATTGAAGCCCGGCCACTGGAGGTAGAAGTTGAAGCCCAGGAGGCTCTTATTGCGAAACCACACCTAGAGGAGCCCCTTTAGACAGGAGAGACCAGGCGCTGACTGTGATGAACAGGGGCCTCAAAGCGGATTGGCCCATCCAGCCGCTCTTGTTGGGCTTCAACTAAGTATATGCATGTCTAACCTGAAAACATCGACACCACCCGAAGGAAACTCACGTTCAACAGGGTTGTGTGATGTTTGAGAGCACCAAAAGACTAAGAACTTCTGGACAACAGCCGGCAGCCGTTGCAATGCCCCGCAACTGGGAACGTAAGATCGATGTACTATGCATGCAGCGTTCTCTCGAAGATGCAGCACCAAGCGAACAAAGCAAATGAGAAAGCTATTCTGCTCATCCCACCCGCATGCCTATGGCACAGCCTCGCCTTGTAGTCGTCCAGCTGGAAACTGCAGTGGCGGAACTGGGGGTTGGAACACTCGTAATGCTCCTGGCGTCCAAGCGGCATGCCCCATCCTCAACGCACATGGCAAATGGACACAACAGTGGCTTGGAGTGTATGCAAAAATACATTTGGGGTTCAAATGGAATGTTGCTTCCAAATTCCGATTCTCTGCGCAAACTGAACCGTATTTCCATGGCAACCAGGCAAGACACGCACACGCACACGCACACGCGCACGCACGCACGCACGCACGCACCCACACACACACACACACACACACGCTCCCAAACTGCGCACGCATACTCGTTCACGACAAGAACATGACAGACGCACTCCAGAATGCGCCTGCATGCCAGGCACCTTGAGTAAACCCGCGCACTGTGACTTTGAAGGCTGTTCACACTGGCTAACACGCTCGAGGAAAACTAGTTGAGCTGTGGGCAGTCAGTTCTTGAAGAGCCCTCCACTGTTCTTCCTTTGGCTCACCGAGTACGCTACCCAGTATCTGTCGTTGTAGCTGGTAGAAGAGCATTCTCTTGATGCGGTTGGCAGGCTTGGTTGTTGGACAGTGCAAATCAGCCTAGGTTTTCCGCGGAAAAACATGAAATGAGCGGAAGCCTTGATTTGGCATGCCCGGAAAATGAGCGGACATCGGCGGGAAATGACCGGAAATCAGCGAGAAATGAGAGGACATGTGCGGACACATCGGGGCAATTTTCCAATTGAGTGTTGTTTTTCCAATTGGGCGTTTTTGGGCGGAATGAGCGTTTTAATTTACTCGAAACGGCCGGATCGAAAAAGGTGCCCAGGGAGAACTAGGAATATTTGTGGGATGCCCCCCCCCCAAACCAATACAGAATAAACCCTGCGGGCATGCAAGTTTTGTGGGCACCTCGTTTTCCAGCAACCCAAGATATTCACAGCCCCGAAGAAGACGAGTATAATATGCCTTCTGGGACCCTCTGTCAGCTTCCATGCTTGTTGTTGGGAGGCAACCCCCTAAAAGCCTGAATCACCATACTCTAAGTGATCGCGCCCAGTGTTACCTTCAATGATACCTCTGCACATACATACACATGCGCACACAAAAACCATTCGCTTGCACTCGCAAATATGTACATGCATTGTACGTACGTGTGCACGTAAACGCGCGCGTACACAGGTGAATACGAATACATTGTGTTGAAGTGCATCGCATCACATTGCACCGCGATGCAGTACACACACGCGCGAACAACAACTGCACACACACACACACAAACGCACACTAAATATTCAACTGCATGCACGCACATGCAACGTATATTCGTATATGTTCATACGCTAAGACATGCAAATGAACGTTCAGCACTACAATAACTGTAGAAAACCTGTTTATGCGTACACAGCATCACATGTCCCTGTATCTTCATTTGGGCCAAAAAAAGAGTGTGCACAATGGAAAAGTGCGCATTTCAAGTAAACACGCGCAAAGTTCCAAAAACTGCGCGGCTGGTTTTGGTAAAGGTTCTGGGCGCATATAGCCTTGACATCAACCTGTCAAGCTGATCGAAAGAAGTAGGACAAGGATAAATGCGCGCCTTGTCGACCAGAACTCGCCTGAATGATCCAAGGAACCTGCGTGCGTTTTGGCTGCCTGTTGGGCGTTGTCTGGCTTAGCCTTGCATCGTGACAAGCCAGCTTGATGGACAAGAGACACAAGCTTAACTTTGAGATTCCAAGAAATCCGAACACCGCTTCCAGGTTGAAAGGGATCGGCGCAGCTTCGACTGACCACACCTGGCAGAAAATAGAGCTTTTGGTTGGCAATTCGGGCGCCTCAGGACATCTTCTGCCTGAAAAGATCTGAAACGCGCACATGCATGTGCACACTTTTCGTATTTGCGCGCAATTGCGGAATTTTGCGCGATAGTACTCAATTTGACCTGACAGCGACTTGTCTCAACAACAAGTGTGGCACAGGCACGGTCCTGGAGCAAACAGCGGATCCGTGCACACCCAAGACATGCTTGCGGGCTTGGAGCTATTCATGGAGGTTGAAGCCAGTGCCAAGATCAATGGCCACAAAGTGTCAAGTCCAGGTGATAGGTGGTACTTAGTTGCCATATGTGCAACAAAATGCCTGCCTAAACGATGCCTGGGTTGAGACAAAAAATGACAAAAGAAGAGCTTTAAGATGTAACAATAAGAGACTTCAACAAACAGCTGCGCCGGCACGGGAACGAGTACCGCAGTATCCATTGTTTCCACAAGCGGTGCCGAATTCGACTACCTGAGCTGTCCTATCCGAAAAGTGCGCAAATCCTGGAAAAGTGCGCAAATTCCAAAAAAGCGCGCAATCACACCACAAAACGCGCAAACAAGCATTTGAGCAGAAAAAAGTGCGCAAACGAAGATACAGGTCCATTTCATACCTCCGCCATACCTTCACTTTTTCAGTGGATGTCCTGAAAGCGCAGGAAGGAGCTGCCGAGGACTAGCCGGGACTCCGTGTGAAGGCTGAAGACTCCGGGCAACACCTCCGACCTCGAAAGGCTCATCTGAATCAAACATATCCTATTGGCGGGTATGGGAAAAGGCGCGTTGAAGAGATGTGGAAAGGTGGAAATGCAGGGCTGCCTTGAGTGGAAATAAGCAATGGGCTACCCAGTCACTGAAAAGACCTCCATGGCGTCCATGGGTTGAGCTGGTGACACAAATTGAGAGACTCATGCGACGAGCAGACCTGGCGAGAGTGCCTAGCGGCATGGCGTAAAGCTCAGCGAAGTGATGGGGTCTCAGCCCCAGCTCAAGGCACATGGCGTCGAAGTAGCAGCACACAAACTCCTCACGAGTTCCATCGGCTCATAACAAAGCAAGGGGTGTGGGGTTGGTAGCTGTCGACTTCCCGCTGGCCACAACACATGTGAAGCGCAAGGCCGAGTTGCAGCCAGTCCAGGGATGAGATGGGTGGTAAGTGTGCGACTGATTTAGCTGTCCAAGCAACACGGCCAAACAAAATATCAAAGCATTGGCGGTCTTTGTTCCCTGCCGCACGGCTGCTTGCCGGATAGCCAGAAATCTCTTAATCAGGTTCCTGCTGCCCGTGAGGAAAGAACCGTCATGGATGGTAATTGTTTTTACCTTGCGTGTTGTGGCAACGAGCAAGCGTACCAACACAGGAGTGCCCTCTTGCCTTCTTTTAAAATTTGTGGCCGACGTCACACACGCCCAAGCTCGGGGCTTAGCTTCTGAACGGCCAACAATGGAAACAACTTCACTCGAAATTCACCCTAGCCGCGGAACAGAGAAACTCCGATCCTTTTGAAGAACAAATGCCATTGGTGCTTGCCGCCAGGGTTGCGCGCCCTGAGTCTTTGCTGGCTTTGGGAAGAAAATGAGAGATACATTGGAACATCAACGCAAATAAACTTGCAACAGCAATGCCTAGCAACACGGCGTCGTAATAAATGGGAGCAATGAATTACTTTTGCCGCCAGGCTCCTCAGTGTCGGCCCTCCAACCGCTAGCGGACCTAAGATGACCTGCGTATGTCAAGGTACACTTTGGGGAAAGCCTGAATGAAGCAATGCTTTACCGGGCGCTCGGGGGCATCACCTCTTCGAGCAGAAACACAATCAGCGACAAGTGATCAAACATGCGCCTGGCAAAACACGGCACCACCCTTGCCTGCGAGCTCTCGTGGCCCGGCAAGACCAGGTTGAATCCGTGAACCTTTCCAAAGGCAAATTGGACGCGACACTTTGATTAAATGGTGAAGCCTGCATTTTCATTGCCACTAATACAATTTCATGTCTTGATTTGTGCGTAGTCCCTTCCCATATGACATCACGCTCTGATAAATGCAACCCCCTGGACGCCTGCGCCAACGCGAAGATGCGGCACAGCACCGCAGCGGGGGGAACGGCGCGGAACATGGCAGGAAGAGCAGCTCCCGCCAGGAAGTCGCGCCTGGCATGGCGCGGAGGAACCACAAGGGGCCTGAGGAAAACCTGAAAAGGAAACGTGAAGGTCATGGCAACACCTTCTGACCTCCCTTCATTCTACCTCCCAGAAAGTAGACCCCAGGTGGACAAAAAAGGCAAGGCTTACCGCCAAAAAGAGGACAAAGTCACGCCAGTTCCAATGCCGCACCTTGACAAGTCCTTCAGCACTTCCATGGCAGAGAGCACATCCGACACCGCCTGCTGTCAGGGCGGCCTTTGCGAAATCCAAAAGTGAGTCATGGGTTGGTTTCCTTTTGACCCTTCAATCCCCATCCAAGAGGGCGTCTCTAAATTCTAGCGCTCCCGGCTTGGCCTGCTCAACTCGCAAGCTAGGTCCTCGATAAATCCCTGGTCGATTGACTTGCTTCAGTCACTACTTCAAAGCCACCAGCTTAGTACAAGTAGTGGAAATCGATGGAAGGAAGTCTCTTACAGGAAATTGGCTACGTTGCGGTTGCACTTGTCAATTCATCAGCCACACAACGGGCCTTCTATTCAAAGGAATTGCACCATCATGTAAATCTCAATCAGGGTTGGAAGGTGATTAGTGGCCAATGCAAACTCCCCGAGGCCACAGCAAGAAACTGCACCCGGTGTGCAAGGTGCGCGCTTTCAAACATGTGCGTGTTGGCTGTCCATTCCCTTCTGAAGCTGAGTGGCGCTTTTAACCGCCCCCCCCCCCCCCCAGGCAAGCACTAAAACAACAAAAAACGGTCCCCTCAAAGGCGCGTTGGTTCGTGGGAAATTCGCGCCTGTAGAGTTGCTTTGATTAGTGGTGGAAGAATTGAAGCCAGGAGTTTATTATGTTACCTTTCCTTCTCTTAGAACAAAAGGGCCCGAAAATCATGGAAACCACAAATGCAGAAGCTCCTGGCAAAGCAGGTGAATGCCGTCACACCCATCTCCTTGGAACCTGATTGGGGGTCTTGGAAGGACCACGTTCTGCCCTCTGGTGGGTTTTCATGTTAGTGAGGCCCGGAGGCTATCTCAGCCAGTACCAAGCAAAACAAGATTTGGGTATGTGTCAAGGCCCCCTATGATGTCCTTTTGGCTTCCCTTTCAACCAACCCACGCAGAGTACCCTCAAAAAACACACGCAAACGCAAACACAGAGAGAGAGAGAGACAGACCCATTTTGCGCGAAGGCATTCCCCGCGAGACCTGGACGTCGAGGCCCAAGATCTGAAAGCGCCATTCCTGAGCCGGCAAAAAGGACCATGAAGGGTACTCTGAAAGGCGGAAAGGGAATGGGGTACGGTCGTTTAGTGTGTTAAGAAATCTTACAAACAAGCAATGAGACTCTTGCTCGGCAGGTAAATTGCTCAGAGTCTCGACGGGGTGCGAATGGGTGCGATTGGGACATTTTGGAAGGAAGAAAGCCGCACCCAAATCGCCAAGTAGCCCAAAAATGGCACTTGCAACCACCAAAAGCAAACTGTCCAACCACCAATCGGAACCACTATGGCAGAAGCACAACAACTGGCCGGATGGAGAGCCCTCCCCGAGAGAATCCAATTGACTGATCAGACTGGTTTCAGGGTGGCTTCAGACCTGGTACTTGGCTACTAAGAAGTGAGCACAACGACAAATTTACCCTCCAGAGTCTCGGCAAAACCTCAGGTTTCTTAACCCCACCGTGGGGCTTAGAAATGTGTGAGACTCTTGACAGCAAAAAGGGATTTCTTACTCAACAGGGAAAGAAACACAGCGAACCAGAAACCGGGACCCTTATTAACCCCAGTCCGGTAGGCGAGCGCAAACCCTGGTTTTGATCTGATGGGCATCTTGAGCCAAATGGTCATTGCCATTCGACATGTCACTTGAAACACATGCAGTCAATGGGGCCTCTAACATCACATGCATGCACACCCTTCTGGGGTACCTCTTTGGGGGTCAAGGGGTCGTGATTATTCAACTCCCCCCTCCCCGTGCTCACTAAGAGACTTGTATTTTACAGTCGCGCTTGGGCTGCGACCTATGTGATGCAAGGTCCTTCACCAGACCATAAGGAGGGCTTACCTTTGATTTCTGCACTTTTGTTAATGCTTGGTCATCTCAGGCCGGACATCTTTTAACTTTTCGGGCAAATTGGTTCTGATGCCCAAAAGTTTGAGAGCGTGGTCCCACTTCAAGGGTTGCAGTGCTTTTGTGAAGATGTCTGCTGCCTGGAGATCGGTTGCTACGTACTTGATCACTACGCCCGTGCCGGGTTCAAGTTGCTCAGCAAGTGCGGACAAGTTCACTTTATGAGTGCGCTGTATGTGCCGCATTTTCGGAGAGTAACCTTTCTTGGCAACGAGGATAGTGGCTTGGTTATCTTCGTGCAGCACCAGCTCGACTGGGCGTCCAAGCAAACGTTCCCACAAGGTCAGGAGGGAAGGCCCTCTTGATACAAGGAAAATGTGAGCGAAACGACCTCAGCTTCGGTGGTGGACCTCGACACGGATGTCTGCCGTTTGCTGAGCCATGCTAAGGGGAAATGGGTGTTTGGTCCTTTGAGGACCAGGAAGCCACCGGATGTGGACTTCGCATCCCTTTCCCCAGCATAGTCGGCATCAGCGTACAATGCGAGGTGAAGATTTTGTGGGTCATCTTTTATGACCCCTACCAAGCGATAGTGGGTCGTCGAGTGGATGTACGCGATAAGACGGGCGAGTTGCCTATCATGGTTGCGAGACCACTTCTGAACGGCGGTTGCTAAGTCACCTATGGGCTTGATGATGTCAGGACGTGCTAGTCGTCCCAGCCATAAGGCCTTCATGAGGAGTTTGCACGCATTTGGGGCTAGCTCACCAGCTGACTGATCATCTTCAGGAGGAAGTGATCCGTCTGGACAGAACGGAGTAGTTACCTTCCGGAGCTTCTCGGGCTGAGTGCCGGTTATAGAACAAAACAGTTCTACGGTTTGACGGGCATAGTCATTCATGTCAAATGCAACGGCACCCTTCAATGCGCTTACAGCTGCATTCAGATCATGCTCTTGAGGCTCTGCGGGGCCATCTATAAAGACATGATTACGCCCGAGCACCCGAAAGATCGGCTCGGGAGGCTCTACATTTATCATTTTTGTAAGCTTAGCCCAAAAGGCTTCATGTGCATCTGCGGGACCTGAGAGGGTTAAGTCATCGACGTAAGTCGAGAGCATAAGGCCTACCCCTTTAAAGAAAAAGTTTCCAGGAAACTCTGGGATTTCTTCTCCTCCCAGCTGCTTGAGCAGTTTCTTAAGGTGTGCCTCCCACAGACCTCCTGCGTCAGGGTGACCATATAGGGCACGAATCAACAAGACCACGGGTTTCACGAACTTGGAACCCCATTCCTTTGGCCGCAGCTCAGGCGGGAGCTCGATCCACGTCTGAAACTGTGAGCTAAGGAACGCCTGGACATAGGCTTTTACCGCGTCAGCGGTGGTGACCGTGTGTCCTGGGATGCACCCATACGCCAGGCAGGCGTTTAGGCCCTGTACCGAGGTGGGGTTTGCCCCCAGTTCTTGGTACACCGCGGGTGCACCGGCTTCATCTTTTGCGCAGTCTCCCCTGAGCACGATGCGCCCCTTTACCTTTTGGAGGTGCTTCGCAAGTTCATAGAACTTGATGCTGGCGATCGTCATGAGCTGACCAAAGTGTACCTTGATCCCAGACTGTCGCGCTTGAGCTGCGACCTCAGCCTTCTCCCGGACAGTTGAACTATCCCATACTCCGACGTCTTGGAGTCCGGTCGCCTCCTGCTTGATCGCTTCCAATGCTTCAGGAGATGCAAGCATCTCAGCACGGGACAGGAGTTTAGTGACCATTGCATGCGCTTCTGTTTCGACAGCCTTGGAGGGCATGTCAACAGCATAAGCAAGTAGACTTTGGACATCAAGGAGTTCCTCAACAATACCCTTTACTTTAGAGTCTGATTCAACGAGGAGGGTGAAGTCATCTGCTCCGGAAAGCGGAGATTCGTGCTTTAGGAACTGTTCCTTAACACGATGCTCCGTCTGCTGAGTGACTGGAACTACAGGCATTGCTTGAACCGGAGTCCTACAAACTTTGGGATATAATGCTTTGGCGATCAAACCACACATTTGCTCAGGGTAGAATGCAGTGCGGGAGGTTCGGCTCCCTGCCGCTGGAGTATGTTTTTCGGACTTTGTGTGCGGACACTGGCGATCAGCGAATGCTTCGGCAAGGGCCTTTGATGTAGTTTTGATGTGCCAAGGCTTCTTGATGGGTGAACCATTTTCATCCGTCAAGCCGACAGCACAGCCGTGGAACGAAACACCGTGGAACACGTCCTTGTGGCGTTCGAAGAACTCGGCCACATCTGGCCTTTGCCATCCCTCGCAGTCGCGAGGCCACTCGAAGGTGACTGATCCGCCGGCCTTCAAAACATGCTCTGCGTGCAATGCAAACTTTGAAAACATCACTTTGGATTGCTTGACTTTTTCCTCTAACTTCTTCTTAAACGGCTTTCCTAACCTGTGGAGGTTCAGCCTCTGCCAAGGTGATCCTGAGACACATGGAATGGCTGCCCACAAGTTGGGTCGGACGCACTGCGAGAGTTGATAAGCGAGCTGCTCATCCGCAACGGCTGACTCTAAGTCAATGTACTCCTTTGCTAATCGGACATGTGGGATGTCGAGATCCTTGAACACATTACCCATTGAGGAATTAGGTGAACAAGCAAATTCAAACATCGGGCCAACAGCATCGCGCGCTAGGCGCTTGCGAGCACGTTTGTTGCCAACGGTAAACGGAGGGCGTTCATCGCCCCCCTGAAGCTGACAAGGGTTACCGAAAACGGATGGCTTCTCTTTCGTGGTCTCAGCAAGTGTTGTGCTGGATGCGGTTGACACGGTGACGGCTGCTCCTGAGCTGACTGGGATGTTACCCTCGTGAGGACTGAGCCCCCCTGCTGCGCTTAAAGCTGCAGCCGAATGCTCGGAATCACTATATAACCTAAAAATGGTTATGCCAGTCCAGAACACAGGGAGTTCTCGATGTGCTGAGAATCTGCCTGCCCAACCATCACTGATATCTTCCTTGCTACCATCTTGCCGGGACACAACGCGAGTGGTCCTACCGGGTGTGATTCTGCACACTGACACGGGACAATCGCCGACATCCTTGGGAGTGAAAAGCTTAATCCTAGGCTGATGATGCACGCGGATTAACACGTTACCACTAGGCTTATAAACCCATTCATCCTTCTTGGTTGATGCAGGGACAGCGTCGGTATGCGGAACACTGGGCCGAGAAGAGGCGGGCTCTCCAAGCAAGGCATGGACGATATCGGGGTCTCCCTCCTCAGGCGCCTCGATCTCTGGGGCTTCTGGGGGTTCTAGGGAGGACGCCTTTGCAGCACGTATAGCAGCTGCCTCATCTGCACCCTTACTTGGTTTGGTGGCCTCCTCACTTGCAGCCTTTTTGGCCTTTGCTTCTTCCTTTTCACTTTCAACTAGCTCTGCAAACCTTTTGCGGCATTCGTCAGTGTGATGCCTGGAACTAGCATGGCCGGTGCAGGCCTTGCACCCAGGAGTCTCCTTGAACTTTATGATCCGTTCAATGGTGATGTACACACTTCGTGACTTAAAGCCTGACGGTGTTGACGGGGCAGGGATGCCTTCAGGAATGAACGGAACATCTCTGATGGCATATTCAGGAACCTCGCCATCGCCTGTTCGCAGGGCTCGATCGGCAGCGGCCGCGATGGGGAAAACAGGATCGCCTTCCTCGACGAACAACTCAGGTTCGGGCACGTCATGGACAGTAACATTTCCATTGGTCCTGAAACTTTGGTAGTCCATAACTTTTAGCACCCTTCGATATCGCATCCCTGGATCGATACGCCAACCCATAAACAAGCCTGGAGCCATGTTGGGTTCTAGGGTTCTCTTTCCAGCTGACTTTAGGCGATACCAAACGAGCTGTCCGAAGCAACAGCGGACGCCGTCGAACTTCTCCTTGGTGAGTGCTTCCCATTGCGTCTTTGTCGGATCGAACGTGGACGGTCGGTCGAAGGACATCGAGAGGCATGCAAAGGGATAGGAGTGTGTGTGCAGAGAGTAGGGCAAACCCGATTGATGGTGTATGCTCCTGCAACACTCTTTCTCCTCTCGGACATCTCGCTCGAGCTCGGAGTTGTGGGGCCAGCGATTCGGCAACGAAGTTTCGGGGATCATCCCTACTTCCTCGGCCGCTCCCTGCAACTCTCCA